TTTGAGCAGACAATAGGATAGAGAGTTTGTTCCATCTTCCCATGTCTTTTTTCTTTGAGCAACAATTTTTTTTTTTGCAGGGAACAAAACTGTCGATTGTGTGTCCAACGGTAAAAGTTGGAGTACAATTTATTTTTCTGTAAATTTGGCGGTAGACTTTAAGAAGTTTGATAAAAAAATCATCATATGTTTTAAAATAGAGAGGGTAATTTGGTGTGTAATGATACAAGCCCAATATGTACTAAATCATTTGATCAATCTATCCGCTTTCAGGCTTATTCGGGCTCCATCACTGACATCTACATTATTAATTAGCAAAAAATAATACTTTAGAAAATATCTTTGCCGACGATCAAGAAATAGTCTTTAATCATATGGGCTCGATAACATCGCTAGTTCCACCACTGCCTATCCTCTATCCTGATTAAGGAGTAGTAGTAGAACTTTAATCGACCGTAGAAAATTACCACGATGAATAACAAACCTAATGTTTGGTTAGCATGGCAAAAAAGGGATTAATTCCTTGCCGGTTGGCGGCTTTCACCACCCAAAGCTAAATTAATTTTCCCCACAAAGAAAAAAAAAGCTAAATTAATTTAGCTTTCCTTTTTGAAAAGGGATGCCGGCTTTTATATTCCGGTGGACGGTCCGGATGATCGATGGGGGGTGCGCGAACGAAAGAATGATTCGTGGTCACGTGGTGCAGCGAGGATGTGAGGAATGTTGGTTAGTTTGTTCCTCCAAATGCTGGGTCTCAGGTCATATCCCTCTTGACCCTCAGATCTCACGCAGCTAAAAACATATCTTGTTTTTCAAACCGTTAAATAGTACTTCCTCCGTACACTAATATAAGGGATTTTTATATTTTTTTCAAACCGTTAAATAGTACATCCTCCGTACACTAATATAAGGGATTTTGATATTTTATTTACACTATTTGACCACTCATTTTATTTAAAATATTTATGTAAATATAAAAAAAGAAAAGTCGTGCTTAAAATACTTTGGATAATAAAGGATTAGTCACAAATAAAATAAATAATAATTCCAAAATTTTTTAATAAGACAAATGGTCAAACAGCGAAGCAAAAGTTTAAAATCCCTTATATTAGGGGATGGAGGGAGTATATTTTTTAAAAAAACACTTCCTATAAAAAGTAGTTTTAAAAAATAATTTTAATCTATTTTTAAGTTTAAAATAAATAATATTTATTACCGCTAATAGCTCGTCTGGTTTTGTTTATCTTCCATATTCCTCTCTTCTGAAACACAGACGGACCAATAAAAAAATATAAAAGAAAAACCACCGCACAAAAACAATTAAAAATAATTTATAAGTTAAAATTTTTTATTTATGTTTTCTAAATATAGTATAAAGGCAGATATACACACTCGCTCATATAAAGATAGATAAGCACATCTCAAATAAATTAGACTAGCGTATCTTAATATTCGTGAAGTTATAAACATCCCGCTCATGAAAATGACTTTAAATCAATTTTAGAATTAAGTTTTAAGATTTTATGTTTTGGTTGTAGTAGCTGATAAGTCAATTGAGCTGCAGTTTCTCGGTATTATTGGTCAAGCAAGTACTGAACTGAATATGCAATAATACAAATGAGCTTGCACCGATCGCAAAGCCCAACTGGCTGGTGTACTCCTGTGTTAATGCACAGCTCGTCTGTGCCACTCGTGAGTCGCAGCAGCAAGTATAAATACGCTTCGTACTCTATCTCATCTGTACTTTCTACTAGTGTACACCAACAGCATTTCGACGGCGTAGAAATGGACATACGCTTCTTCCCTTCGCCATGTACGTACGTACGTAGAGAACTCAAGAGATCGACAGCTGGGTATACGCAAAGCAACTATTCACCGCTCGAATCAGTTTTCAGTTTTTCACTCACTCTAGTCACCAACTTCGTTCGTTTGTTTTTTTTTTACTTATCCGTCGCGGCCGAAGCTTAATTTTCAGATGATTGATTTTGAGTTTTTCTTATTTTTTCGCTTTTACTTCAAAATCGCTAAAACACATATATAATTTTTTCTATATAAATTATTTTTGGTTTCTTCATTTATTTTTCTTCACTGAGTTATAACCATGGAACAAACAAGGAGAGGCCTCGTTTTTACTGCCAAGAGTTGATGGTTCTTTTGGTATGTAGAAAAAATATATAAATTTTTAAAGGATTTTAATTCTATAAAAAAATCCTATGAAGACTTTTGAAGGAAATAATTGAATAAATCCCTACGGAATGAACAATTCGAGAGTTATTTTAAAGAAAATTTAGCAATAGCTCTAATCTCCGATTTCTACGTATTTCATGCGATCAAATCAAAACAGTCATTCTTTGTTTTATAATGATCTATTTTGCATTTATATTTCTGTTTTAGAATCTTATGTTTCTTTTTATTTTTCATTTTCTTTCATTTCTGCCGATTCGATCAGAGGGGGCTGGAGTCGAAACGGTTCGACATTCACCGCCTCCGAGTCAGCGAGGCCGTTATTACTGTTACCACTATCATTTTCTACCGCGTCTGCGCACTGCATCGCATCGGCAACTCCTACCACAGTGTATACTCCCTCCGTCCCAAAAAAAAAGCCAAAACCTGAGTTTTCGTGTACAACTTTGACTATCCGTCTCATATAAATTTTTTTTATAATTTGTATTTTTATTGTTGTTAGATGATAAAACATGATTAATATTTTATATGTGACTTGTCTTTTTAAATTTTTTATAATTTTTTCAAATAAAACGGACGGTGGAACATTGGCACAGAAATCAGGATTTATTTTCTTTTTTTTTTAGGGAGGGAGTATGTGTTGTGCAATGCAAGCTGGATGGCCATGATTGCAGCACTGACTGCTGCTACTACTGCCGCCTATTTATGGTGGCATTTCCTTCGCCACGGAGACTGCAGAGTAAAAGCCCTTTTTTTGACTGACACCGCCCTAGCTAGGAGTAACCGAGTACTAGTCCACTGTAAAAATAAACATGGGACTAGTGGTAAAAAAGTCACTGCCATTTCAACGGCGACATTTCTCCATGCACTTCCAAACATAAACCGAGTTTAGTTCTTAATTTTTTTTTCAAACTTTTAATTTTATTATCACATCAAAACTTTCCTACACACAAACTTTTAACTTTTTTTATATCGTTCTAATTTTAACCAAACTTCCAATTTTAGCGTGAACTAAACACACCCATAGTCCTACTGGAGTTTTTAGGCCTGATTTAGTTTCCAACTTTTCCATCACATCAAAACTTTCGTACACACACAAATTTTCAACTTTTTCATCACATCGTTGCAATTTCAATCAAACTTTTAATTTTGGTGTGAACTAAACACACTCTTAGTATTTCTGAACTTGAAAAACTTGTTTTTTCACAAAATATATAAATACTTCAAAATATTTCATGTTGTAACAAATACATGGCCTGTTCACTTTGATGCCAAAAAAAACCTTACCAAAAATTGGCATTGCCAAAATTTTGACAACTTACCAAAATTTTGGCAGGATTTCTTATATAGTTACCAAAATTTAGCAGCAAACTAAATGTAGCTATTTTTCTGGTAACTTTACCAAAATTAGGTAAGGTTGAAAATGGCATCAAAATGAACAGGTCCACAAAGTACTATGTATCCTAAATATAATCCTACAGTGTATTGGTCAATGGTCTAGTAACTATTTAAAATTCATAGGAGGTCAAAGTAAAATGATACTATTGGTCAATGGTGATAATCATTTGAGATCAGGAGAAGTTCTTTTTGTGTGTGTGTGTTTTATTTTTACCCTTGGAGATCGAATGCATAATTGCAGCCTTGCAGGGGAGTACTACTAGTGACGACCAGTGAGCAAACTCGCTGGTTGGCGCGACCCGGTAGCTGATCGTCGTGCGATGCTGAATGGTAGCCCGGCATTGTCAAGTGCGTTTGTCGCTGTAACACACTGTGTTTTAGCAGCAGCTGTTTGCCTTTTCGATCGAAATGGGGGATTCTTATATAGTTATATCAGCCGGCTGGTCGAACAAAAAAGATCATATGCCTTTTCAACCAACAGCAGAGCAAAAGTATATAGTAGTATATGCATGGTTGCGAGTAGTTTACAGGTGATCTGTCCATTGGGATTGGATTGCCAATTATTGCTCATTTTTATGCTGGCTGGTAGTAGTAGTAGTACTAGCTATGCAAAAGTTGTGTTCCTGTATTTTTAGTTTCATAATTAGATCGCACATTTGTAATTTTAGCAATGTGTTGTGTGACGTTCCTTGAACAGTACTATGGAGGTAGTGCCATGTGTTCTCCTTCTATTTGAACGAGCCGGTTTGGCCAATCAAGCAACAATTTTGTGAAGGATGGCACATTAAGCATTCCATACGTTTGGCCAATAAATTAGTACACGATACTTGGATTTTGAGTGATATTCTCTGTTTATTATACTTTGATGTTTTAAAACAAGAATGTTAAGAAATAATATGTGCGGTTGTTCGGCGAGCGGGATTACGGTTGCTGTAGCCTATGGTTTGCCTTGGTGCTTGCGGCACTATTGGCTAGCAGTTGATTAGCCTCTATGTTTTTCCTGTGGCTATACTTTACGAACCCAAGTATTTAAAAATTAACACATGCCTGCCCGCAGCTATGAGTAATCACATTTTTATAATATCAAATTAAGGGGTGATTCTTATCCTCGAATTTACTACATTTTAAGAATAAAGTCGTTTGCTTTTGTGATAACTCTACTCAGTTAAGATAATTCATGTGAACATCCTTATTTCAGCTATCTATGAATTGATTTTTTTTCTTTTGCTAGGCGCATATTAACATTTACGTAAATGTGTTGCAGTTACATGTGAAGGATCAACACAATGCTCACATTTGTTTTGCTCAAAATCAAAAAATTGCGTGTTATGTTTTTCTTCAACTACACGCCGTTGGATTGCTATTGTACATCCGATGGTTGATATCCTTTGCAGCACTCTATTTATTCCGCTCGGCTTTCGCTCACCTCTCATATCCGCCTCTCTCGATAGAATTGAGATCCCCTTTCCATATCCTCCTCCCAATGTAGTGTTTGCGCTGCTGCCAGCTCTCTGATGTCCATGCCGAGATTGCCTCCTTCCTTCTACGCTCCCTTGTCTGTGCGATGAGACTACCATTTCCTCCTACATTCCCTCATCTGTGCGATGAGGTTATCCCCTTCCTCCTACAATCCCTCATTTGCGACCATCGCTATAGTTATCAAGAGGATGTATTGACTTACTCTAGATCGCTTACATCAAGACTCAAGGAGTGCGAGGAAAGGTGCATACCCCTTTCCGTATTCGTAAATCTCGGTCGCTATTGATACGCAAGCATGACGTTATGGGCTCTAGTAAGGTATGTTTTTTTTACATGGAAAAAACTTGTTAATATTTGTGTTACTAATAATTTCTGACCGGTGTTCTATGCTTGTACATATTGATTTATTGTTATGCACAGAATCCGAAATGTTTATACTTTGTGGTTTAAATTTTTCACAAACCATAGCCATGAAATTCACAAGAGACTGTCCCATCGTATCTTTTCTTGTTTGCACTAATTCACAAGAGAAACACTTGCGAATTAACATGGTTCCCAAAATTCACAGGAGAAACACTCGCAAACGTGGTTCTCGTAGCATCTTCACATGAATCTCTATCCTTGAAGCATCAAAACGAAAACCCCCAAAACCAGATCACAACCTCGGCACCAAACCGTGAAAAAGCTTGAGAACAAAAGCACACGCATCACACCTCACAGATCATCACACAAGAAACCACACCGCAAACCATGTCATCCTCCTCATCTAATCACCCCCAACACCTCACTCCACCACCCCACACCAAAATTCCACGCCACCGAGGCACCGATCCCAGCAAGAAAAAAAAAGAGAAAAGAGAAAAAGAAACAGCCAAACTCAACCGAACAGAAAAGCCCAGAAAACACACATCACAAACCCCCCCCCCCCCCCCCCCCCCAAAAAAAACGCCGATTAAGACGAAGAAAAAGGGTGAAACCCAAACAAAAACTGAAAAAGAAAAGGAGGCGAGAAGAACAAGAGGGAGGGAAGTGAAGAACGGGTGCCCCCACCCCCCCCCCCCCCCCAAAGTAAATCCAGCCCTCCACGCCGTCGACAGGCGTCAATGTACGGATGTCTCCTCCCCCCCTCCCCTCTCAACCCCAACCCCACCTCCCCCGAATACCCTTTTTTTTCCGGTAAAACCAGCCTCCTCACCTCGTGCTCCCTACAAGCCTCCTCCTCCTCCTCCTAGTAGTCGAGTAGGAGTACTACTAACCTAGTTAGCCACTCTATTACTACTACCTCCGTTGCCAACGCCGGAATCCATCCATCCATCCCCGCGCCGCGCTGTGCCGCCGCGAGAGCTTTGCGGCGGGCATGCGGGTGGGGATTCACCGCGGGGTGGAAGAAGCTGAAGCAGCAGCTGGTGGCGCAACGCCACGAGGCGCACCCCGCTGGCACCCACACCAACAAAAGGAGAAGATTCTCGCCACCACCACTCCCACTGATCCCCTCTTCTTCCTCCTCGTTCGCCTGCCATCTCCGGAGCCGGAGGAGGAGGAGGAGTAGCCGCCGCCCAGATCTGCGCCGCCATGCTGCCGCTGCTGCGGAGGCGGCGGCTGTGAATAGCTAGGTCGTTTTTATTGTTGTTTTTGGGTTGGTTTGGTTTGATTCCGATGGGGTGCGGGCAGTCGAAGATGGAGGAGGAGTACGCGGTGCGGCACTGCAGGGAGAGGTCGGAGCTGCTCGCCCTCGCCATCCGCCACCGCTACGCGCTCGCCGACACCCACCGTGCCTACGCCGAATCCCTCGCCGCCGTCGGCGCCGTGCTCCACGACTTCCTCCGCGGCGTCCAGTCGCTGCCCCCGCCGCCGCTCGAGCCCACGCTCCGCCTTCCCGCCCACCGCAAGGGCGACAACCTCCCCACCGCCTCCCCCGTCCCGGCCAACCCCGCCATCGCCTCCTCCTCCGCCGCCCAGCCGCTGCCGCCCGTCGCCAAGCAGGTACGAATCGCCGCCGCCCCCGATGACGGCGGCGGCGGCGGCCACATCCACTTCTCGGACGACGACTCCGATTCCGAGGGCGGCGGGCACATCAAGTTCCACTCCGACGACGAGGGCGACGCGCCCGCTCACCGCCGCCCAGAGATCGTCCGCTCCGCCGCGCCGCCGGTGGCTCCGCCGCCGCAGATGGGGCCACCACCACCGTATGGCTCCGGATATGCTCCTCCTCCGCCTTATGGTTCGGGATACGGGTATGGATACGGCCCCGCCCCCGATTACGGCGGCGGCATGGCCGTTGCCAACGGCGGCTATGACCCAGGGTATGGTGGTATGGGCGGAGCCAGTGGCGGCGGCGGCGGCGGCGGCTATGCGCCTGGATATGGAGGCATGGGAGTTGGGGATGGCGGCAGCGGTGGCGGCTATGAGCCAGCCTATGGCGGCATGGGCAGCTATGGCCAAAGCTTCTTCAACATCAGCTATGCGCGCAGCCAGCCGCCTCCGCCGTCCGTCTCATACGAGCACCGGCTGCAGGCCACCGATGCCAGGGTCCACTACTACGCCGGAGAAGGCAACCCTCAAGCACCCCCACTCGGGTATGGCGGTGGGTATGGTTATCCGCCGCAGGGCTCGAGCTCTTACAACCAGTATGCGTACGGTGGTTACTATGGTGGTGCTTCTCCTCCGCCTCCGGCCGATATACCTTCTACCTCCCGCGGGGAGGTTACGCCACCGGCACCTCCATCTCCGCCGAGGGTGTCTACTTGGGACTTCCTGAACCCATTTGAAACCTATGAGAGCTACTATGAGCAGCCAACTGCTGCTCAAGCGTCATACACTCCCAGCAGAAGTTCCAAGGATGTGCGTGAGGAGGAAGGCATACCAGATTTGGAGGATGAGGATATGGAGGTGGTTAAGGAAGCTTATGGTGATGAGAAGCACGCCGCCAATGGGTACAGTGGCAAGGGGAAGATGGCAAAAGAGGAAGGTGGTAGGAGCAGCACCGGGGATGAACTGCCCCATGAATCCAAGTTATCGGAAGCGAGCAGTAGCGGGAGCAACCAGGAGCATGATGTCCATGTAGTGGAGAAGAGTGTTGTGGGAGAACAGGTGCAGCGGTCAGAGCCTCGTCAGCATGTCGCAGGCCTGCCGCCCATAGGATCGGAGAAGACGTACTTTGATGATGCTGAGGTGGTGCTGGAGATCAGGACTCAATTCGAGCGTGCCTCAAAATCTGCCATTGAGGTGTCCAAGATGCTTGAGGTTGGGAAGATGCCTTACTACCCGAAGAGTTCAGGTTTCAAAGGTTCGTACAGTCAGATCTCATATGCTATTCTTTTGCAGTTTTCAAATATGAGTTCTAATTTGACCCCCAATTGCCAATATAGTGTCTGCGATGATGATTTGCGGGATACCAACAATGGAGGAAGAGTTCCTGCGGTTTGAAGAAGACAAGGCGATGGGGTGTGGCAATCTTTCCTCAACACTGCAGAAACTGTACATGTGGGAAAAAAAGCTTCTTGAGGAAGTCAAGGTATGTAATATATGCTTGGAATTTGTTGGGAATGATTTGATTCATGTGATTCTTTTGAGCATGTTATCTTTCCTTTTTTTACACCTGCATGTTGGTAGATCCTGATTGGTAGTGCAGAATCCAGTCCAGTGAATATCTGGATTTGTCCATTCTCTATGATATTGGCTGATCCTTTTTATAAATTCCAGCTTCTTTTAAAGGAAGAAACGTTGTTTGGTTGGTGACTTTTCAATGTTTTAGTGGATCAAGTAGCTATCAGGAAAAACTGCATTTCATTTCTGGATGGATATGTCTACTCTAATACTTAGTTATAAGTTTTTCTATTTGTTATAGGGAAATATTGGCCTTCATTCGAATGACTGCTGCCACCATGTTTTCCCTCCACAAGAATCGATCTCTTCCGTTTTCATACCTTATTGGCTTTATGCTTTTGGCTTCTAGTTTGTTGTTCTTACTCCTAGGAATTTAGTATGGCATGTAACACAATGCTTTTATTTCGTCATCCTTATGGGTCCACGATTTAAATGCTATGCATTTTTCCATTTATCCAATTTTAGATTGGGCTTACTCAAGTATTGTTTGCGTATTACAGGCTGAGGAGAAGATGCGGGCGTTGTATGACAGGCAACGTGAGGAGCTGAAAATATTAGATGAGAAAGGTGCAGAAGCTGATAAGCTTGAGGCTACTGAAAGATCCATCAGGAAGCTATCAACAAAGATAAGCATAGCAATTCAGGTTGTCAACACTATCTCAGACAAGATAAGTAAGCTGAGGGATGAAGAGTTATGGCCGCAAACATGTGAGCTCATCCAAGGGTATGCAGTTATCCCTTATGGCAACTTTGACTTTCATATGTTAGCAGCACATAGTAAAGTAATATCTGCTGTCTGTATTCTGCTTTTCTTGGCACATGATTTTCTAAACCTATTATCTACAGTTATTAGCATGTTTAGCTTCTGCATAGCTAATTAACTTCTATCTGTGGTTTTTTTTTTCTAAAATATTGTTTAGTTCCATTGACTGTAATTTTAAGGATGAGTTGTGTGTAGTGGAAAAATAAGTTGCCCAACTGTCCAAGGTTTTGTTTGGTGTTATTTTTTTTGGCAGAACGATCTTTAGTGACAGGAATTAGTTAATTCTGTCAAGTATTCTCATCAGACCTTCGGTATGGTGAATTTTCTGAGAAACTCTAGTTGCAGAAAGCTCATGTCTAGGGGTGCATTGCATTCTTCAGGTAGCAGCCATGGCCTATAGACATAGATATAAATAGTGTGAACTGGTATAGAACCTATCACTTTACATGTAGTTTTCTGATGTATTCTTAATTTTTGTACTTAGCCAATTTAAAATCCTAAAACACACGGCTGGATTTGATGCGTATGGTCATGTAGCCATGTAGCCCCTTTGTGCCGCAACGTAAGTTTGTCGTGAAACTTGTATTTTCACCTTTGTGCTGCAACATAAGTTTGTCGTGAAATTTGTATTTTCACAAGGTAAGCCCGTCGAGGATTATACATTTCATATGCATACCCCACCTGTAAAATTGGAAGAGTAGTCATTTATGCTGCCATTTCATAGGGGCGTTTGATGGTCCAATGCTATTCATTTTTTATCACTAAATTTAGCACCTTCATAGAGGCGTGTCATGGGCTTGGACCATTTTTTGGATGGCTGGATTGCCAGGATAATTACCTGCCTGTGGTTATGTGCCAAAAGGATTGGCTGCCATTTGCTTAGTCTTTCTGTGGTTGTGTTTTTACATACTGTTCTATCCTATTATTAGCAGCCAGCCCAATGAAATTTGTATATACATTGGGTTGTGTGCTGTTAAGATACTAAGTTAGCACCTATGCATCTTTGTTTGCACCCAGAATTCTCTGATTGTCTGAGTGCTGGCTTTGATACTTGCTATGGATCATTTCTCAACTAAAAAATAACAATTTTCAGGTTGATGCGGATGTGGAGCACTATGTTAGAATGCCATCAGATCCAATTGCATGCCATATCCCATGCTAAAAACATAGATTCCATGATAAACGGTGCAAAGTTTGGTGAAGCTCACATGGACTTGATCAAGCGCCTAGAGCTTCAGCATTTGGATTGGATAGCCTCTTTTGCCTCATGGGTGAATGCTCAAAAAAGCTACGTTGGTACTTTAAATGACTGGTTGAGGAAAGGAGTCACATATGAACCTGAGGTAACTGATGATGGTGTGCCTCCTTTTTCTCCTGGACGGCTAGGAGCGCCACCTATTTTTGTCATATATAACAATTGGGCAGTTGGTGTGGGGAGGATATCTGAGAAGGAAGTAGTTGAGGCAATGCAGGCCTTTGCATCTAATGTTCTTGGCCTCTGGGAAAGGCACAGGTCAGAGCAAAGACAAGGTCTTATGGCTAATAAAGGTATGGACAAGGACCTTAGGGTGATGGAAAGGGATGAACAGTCGATGCGCAAGGCTCTGGAAGCACAAAATAAGAAGCTGGTGCTCATTTCTAATCAGAGCGGTGTATCCTTATCAGCACAAGCACAGGCCTTACAAGATGGAGGTTCCCATGGTGATACTGGTAGTTTGCAACTAAGTCTGAAGAATATTTTTGAAGCAATGGAGAACTTCACCGCCAACTCTGCAAACACCTACAAGGATCTCCACCTGCGTGCTGAAGAAGAGAAAGCTCGCGTTGCCCAAGAGAGTTGCAGAGTTTCCTAGTTCCTTTCGTGGTTTCCATGTTACATGAGGGCATGAGCCCTTTTTAACGCAAAGGAGCTGACTGCAGTGGTTCAGATGAGCACTATAGTTTGCATGGCAGCGTCACAATTCAAGTGGCAAGTGATGCACCTTGCATGAAATAGCTTCTACCCAGGGCTGCGGGCTGCCAGACAAACCTGTGGCGTAAATGGAGACTTGCTAGATTGTGTTTTTTTGAATTGGAGCAACACTCCTCATGCCATACAGCCCAGGAACTCAATTTTGCTAATAGCTGAATCACAAGACATTGCCGATAGGGGAAGAAAAATCTGAAGTGGCGAGTGACAAGATTCACTCAATGTTGGGAAATCCCAGTAAATAGTTGGAAGATGTAAGCTGCATAAACGAAATGCATGGTCTAAGCATGGAGCAGTAAAATGTTCCGATCATGAGTCCAAGATTCATGAAGTTGTATCCATCCATATGAAATAGTCAAATGTGATCATGCTGCCAGGTTCAGGGAAAGAGTCACTGGAAGAGTGCAACAATGCTAGCATGCCAGTGTACATAGTTGAAGGCAATGCGATATGGGATGAACCAAAGCTGATGCTGTGGGAGATGCTTCCCTCCCAGCTGGGAGGCTGCAGCCTAGCTAGTTCACCTGTTAGGGGAGTGATGGATGATGATGAGCTTGTAGGATAGAGAAAAAAAGTGGATGCCCTGACCCCGTTCTGCAGTTCACTAACTGTTGGATTTTTTTGTTCCGTTATTTATTATACATATAATTCATTTGTATCCCTGTACAGCCGGTGGCTAACTCATAAACCCCCCCTTTTTTGTGTCATGTTTATTCTATTTCTCCCCCATCGACTTTGCCTGTTTCTGCTTCTCTCTCTTTTAATCGCGAAAGCCGCTTGTGTTGGTGTAACTGGTGCAGCAGTTCCATAAGATCGTTCATCTGGAATTGTGGTGAAGTTGTGACCATTATTGCGCTATGGTTTTTTCCCTTTTCTGCTAACAATGCCGTGTTGGTTGCTGTACTGAACCCTTTTTTTTTTTTTTGAAATGGGTTAGTTCCTATAGTCTTGACTCTTTGAAACTGTAGCATGATGGTCACTGGTCAAGGTGGTTCACAGTATTCTGGTTGAGGCTGTTGCACCTTTGGAATCAGAGGAACAAGCTGAAGCCTTTCTCAAAAAAAAAAAAATCTGGAATTAGATGAACAAGCTGAAGCCTTTCTAATGATCTACTACCACTTGTGAAACCTCCAATGTTGGGAGTGATGAGAGGAGCAGCATCAATGGGCTTACAGAGCAGTTGAGGCCTTGAATCCAACCAAACCGCACCACTGGCTCAACGGGCCAGCTGTGTGGCAAGAAGCCAAGAACAAACTGGCTCTGGGCTTAAATCAACCAAACTAAACCCCCAAAGTTGTGGCCAACGAACCAGCAGCTGCATCACATAGATCACATCACATCCAGGGTTTACACCACGCGATTATCTTGGTTACCATGCACGGTAACCTTTTCAGTTTTTAAAATCACGGTATGTCTCGTGGTTATCGTGCGGTTTTCACGGTTACCGCGGTAACCACCTTACCGTGGAGATCTAGTAACCGCGCGGAAAATGGTAAGTACACCTGATCCCATCACAGGTGAGGCAAAGAAGAACGCAGAGGAAAACACAGCTAGCGACCGGAGAAGAAAGAAAAACACCGCGTGGTTCGGACTTTTGGAGGAGTTTGGAAAGGTTTACCACTGCAGAAACGCAGCTTTCCGTCGAAAAGGCCAAGGCGTACGCACGCGATCCGGACCTAACTCGTCCACTCGGTCGGTCGGTCTCGGATCGGGCCTAGCTATCTCTACTACTGTTCCCTTCCCGGCAGATGTGCCGGCAATTGACCTCCAACGGCAACACGTACCACATACGTACGTACAGTACACGCACGCGGTCGCAGGGGCAAGGGAAGGTGAGTGATTGGTCGGAGGTGAGAGGGAGATCAAGTTGGACACGTCAAGTAATTTGATCGAGGTGCTCACGCAGTCAGCATCCATTCCACCATTCACTCGCATTCGCATTCCCACGCGCCATGCCCGGACTTTCCATGCATCTTCGAGCCTCATCGGTGGCTCGTATTCTCTACCACCTCCGTACCATAAAAATTACATTTCTAGCTAGTTTAGAATAAAATAGTAGAATTGAAAGATGACCATAATAACCTTATTTAATGAACCTACTACATGCACACATTCCATATATACAAATGATTAAAAGGAAGTTTGAGAGAATTAACCCATATAATTAGCATACTTAATAAAATTATAAGCATTAGCAGCCCAAATTATGTGGGATGGAAGGAAACTTATATAGATGAATCAATTGGTTGGGCCTCACATGGCTAGAAATATAATTTTTGTGGGATAAAGCCTTGGAGCTAGAAATGCAATTTTTATGGGATGGAGGGAGTAAGAAACAGAGAATAAAAATTTATTTTATAGATAAAAATTATATATATTTATTTATAGCGACTTAAAAGCTAATACTACAAAGAAATTGATGAAATTATAAGCACATAATGATTTAATTTATTTCATAAATAAATCATGACATTGCAGATGTAAACTAGATTGAACGCATCATTAGATCTACACATGTAAACTAAGCAGTAAAATATGAACAGATCAAATATGCGCAACATATCGAATACGTACCGAGGTGGCGGAAAGACCGGTTGCTCGGCAACTCGCGGTTGCGGGCGTCGACGAAGGCGCGCAGCACGCGACCGGAGAGGAAGACGAGCCGTCGTGGACGAACAGGGAGCAGTCACGTGAAGCGCTTCCCAAAAACCTTATTGCCGCCTTCTCCCTGTGCAGGACGTCGAAGGCAGAGGTTCCGGAGACCTGCTCTCCCGATCGCCGGTGCACGCCGGCAAGCTGTAGTATATATATATTGGTTCCACATCCATCCCAGGCTCCCAGCTGCAGTATATATATTTTTTCCCCTCCAAAATTACTCCAACATGTAGCTGGTACTGCTAACTGCACCATGTATGAATGCTTGCCATCCCTCTCGTCTACGGTCTATATATATATACCAACATGAGGTTATATTACTCTTGTAGAGACGGCCCAATTGGATAGGCTAGAGCTAGATTGCATTTGCATCCCTACACATGTACGTACCGTATATACTCACTTCTCACCAATCAAATCGTCTCCTACTACATCCTTATTATTGCATACTGGTACAAGCTACTATTAGGAGCGTGTAGTATAGGGATAGGAACAATCACCAGGAATACATACAGTGCATTAACACACTGGCTCTGCCGCTGTATATACTCCTATTTTCCATCGCTCGATCGATCGACCCTGACAGTGACAGACCGACTGTATATCAGTAGTACTCCATTTTGCTCGTTGCTGTGAAACAATATATGCCGCTACTGTAAATTTTAACGGGTTACGTACTGTTCCGTTCTGTACTTGTGCATGCCTTGCATTGCAATTGCAGGAGTGCGTACGACTAGTACCACAAGCAAAAGCACATGTAATATTAATGCACTAATGCTAGCTCTTGCCTGCTTCATCAACGCAGCTGCCAATTGACCAGCCACCCGGCTTCTCACTCCATCCATCGATCGCCAAACTTGTACTACTACTCCCTCCGTTTTATAATATAAGTCATTCTAGCATTTCCCACATTTATATTGATGTTAATGAATTTAGACATATATATCTATCTAGATTCATTAACATTAATATGAATATGGAAAATACTAGAATGACTTATATTATGAAACGGAGGAAGTAATATTTTATAGAAATTTCATCACCAATATTAAAATTTAATGGAGTTTTCGTCGGTGAGCCCAGGCGGCTGCCCTGGCTACCCGGACGGTGGCTCCGCCGCTGCTCCTACCCCAGTAATCATCTCAACGTGTCACCGATATATAATACTATTTTTCTAATATATTGACATGCAAGGTTTTTGTTCTCGAGTCAAGCTTATTTTAACCTTCGAGCTTGTAAGTAGGCTTGGTTTGGGCTTGGTTGTCAACCTTGCAAGGTTGTCAACCAATTGGTACTCCCTCAGTTTCAGATTATAAGTAGTTTTGACTTTAGTAAAAGTCAAATACTCTAAGTTTGATCAAATTTATAGGAAAGGTATTAACATTTTCAACCCAAAACAAATATATTATAAAACATATTCAATAATTGATTTAATAGAATTAATTTGGTGTTGTAAATATTACTATATTTATCTATAAACTTTGTTAAACTTGAAGTAGTTTGACTTTGATCAAAGTCAAAATGACTAATAATCTGAAACAGAAAGAGTAGTGAGTAGTTAGTTATATGTAAGAATAATTTTTTGATAAAATAATTTATTTTCTAGTTAATCACACTAATAAAAAGAAGAGAAAAAGTATTAAGATAAATATATGCTAATTTATCGTGTAGGTACATACTAATATCTATTCAATATGTCAGTTTATAAAAAAACAAGATAAATACTCCACGTACTAAAGTTATATATAATCAAGCTCGTTATAAGCTTGCATATTGACTTGATTTGGCAAAACTAGTAAATCCTTAAGCTCAAGCTTGGCTCATTTAGAGCTCAAGTCTGGTCCATGACGAGCCTAGCTTGAGCTGTTCGTAAGTCAAAAGCTATTTTAACAGCCCTATCCTAGAGTGAGAAACAGTCTTTACATGCATGCTATATACTCCTACTCATATATACTACTACTACTATACAGTCATACATACTCCCTCCGTCCAAAAAAAACAAACCCTGGGTTTCCGTATCAAACTTTGACTGTCCGTCTTATATGAATTTTTTTTATAATTCGTATTTTTATTGTTGTTAGATGATAAAACATGATTAATATTTTATACGTGACTTGTCTTTTTATTTTTTTTTATAATTTTTTTAAATAAGACGGACGGTCAAACGTTAGACACGGAAACCAGAGTTTGTCTTTTTTTTTTGGACGAAGGGAGTACAAGATGCATGCTGGCGACTAGCTATACTAGCTCTAGACATTAGTAGTGATACTTGACCGGCCGGCTGGCATGTACTTTTATATAGTTGTGTGTGTTAATAACTTCCTTAGAGCACCCGCAATGGTAAAGTAAGGTGCTATCTATAAAACATGTACATCTTAGCAATAGACTAGATTAATAGTAAACCACTTCAATGGTATGTCTACATGGGTATCTATAGCTCTCTAATCCATTGCCTCGTTTTTCTCTATAGATTATTTCTAGGCTAGTAGATAGCTTTACTTTCTCTCTTTATTTAATCTCTTTCAAGTAGAAAAATATGCTGACATGGATCTCTTATATAGAGCCTATAGATAACCATTATGGGTGCCCTTAGGCCGTGTTTAGTTTTCCCCAATTTTCAATTTTCTATCATATTATATCACATCAAAAACTTTCCTACACACATAAACTTTCAACTTTTTTTTTCCAAACTCCCAATTTTATTTAAACTTTTAATTTTTTTCAAGGACTAAACACACCCTTCATAACTCAATTGGCTGCAGTCAGCCACACTAAAGAGCGGTAAAAGAGATGCAAAATTAAAGACGACAAGCAGGCGTACGTAGAGTATGGAGCTAGCTAGCTGTACAGTACTAGACTCCAGTACGGTACAGAGAGAAGTGAGGCTTCAATTCTGGCAGGCCCTGCCGGGGTAGGGGTCCGGGCAAAACAGAGAACAAATGAAGCAATTAATGAGGCCAAAAATTAATCCTGTCGTCCAAAATTAATTAGGGCCGGCCTGGATATGCATGTAGTACTGCTTAAATTGTCGTACGACACCGTAATCAATTTGGTTTGAATTCAAGAGCTCGAAGAGAAAACAACAGCTTCAAATATGTTGCTGTTTTGTCGTCCTAGCCTTACTAGTACTACGTACTGAGCAAGAGAATGATCGATCGCCAAATGATCATCGATCCCTTGGTCAGAACATCTCATTTTGTGATCTTACCGATGACTTGTAAACACGGATAAAACTTTGTAAAAGTCATTTCGAACCGGGCCAAAATCGTCCTTAAGGTCCCTACTAAGATTGATTAGTACGATATACCCACTATAAAAATATTACCGTAGTACAAACATGAACGAGGCCTAATTAAAAAAGTTGAAATTAGTGTGCCTCACAAAAAAAAAGAAGAAGAAGAAAGGCGATCATAACCAGGAAAGACACATGAAACTCACATGTGAAATTATGAGCGAATAAACGAGTGTCATCCAGTACGTAGTGCTATTATTTGTTTAGTGCATCATAGCTTATATATGGCACACATATTGGCATGACGCATGCAAAATCTTTGCGGCTAATTAAAGTTAATTAACTAAAGTTTAGTCCACTGACAGATATGTGCATCGAGTAGTAGGAGCATATATAGCCACAAGATGACAAAGAAACAAAGACGTATGAGAAGGCTGGTAATTGCCTAATTGGCCACCATTGTCAACTGATTTCCCCCACGTTTTCCCCTGTCCTGTAAAAAGTTTTTCCAAGTAGTGGAGTAATTTTTTTTCTCTGGATTTTACGTTTACAGGAGGTTAATTAAGCAGCTGCAATGTGCTGCTGCTTGCTTTTGATCAAAGTAATCAATTCGTGCTCGTGCGTGTGCTCGTTTCCATCGTGAGAACAATTAATATAATGTACTGCCAATTGTGTTAGGACATATATATATGTAATTAAATAGAGGAGTAAAACAGAAATAGAATCCGATCTGCTGCTGCCGCTAATGACGAGTTCCATTTTTTTTAATCAGGGGAAGCTGCTGCGTGAATTCATCGAGGTCGTAGTAGAGCGAAGGGTGGGTCCCACCCTAAAAATCGAGGCTTTTATATACTCCACCGCCCCGCTTGCTTTGCTGTTCCATATGTACATCTCCTCTCCACACACTTCACACTTCACCTCGATCGATCGATCGCCCGCAGTAGTTAGCGAGAGTGATCGATCGATGGAAGAGGCGGCGGCGGCAGCGGACATGAACGGCGGCGTGCATCAGTCCCGGTTCCGGCGGGTTTGCGTGTTCTGCGGGAGCAGCTCCGGCAAGCGGCGCAGCTACCGCGACGCCGCCGTCGAGCTCGGCAAGGAGCTGGTATATATGCGTGATTAATTAATTTCTCTCCATGTTGATCATGATTAATTCATGCATTCGATCGAGCTCGATCAATCAGCTCTAGTTAACTAGCTAATTAATTAACTGATTAAGACGATGAATTAACTGGTAGGTGGCGAGGAAGGTGGATTTGGTGTACGGAGGAGGCAGCCTGGGTCTCATGGGGGAGGTCGCCGAGGCCGTGCGCAACGGCGGCGGCCACGTCATTGGGTCCGTACACATAGGCACCCCCTCTCTTCGTTCTCCTCGTGTTGCCTAGCTAGCTCGTACTCTGTCTGTTCAATGATCAATCCGGCAATGTTTAATCAATTTCTTTCTTGATGCATGCAGCGTCATACCTACCACTCTGATGGGCAAGGAGGTAAAGAATTGATTTCAACAGCTCATTAATTTCAGTCATATATATTGACTAGCTAATAATTAATTAAGGTAATCAAATGGTAGAAATTAATGATGAGGTACGTGTAGGTAACGGGAGAGACGGTGGGGGAGGTGCGGGAGGTGGGGAGCATGCACGAGAGGAAGGCGGAGATGGCGAGGAGGTCGGACGCGTTCGTGGCGCTGCCGGGAGGGTACGGGACGCTGGAGGAGGTGGTGGAGGTGATCGCGTGGGCGCAGCTGGGCATCCACGCCAAGCCCGTCGGCCTCCTCAACGTCGACGGCTACTACGACTTCCTCCTCGCCTTCGTCGACAAGGCCGTCGCCGACGGCTTCATCCCCCCTTCCCACCGCCACCTCTTCGTCTCCGCCCCCGACGCCCCCTCCCTCGTCCACAAGCTCGAGGTATATATATATATATATATATATATATATATATATATATATATATATATATATATATATATATATATATATATATACAGGCTTAGCAATCTTAAAATTGTGATTTTTGTCGCGGGGATAAAAAAACCCGAAATATCTGGAATTTCGATATTTTTTTGGCTGACCCTTTTTTAAGAATTTTGATGAATTTTGAATGAATTTGAATAAACTTTAATCAAATTAAAAAAACTGAAATTTCTGACGTGATATGTGCTTGCCGGTAGGGGGGCGAAGTTACCAAAAAATTCAATTACCATACACATCTCCATCCATCAATCATCATCATCTTCTTCTTCTGCATCGATCGTATAGTCGTAGGCCAGTCGAGAGTATTCTCAGTACAGTCGTATTATTTTGATGTAATTGGCTATTTGTGGACTCTCGTATGCTTTCTCGATAGATATATCTGTCCTTCGATTCCCTGGACAACACGGCGGCGATCGGTCCACTGACCTGATCCGCTAGCTATAGCTAGTTACTGTTTCCAAGCTGAGCTGATTCAAACATGACCAGTGTTTTGACTTGTTTTGTGCTTGCAGGAGTACGTGCCGGTGTAGCAGGAGGGCGACCCGGAGACGCCCAAGCTGCGTTGGGAGATCGAGCAGCAGGCAGCCGTCCAGGTCGTCGGCTACAGCTCCTCGCTCCACGCCCAGCTAGCTATTGCAGATTAATCTCTCGATCTGAATTACTTAGTAATTAATCTGGTTGACTAAGTAGATCATCAACGAGAGGATGCAGAGGAGGAACAGGTACCTAGTACGTACTTACGAATTCTAAAAAAAAAGGTACTCTGTACTCCTCAATTATCTGCCTTTAGCTAGTGTATTATGTACGTGCTCTGGTTATTGCTTATTGTTAGCTGGTCTGGCTGCATGTACTCTATATATATATGATGCAGTTCTGTACATATACATCGATCGATCGAGCGTGTCGCTTTAATCTGTATAGTGTACTATCTGCTCCGTAGCACACGTATAGGGGGATGGTAATTAATTAAGCACTACTCCCTCCGTACCAAAATAAGTGTAGTTTTACACTATTCATATTCAACGTTTGACCGTTCGTCTTATTTAAAATTTTTTTATAATTAATATTTTTGTTGCTATTAGATGATAAAACATGAATATACTCCCTCTTGTTTTGGGACGGAAATCCACGGATATCCACGGATGCACTTATTTTGGGACGGAGGTAGTATCATATACTCCCTCTTCCCTAAATGTTTGACGCCGTTGACTTTTTTAACATGTTTGACCGTTCGTCTTATTCAAAAACTTCTGTGAAATATGTAAAACTATATGTATACATAAAAATATATTTAACAATAAATCAAATGATAGGAAAAGAATTAATAATTACTTAAATTTTTTAATAAGACGAACAGTCAAACATATTTAAAAAAATCAACGGCGTTAAATATTTTGGAATGGAGGGAGTACGATCACGTGAAGCATGCACGGAGTTGTAATGTAATGCCTCTCGAGAGCGACTCAAACCAGCTGGATATATATATGTGCAAAAGTTGGAATAAGATATAGTCCAAAATGTCGGAGGAACACGTGTTCGATCGAGAAGATCGAGGAGATGTGTACTCCAGTGCACAGACTCAAGGTGTGTTTAGTTGGGGGAAAAGGAAATTTTTAGGTGTCACATTAGACGTTTGATCGGATATCGGAAGGGGTTTTCGGACACGAATAAAAAAACTAATTTCAGAACTCGCCTGGAAACCACGAGACGAATCTTTTGAGACTAATTAAGCCATCATTAGCACATGTGGGTTACTGTAGCACTTATGACTAATCACGGACTAATTAGGTTTAAAAGATTCGTCTCGTGATTTCCCCCATAACTGTGTAATTAGTTTTTCTTTTTATCTATATTTAATGTTTTGTGCATGTGTGTATAGATTCGATGGGATGTTTTTAGGAAAAAATTTTAGTAACTAAACGGGCCCTCACAGGGACGACGGCTAGGTTTACTTTAGTTTACCATCGGTCAGACGGCGCCGGTTACCGGGATAACCGGGGGTTTACAGTACAACCGGGTGATCAGTAACTAAACTGTACGAATGGAGAGGTCACCTACTGCATACTCTCTCCGTAAAAAAAATAACCTCCTAATTTCCCAAGACAAAATTAAATAGAAGGCTGAATGACCAAAATACTCCTTATTAATAGCAAATTAGTATTGGTGAATAAGTAGATAAGGAGTATTAAAGAAATAATTTTTTTTTATTTGTGAACTAAAAGTGGATGAGAATGTAGAAGTTGATTTATTTTAGGACAAAGTTTAAATTTCATAAGTTGATTTATTTTAGAACGGGGGAGTGTACGCATGCCCTGCGCCCATGCAATTCAACAGGTCAATCAGTCAGATCACCAGATATCAGCTGAGCCGTCGCTATGGCCTCGTTTAGTTACAAATTTTTTCTTAAAACTACCAACTTTTCTATCACATCAAAACTTTCCTACATAAATAAACTTCTAATTTTTTCATCACATTGTTTCAATTTCAACCACATTTTTAATTTTAGCGTGAACTAAACATACCCTATATATGGTGTAGTGATTGGGACGGTGTGCTAAGCTAGCCGAAAATATATATTATCGCCTATCGTTGTAGCATGGTAAACCGGCCGCATGGATCAAAAGTACAATGTTTTACTGGAAAGATTTAGGAAATTCGTCGGCTGATCAATCCGTCCGTCCAGCGCTAGCTAGCTAGTTAGCTGATCCGGGCGCCGGCTGGCTTGCTTAAATTTCCATTCAATTCGACGGGCTCCGCCAGGGTCTTTACTGTCGCTGCTGCTGCTGCTGCTGGCATTTCATGCACTTCGTGCCAACGACTAGTAGCTAGCTAGCGCCCCTGCACGCAGTAACACACATTTGTGACTAGCTCATCTGCCAATATGCCATGCCATGCCGAGCTCTAAGAGACTCTGACGAGTAGTAGCAGCAGCAGCAGCATCTCTTATCTTCTCTGCGACTCTAGCTGCTGCAATCATGGCACGCTGCTGTTGTCAATCATGGCGTCGACCTAATCCGATCCGATATTAACAGGCCACCGATCGATCGATCGCCATGCACCGTACGTACGTATTACCGTACGTGCTGGCGCCTGGTGTACAAACTGAATGTCTCCATGGAGTACTGTGTACGTACGTATAGTGCTCGATCGGTTGTGTACGTCAATGCACTGTGCATGAGCTAGCTGATGTGTTCGATGATCTGACACCAATAATTCGAGCACTGTACATGTTGGTGGAGTACGTTACGCGTGTCCCACGCATATAGTATATAGCTAGAGTACATCTGTCCGAGTCATGAATCGTCTCTGTTTCGCTCCCAATAAACGCGCGCGCACAGTGTTATACATGAATGCGCCAATGCATGCAAACAACGATCGACCTGCATCGATCCATGCACGAAATGTTCGCAAGACCAGAGACGAGCTTGTGCATGCTAGTGCTCTACTGCATGCCTTCAATTTGAGCCAGCCATGCATGCAGCGCTAGCTGCAATAACCAAACTGCACCAACCAAAGCAAAGTGCAATATGTTATCCCCTCCATATATATATAGTAACTGCTAGTAGCACATAACACATACTCCCTCCGTCCCATAGAAAACCAATCTAACATTAGATGTGACATATCCTAATACTACGAATCTGAACATATCTTTGTCTAGATTTTTTGTACTAGAATATATGTCACATCCAATTCTAGATTTGTTTTTTTCGAGATGGATGAAGTATAGAGTTAAATGTAGTTGTCCTACGACAATCCTACTATATAGCTAGTGTCTACTGGTGCAGATCAAATCGAAATGCAATGTACGTATGGCCGCGGCACGAAGATGATCATTGATCACCTATAGCTAGTAGTTCAGCACGTCGTGGACCACTAGTAGTTCACTGATGCATAAATACGGACTGGATCGGATCAAACATTCGCTGCATGTAGATGGATCGATGTAGGTATACCAGCTGGCTCATGGCGATCGAGACGGTCAGTCGTCTCAGGCCGGTGTGCAGAGCAGAAGCAGATCAAGATAAGCTGCTAGAGCGAGCTGGGGCTAGCACTAGTACTACCTCAGCTCTCCAATCCAACAGTATGTATGTACCTTCTATATGTGCGCCGTGACGACGAAGACGACGACGACGACACGAGTCGCTAGCTTGTTTCGACGGGACGAGGCCCGGCCTCCCGGCCTTCACGCTGCTGATCGACACGAACATGTCATATGACCTGCAGGTACATGCACACTCGAGTGATCGTACTCCTACTCTCATCTGCTAGTAGCAAGGTGCAGCAGCTCGATCTGAAACTAGCAGCGGAAAACGCACCCGATCCCATGCAATGCCATGCACGCGTGTAAGAGCGTGGAGAGGCAGGCTGGGGCTTTGGCTTAGCGCAGTTAGCATACGTACTCCTATACATGGCGCATGGCGCACTTTGCGTACGTACGTGCGACTGCGACATGCGCAGCGAGAGCTAATGAGCTTTAGCCTTGAAAACAAAAGGAGATGGGATGACTATCCATTTGTCTGGTGATTTTTAACAAGAAATCACCTAAATTTTTTCTACCCTTAGATTTACATCCAACGAACTACAAAAAGAAAATAAAAAATACATATTTACTTACACATCATTGTTATCAAAATTACAATGCACTTACATGCCATATCAACTGAATTTATAAATGTAATTTTAGTTATATAGGACTGTAATTTTACAATTTAAAGAAAATAACAAATACATATTTACTTACATATCATTGTTATCAAAATTACAGTGCACTTACATGTCATATCAACTAAATTTACAAATGTAATTTTAGTTATATATGACTGTAATTTTACATTTTAGAGAAAATACAAATACATATTTACTTGCATATCATTGTTATCAAAATTACAGTGCATTTACATATCATATCAACTAAATTTAAAAATGTAATTTTAGTTATATATGACTGTAATTTTACATTTTAGAGAAAGTACAAATACATTTTTACTTACACATGGTTGTTATAAAAATTACAGTGCACTTACATATCATATCAACTAAATTTACAAATGTAATTTTAGTTATATAGGATTGTAATTTTGTATTTTGGTTTCAAACGAGAGAGAAGGAGAGAGAACAACACGCATGTCAATTTTTCGAAGCGTAAAAAAAGTGAGACTGACCGATCGACGCTGGTACACGCGGCCCAACAGAATCCTATGCGGGTTCGCACTTCCCAGCCCAATATATGCGCACGAATCTTCGCACACATCGAATGGCCTAAAAAATGACAAATCTGAGAGAAAAAATCACACGACAAATCTACAGCAAAATCGAAAGGAGATAAAAAAAACAAACAGAGATGCTCCATAAAGGCCTGAAGATTGATGGGCCGAAAATTGGTATATATAGTGCTGTAGTTAGCCCATGGGACATCGTAACCTTGCACCAAGCCCACTAGCAAGAGAATGAAGTACGTGTGCTGAGGAATATTTGAATCTCCGCTGCTTCTTGATAGTCCCTACTCTCTCTATTTCATACAAAACCAATCTATAAATTATAGCATTACAAATCAGAATATATCTTTATTCAGATTTATAAAATTATAATATATTACATCTAATATTAAATTGATTTTTTAATGGAACGGAAGGAAATGATAGCAGATTGAGAAATGCGGTACTCCTCTCACTGGTGGAGAAACCCTTTGTAGTCCCGGTTCATAACCCCCCTTTAGTCCCGGTTTCCAAACCGGGAGTACCAATCCGGGACTAAAGATCGCTATCTTTAGTCCCGGGTGAAATAACCGGGAGTAAAGATCGATCTTTAGTCCCGATTGGTAACACCAACCGGGACTAAAGATCGAGCTGATCTTTTTTTTTTGCATGGCCCTGTTGCTGCATGGTTTATATATATATATATATATATATATATATATATATATATATATATATATATATATATATATATATATATATATATATAAACCATGCATATATATATATGTTTCAATACATATATATGCATACATATATATATATATGTATATATATATTATATTATATTATATTATATTATATGTATATACATGCATAATATATATGTATTTATACATATATATGTTATGCAAATGCATATGTATATAGATATATATATGACCAAAATATATTTACATTATAGAAAATGTGTACACATGCATATAGAAACATATGTAGTCATGTATTAATTACAATCCATTATATGTCCTAGCTAGCTACGATTTCGACGTAGTAGTAGTCGCTGCTAGCTCAGAAGCTAAGGACCGGTGAATTGTGTTTCCATCGTAGTAGAATTCACCCTTGGGATCAAGGATTTCTTCGTTGATGAATCCCATGAGTTGTTCTTGAACCGCTGCGATAAATTCCTTGTGTGTGGTCAGGTTATCCCTCATGCGAATAAACTATATGAATGTATGAAATTGATTAGTAATTAAACAAGAAATCGTTACGTAATGAAATTTTGAATTTATTTGTACGTACATCGAGCTCTCTTGTGGTGATGATTTGGTCTGCAAGGCAGTGGCAATACTCACACACGTAGTAGCCGCACAAGTTAGTTCCCTGCTTTTGCTTTGCGCACTACAAATAAATGACAAATTAACGGCGTGAGATCTAATTAATATACAGTTGTATGTATTAATTTGAATCGGAGAAATATAAATGTAGAGCATGTGTACTCACAGGAAATTTGAACCTCCGCCTAAGTCTTTCTCTCCAGTTGCCGCGGACCAAATGACGGAACCGATACCAAGCCCTACATGGAGTTTAAAGATATGGTTCGTAGTAGAAATAATTAACATAACAAGAATTTCTTAATTAACAGAGAAACTTATGCCAGTACCTGTCTATAAGTTCGAAAACCTTGTCAAACGTAGACTCTTTTTTATCCATTGAGTCATATACATTGACGGTGCAGGCCGACAGGTCGAAGAGTAAAAGCACCCAGTGGAATCTGCAATGTGCGTGGGATGCATTACATACCAACCGGGACTAAAGATTCCGGGGGGGCCTGACATGACCTGACAGCATTCGAACCGGGACTAAAGATGATCTTTAGTCCCGGTTGGTAACACAAACCGGGACCAAAGATCAAATATGCCCGTTACCCTTTTGAACCGGGACTAAAGATCATCTTTAGCCCCGGTTTTTATTGCATCCGGGACTATTGTGAAAATCGGCCGACCGACGAAAGATGTTTCTCCACCAGTGTCTCCCCTGGTGAAAAATCGTCGTGCAAGCTAGCCTGTCAGGTCGCAATGCACCCGTGCACCCGTGATCGACTGATAGAGCGCGCGGAGCAGACGCCACGCGATGCATATATATGCGCGAAGTCGCGAACCAACCAACCAACCAGCGCTGAGACCAGCGGGTACTACTGCCAAGTTGGTGCTCACCAGAGTGCGTGCATCGCGTCACAAGATTCGTAATACGCATGCAATCAGTCGCAGACTCACCGGATCGAGTGGAGGTGCGCCACTGATAGTACTATATCCGTTCTGCTTCTGCTTCGTCGCCTGCATGCCTCCCGTGGCCGCGGCAGCCGCGTCGCACGGTCGAGACGTACGCGAATTTGGCGGTTCGGCTTGGTCGCCCTCCACACGGATCGCGCCGATGCGACACGTTGTTGCGCACTTGCGCTAGGGGAGTTCACATGGAGTAGCAGCTGCGCCTGCGCGGAGCTGGACAACGGCAGAGTTGAAATCGGTGTTCAGGCACCTGGTGCAGAGCACACATGTGCAAGCATCTCCATCTCCTTCTCCTAGGCATTGCTTGGATGCAACGCCGATGCTAATGTGTGCCACCCAAAAAAAGAAAAAGAAAAAGGGAAATATGAGTGCCCAAAATGTCCCAGATTCTGACAACTCTCACCAGAAACTCCATAAAAATTTGCTGTTATGTTTCTGGATGAAATCATAACAACATTTTTTCTACTTGATTGGTTTTGGATGAAATTACTTTCCCGCAAACCCGCATTCTACATTTCTACTTCCGTTCTGGTGGCACACCACGTTCATAAAAACTTTCAGTTCGATTTCGGCTGTCGCTCGCAGACACACAGCAACGCAAACCAACGCAAAAACATGTCGAAACCTGTTCGCCGGCACGGCTGCAGGAGGTCACGGCGCCCAGGCCGCAACGCCCTGCCGACCAACCGCCCTGCACGAGCTGCAGAGGCTCCGAGCGTCGTCGTGCTCCTCCCCGGCGGCGTCGGCGCTCGTGGCGCTCGGCGGTGCGTACGGCCGCGTCGAGGAGCTCGTCCGCCTCCCCTCCACCACCAGCAGCCGCCGCGACGGCGACGACGCGCCGTGGAGGAGAGCCGCGGAGGAGGAGGCGCTCGACGCGTCCGTTCGCCGCGGACGCCGTCGCGTCCCCCAAACAGCACGTCCGCGCGGCGCCGGAGACCACGAGACGCCGCCGGGACGTCGTTGTTCGCCAGCACGGAGGCGCAGCGGCTCTTGCGCTGCTTGACGAAGGTGACCAGGAACGCGTCGAACGCCAAGAAGAAGGTCGTGGCCGGCAAGCGTTCGCTGGCGGCTCAAAACGAGACGCCGCCGGCGGTGAAGGCCTTGTCGGAGGCAATGGCCGCCACCGTGGCCGTCCTGCGGGGCGTGGCGACATCTTTGTACGGAAGAATCGTGGACACGAAGAAGAGGAGATGGTTGGTCGTCACACTCACACCATCCGTGTAAGGATTTAGAGAGTGATGGTGAGGATTTGTTGCAGGGATTAGAGGAGAGCGTAGAGGGAGTGGAGAGTGGACTCGAGTATTTATTTAGGTGTTTAGTTCAAAGCAGAGTTGCTTTGCTTAACATGCTTACCTTGTAGAGTATAGTATGTAAATTATTAACACTCTCTAATAAAAAAAATCATGACACATAATTTTTTTTTATTTTTACCGACGGACTACAAAATAACCTCGCTTGTACAAAAACTCCGAACCCAGTATGCTCCGTCCAACTAAGCCGTGGAGTAGGTCGCTTGTACAAAAACTCGAATGCTCCGTTCAGGAATCAACGCGGCCTACTATGGACTAATTGGGCTCAGCCGTGGTCCTTTCTTATTGGGCTTGTAACAGGACCGTGCGGCACCAATCGTGTTGGGCCGAAACAGGACTGTGCCTACGTGCGGCCCATAATGTGTTGGGCTGGGGCAGAAATTCCGCCTCGGGTGAGGTCCATATCTATTACGGGAGCCGCTCCCTGCCGCCGCCGCCGCCACCCGCCGCGAACGACGCGCCTTCCCGACGCCGATCGAGCGCACTCCTCCCTGCTATATTTGGGTACACGGTGTAGTCCGATCTGTTTCATCGATTAACCTTGCTCGATTGATTGATCCCGTCCCCTCCTTTGATCTGAGATTCAGAATTACTTCTTGTGTTATTGTCATCTACAAAAGGTGCAGGCAACGTGCTCGACGGAATGCTGACCACGAGCGACATGGCGTCGGCCGCCGGCGGTGCCAGCGGCAAGGACTGGTTTGACTGCCTCCCCGATGATCTAGTGCACCACGTCCTGTCCTTCTTGCCAGCGCTGGACGCCGTCCGCACCAGCGTTCTGTCGCGGAGGTGGCGCGACTTCTGGGTCTCCATGCCTCGCCTCAACGTCGACGTAGGTGACTTCCGCGACGACGGTCAGTTCGAGAATTTCACGGTCCACGCGTTGCCTCTCTTGGACAGCAGCGTGCCCTTGCGCTCTCTCCGTCTCCGTTCTTCCCTACACTACCTTTCTGCCTTGTGGGTCAACCATGCTGTCAAGCGCAAGGTTGCTGTGCTTGAGTACTCTGGGCGTGCGGAACTGTGTAGCTCTGTTGATGCCAGCCTCAGCTTGGCTTCTTCATATCTGACTAAGGTGGTGCTCAAACATTTTGATTTTGATTATGGCCAGTTTTGGCCATTGATCGATGCATGCCCTGCCCTGGAAAATCTGGAGCTTTTGGATGTTTGGACCTTCTACTCAGTAACGATCTCGTCAAGTTCACTCAAGCATCTGCGGATCGTCAGCTGTTTATTTTACAATGGATTCCGGATCAATGCTCCAAATCTTCTCACAATGTGCCTTGACGATGTAAATGTCAATGGTCCTTTGGGACATGATTCTTTGGTCTTGGAGAACTTGTCATCCTTAATGACTGCTTCAGTCAGTGTATACCATTGTTTCTATCCTAAACATTATGTCAAAACTGAGCTGCATTTTTTTCATGGCCTTTCACATGCTAGAAACCTAAAATTGATAGCTCCACTATATGAGGTTTGTACAAACTCCTTAACTATTTCAGGTTAAGTTTGTTTCTAGACTACCATTGTTTTTTTTTTTTACCATTTTGATATAACATCTAACCTATAATTTGTTTTGTTCTTTTTGTTTGGGTGCACAGGCTCTGTTTGAGGAGGGCTTACCAACATGCCCGGTCTTTAACAACTTAAAATGCTTGGTACTTGGTGACTGGTGCATGGCTTTTGACCTTTATCCACTACGTTGTATCCTTAGGCAGTCACCAATGTTAGAGGAGCTCTGTGTGGAACTTGGGGAGGTACATAATTGTTTCTGCATCTTACTCCAGAACCGTGCAAGGGCAACAAACCAATGCTTGTTTGTGATATATGGTTGGTTGCTGAGCTTACGGCTATTGTTTCTATTCTAGTTTGGCGATTGGTTTTTTTTTAATGAAAATCATTAAATAAAGCAGGAGAAAAATACAACCCCTAAGGCTATGTTTGGATAATGGGAAATGAAGAGTGGATTGGTATTGGGAAATGAATCAAGGGCTAGGATGAAATAAGTTAGAGAAAATGGATGGTTAGGATTCAAAGTTACCCCTTCATAGGTGGAAAATTATTTCCCTTTCCATTATCCAAACGGTGCCTAAGAGCGAAAATAAAAGGGGAGAACTGTACACTTTAAACAAGATGTGGTATAAGCTCATGTTGGCGCTTAGCCCCTGCCATGGACCTAATGGAACTTTTTTTTCCTTATTGCAGGAGGAGTGTGAGAATTGCAAGAACAGAAAACCAGCTTTCTCATATGGGGAAATATCACCATTTTGGTGTGATCGCCTGAAGACCATCAAAATCAAATGTACCGAACATGATGAGAGATTTGTCGCTTTGCTGCAACTGTTTTGCAAGATCTTAGTCTGTATTGAGGAAGTTGACATAGATAGGCAGTGGGTTAGTGCTCAGCCTCCCGATTCGTCTGAGCTTTGAAGGCCACAGAAAAACCTGGCAAATGTCTAATGATTTGTATCCTTATCATCTACTCCCCCGTCCAAAAAAACTAAATCTCGTACTAGATATTGGTACGTTGTCCAGATTCATAATATTATAATATGTCAACGTCTAATATGAGGTTTAGTTTTTTTAGACGGAGGGAGTAGTACACAACCTTGATAGCACTGGCAGGAGTTCGTGCTACCTTGCGGGCTTGTGATATCTATTTTGTTGCCATGGAGATGCCTGGCGCCATGATAATTAAGACTTTCGTTTGATTTATGAACCAAAGTGATTTATATGATAATTAAGACTTTGGTTTGATTTATGGAGATTGGTTGATCGTTTCATAGAAGCAAACACATTCAACAGTCCAAAAGTATCTGTACCCACTCCACATTCAAGATTGTACACGAAAACACAGAAATTGCAGGGCATTATAAAGATCGACTTTTAGATCCTACCAATTCAGAAAAATCTCACACTTATACAAATCCTTTGTCAGAAAAATCTACCCATTGCGACAGGAACAGATAAGGAAAAAAAAAACATATGTACGTGTCAGCAAAGTGCCTACAGAAAAATCCCCAAAACTGCGTACATAATTACTACTCCAAAAAACATAATTACTGTATTACACAACTTGGGATGCCAACTAGCAATCAGAGAAACTAGCATATGGTAATTTTTTTTAGAGGGAACTAGCATATGGTAATCAAAACGTGATTTACACGCAAGATTCTCACGTTCGCTATGGTGTCAATCTTGCGTACATCGAGTTAGCCACGGAGTATATATCCAAATCCAAAAAAAAAAAAATCGTCATCAGCACCGAATTTCTTGCCCAATAAATATCGCCCTCCTCCCCCTCGAACGCAACGGCTCGCAAAAGCAAAAACCGAAAGTCCGAAACACCTCCTTCTTTTTCTCCGCGCCCGCATTTCCACCAACCGCCACCGCCTCTCCACCACCTTCCTCCCCATCGCCGCCTCCTCTCCACCTCCACCTCCTCCCCGTCGCCGACTCGCCGCTGCGGCGATTTCGACGAACACCTCGCACTCGCCTCCGCCTCCGCCTCCTCCTCCAAGGGCTCCGACTCGATCGCGTCGGGCGAGGCATTTCCACGAACACCTCGCCTGCGGCTGCGTGCTGTCTCCCACGGCGCAATGCGCAGAGGAGCATCCCAAGCGCAGCAGCGCAAGGACGCCGAGGCTGCGGAGCAGCTGGATCGCCTTATGCGGGAGGCGAGCAGCCCGCGCAAGGAGGCCAGGGAGGCGTTGCTGCTGGATCGCTCGCGCCGCCACGACGAGGCGATCGCCCGCGTCGACGAGCTCGCGGCCAAGCACCCGGAGTCCGCGGCCGTGGCACACCTCGCCGGGCTCCTCCACTACCACGCCACCTCCCGCGCCATGGCCGCCAAGGACAGGCAGGGTGTCGAGGCGCACTGCAACACCGCGCGCGACTTCTACATCAAGGCCAAGCGGCTCGCCCCCAACTGCGTCGAGATCGCCGTCCGCCTGGCGCTAGCGCGGCTCCGATGCTTCAATGACGGCGAGGCGGAGCCCGAGATCGAACGCGCCTTGGCCATCCCCTTCCCCACCGACCCCGCGGAGAACAACGTCGCGTACGACAACGCCCTGGGCACCACCAGCTCCAGGGACAGGGTGGAGAAGGCGAGGAGGGTGGCCCTCGCTCGCCGCCCCGAGATTCTGTCCTACGTGCGCAACAGGTCCATTCCCGGCGATGTCCGCACCGTGCTCGACTACGCCGACAGCGATGGCGTGGCCAAGGCGGTGAAGCCAGCGAAGGAGGTCGCCCTGCGCTACCCCTACTCGGCGCGCGCGCACCTCATCTACGCATACATCCGCCTCAAGTTCGCTCAAGGCATGGCCCCGGGCATCGACAACCGGACGTTTCTGAGTCGCATCCTCGCCGATTTGGACAAGGTGGCAAGTCAGTTCAAGACCTCGCTTGTGCTCGCCATGTTCCGCGCCAAGCTCTCGTTTCTCCTGGGCATGTATATTCCTATGACAGTTGAGTGCATCCGGGCGAGCACCATGGAGTGGCCTGCTGATCCGTGGGATGATGACGTACCTGTTAAATCTGTGCTCGGAGAGAAACCTGAAGATAGGGTGGCTTCTATCCGCAAAGAGTTTGGACGTTTACAAAAGAAGCTTGACGTGGTGGCCATAGATCACATGCAATCCTTAACAATCGAAGAGCGGGACAGTGTTCTATCAGTGGGACTCAATTCGATGCTTCAACACTACACTAATGAAAAAATTGACGAGGCTACAAAGATCGTGTCTGAGGCACTCAGCTTTGTCCAGAAAAGCGGGTCATGGAGGTATTGGATTTGCCCCTATTGTGTTGGCAAGAAGATCCCGAACACTGATGCGCTCTTGCAACACATGCGCAACAAGCACCCGGAAGGGAGTGTCTGGCCGAAGCTGCTGTCTGTTTTAGATCCAAACTTGATTTCCGATACATCTCGGGGTGATCATTTCTCGGATGACATGACTGTCTATAAAGATTCAGAGGAGCAATATGTCTTCCATTTCAAAAGGATTCTGCCACCTGCCGTAACTGATCAAAGGCCATTTTCTGAAATACGAGAGAACAAATGCACAGAAGGAATTAAAATCCTTGAGAAGATCAAGCTAAAGCTGAAGAATGCCCCCGCAGACATTTTAAGCACCAAGGTTTGACAATCTTCCCTTTTGCATGGTCTTGTTTCAGCATTTTTCTCGCTCTGACAATTATATTTATTGGCCTAAACTTTTCACATTGCAGTTTAATGAGGCTTGTGCTGAAATCCGGGACTTGTGGCATGATTTCCTTGAAATCTCTGTTCTGGATTTTCGTGTAGTTATCTTACCCCATGTGATGGTTTTCATATGGGTATGTTTATATCTGGAGGCTCTTGTTTATGTGTAGTTATCCATCTGTTCACTCTTACTATGTACTGATCTACAAATCTACAACTATCTTTACAGGAACGGTTTCTGCAACGCATGAGTGAAAAGGCTGCCAGTGAGAGTGTTAATGCTGCTGATATTGGTGTTGTATTTCCTTATGTTGATACTCCTGATATTGATGAAATACTTCCTAATGTCGATGATGCCCTTGACAACAGTGCTGCTGACAATGATGCAATATGTCCCAATGTTCCTGATGCATCTGACAGCGATGCTGCTAATATTGATGAAATACTTCCTAATGTCAATGATGCCCTTGACAACAATTCTGCTGACAATGATGCAATATGTCCCAATGTTCCTGATGCACCTGACAGCGATGCTGCTAATATTGATGAAATACTTCCTAATGTCGATGATGCCCTTGACGACAATTCTGCCGACAATGATGCAATATGTCCCAATGTTCCTGATGCATCTGACAGCAATGCTGCTAATATTGATGCAATACATCCTAATGTTGTTGATGCCTCCAGTAGCAATGCTTCTAATACTGATGCAGTATGTCATGGCATTGATGATGCCCAGGGCAGAGATGCTGCAGTATGTCCTAATGTTGACGATGCCCCTGAAAACAATGCTGATGATATGGATGCAGTAATTCCTGACACTGCCGATGCCCCTGAAAACAACGCTGATGATATAGATGCAGTAATTCCTAACACTGCCGATGCCCCTGAAAACAATACCGATGATATGGATGCAGTAATTCCTAACATTGCCGATGCCCCTGAAAACAATGCTGATGATATGGATGCAGTAATTCCTAACACTGCCGATGCCCCTGACAGAAATTCTGATATCAAAGATGGCTCCAATCTCTCCCACGCAAACAAGGTCCAGGAAGATGAAGCCAACCAAAAACCAGAGAACACTACGGTTGTTTATTTTCCTATATTTATAGTATTTGCTAAGTAACTTTAATTGAAGTGCTAACATCTGAAATTCCTTTCAGCTGTCATGCTCAGACGGCACATCAACAGATGTAATTGATAAACAAAGGTATGAATGCTTCTTTTTTTAATTATCAAGCAGGATTATTGTTCCATTAGAGTAGTTCAGTTAATAACTGTCCACTGTCAATCTGTTTTCTTTTATGTATTGCCCAATATGTCAACAAACTTGTATTTTTTTCACTAATGATTCACTTACTGAACCATGTAACTTCCCCATTTTTTATTTGTGGAAAACCTCCCTGTTGTTTCTAAAGTTAGCATATGTTCAGAATGAATAAGTGCATGTAATGTGGCTACTTCAATAGTTAGTAAATAGAAACATGTTACGTGGAGATATTGTTTAGCAGGGAACATGCTATGTCAGTTGGGCATGTGTTTCAGAAACCAATGGAATGATGGGATTTTTAAGATCCACATTTGCACGTGCAAATGATCCATGTAATAGAGAAAAGGGCAACTGATGATGGTTATTATCAGTGTGTGAGCTACTAAAGAATACATACTGTGTAAGCCACTTAAGAATACATATTGTCAGCTTGTAAATTAGCATCACTCTGATAAAATTTAACAAGTATTTTAGAAATAAGGAGAGGTGTGTCAGTCAATTTCCGTCTAGAAAGCTACTAGGTATTTTGAACATTGTGAACTGTTTTTCCTCATTATCTTGTAATTCTATACCCGATTTAGTGATGGTGCATAATTCTGTGACAACATAAAGAAATATTTTGTTTTTTATAGAGATTGGAGATCAGCATGACAACTATTTCTTCAGTCTACATTTTGAAATACACGCGTGTGAGAGACCATCGTTTCTTTATATCATCTTTATGATCTAAAAATGCTGCATCTCGTTATATCATTGTGTTTTTACTGTGTCTGGGTCCTCTTGATCCTTCATGTTTGTGATCTCTGATAGATTCATAAAAATAGCTAGTATCGTTACTGATTATCATTTTTTGTTTCTCCAATACGTACAAGAGCTCAAAAGTTTTTCCTTGGTGCAGTGACGCACATGTTAAAGATGAGGACTATGGTGCCACAGTAAATGAAAATGAGTCAAATTCACCAACTGAAATGGTGGAATATGGAAACGAGCTGGATGCAACACCAGGTAATATGGAGGCAGATCTAAAATGTGACAGCCTGAAAAGAACTTCTCTACCCAGTTTAAGTGACCAAATTTACAGTGCAGCAAACACTGCTTCACACTTGTTAGGTACATATATTTCATTTGAAACGAAAGGAACTTTGCTACATGTGTAGAAATTCTAGCTGTAGCACAGTGCTGTCAATATTCCAGTTTAGCAGATAACCAATAGATTATCGATGTCATGTGAACTTGGTTCCATTTTGGTTTTATTTTAGTTTGGTGTTATAAAAAACAAACTGTCTAAGCTACTGGAATTTCGGCACAGTTGATTGAAATTGAAGGATGCATGTTCACTTAATCTAACTGCCAACGCTCTCTTATGTGTGAAATGTCTTTACAGATCCATTGCACATGTTCTTTATCTAGTATCTAGTCTAATCCAGGTAAACTGTAGGCAACATTTTGCATTACCTAGAGGGCAAGACCATTTGACCTATTGACCCCACCTAGGTTTGACAGGAAAAGTCCTTATATTATGTTTTACTTTGATGTCATTTTATTGTTATCAGCGAGCTTATTATTGCTTTATTGTAATTACCTTCTTCAATGCAACCCATCTTTAATGGATTTAGATCTTTGTTCTGTGCATTTGTTGTACCAAACGTACTACAGCGGCTTCAGGACATTAAAAATGATGATATTTGTAATGTTACCATTTACTATGAAAAGTATAGTCATTTGTTTCTTAGACTAAGACATTCTGTTAGCGATTCTGAATTATGTTCAGTAATGCAGCAAGATAATTTTTTTTTTCTGATTGGCAATCTTATAATAGGAAAATTTGACCACTCTACTGAGGAAATTGCAAGCATTTCCTGCTACCAAAAAAGCATTGATGATCTCAAAAAGAACAATGCTGATGAAGATCTGTATTTCTTGAATGTGATAATACAGGTAGCTGAAATTTGTACCAGACTTTGTACATTGCCGTATACTTTTTTTTTTCTAATTCATTGTAAACTCGTACAGTTACTGTGGAATTTGAGGCACTTCCGGAATGAATTTCTAAGGGGGCGATCTACCTTTGACATAGTGCATGAGGACCTCTGCATTGCTGAAAAATTATATAGGATCTTCTCTGCATGGGAGAAAAATGAACATTCTAAGACGGTTCTTTTGCTAACTGATGTGAAGACCACTTTGTGTGGAATCGTAAATGATAGCAATATGTTTCAAACGGTACGTGTTTAATACCATCTTATAGCTTCATAGACCAATTCATTCAAACAATTGGCATCATAGGAGATTAACTGCTAATTTATCTTGTTTTATCTTCCTTACCTTTTTCCAATATTTTTTCCCTTAATTTATGGTTATTGTAGACCTATATGATTATTCTCTAGCTAAACATGGATTTAATATAGTTTCCAGTTCGTAAAACAGAACATTTCTAACCTCAAGAACCATGTCTTTTAACTAATTATTTTCCTTTTCAATGTTGGCAATCAATTTTATTTTAGTTTTTTTGCTTTTATGTTTGCATGTTGATGTTATTTTACAAAAAAAATGAATGAAAAAATTGGATGTATTGCTCTCACGCTTTTCACTTGTATTCTTCTTGAGTTTTTTTTTTAAAAAAAATAAATTAGAAGTGTTGGAAGACCCTAGGAGACTTATCTGAATCCTTCCTCTAGTTATATTTGATGCTGCATAAAAATATTTCCTTCTTCACAAGGTTAAACTTGGGGCAATATGTCAGTTGCAGGCTGGAAGAAATTTTGCATCTGAAATAATGGCTATTATTCTTCGGAGTCTGGATAAGTTTGAGAATTCTGTGTGCGTTGGTTCAATGAGAATTGTATTAGATGCACCCTGCAGACATTGTGTATGGTACACACTTGGTCTTTTTGGGACAAGATTGAAGCAACTTATGAGCTGCAGATGTGGAGAGTGGTTTGGGGAAGAATATATTTTGCTTTTCCATAAACTTGACGCAAGTTCACCTCATAGCACAAAGGTGTGTCACACACTGTGTATTTTCCTAGTCTTTCAACATTTTATTAGTGGATATAATGACGTGAAAGCATATTCTTGAATGTATTAAGTATTGACACTTGACAGAGTTTATCTTGGTCCTCTTCAGATCAATTGCTTTGATGAGCTTCCAATGTTAATGGATTATCAGTCCGATTGGGAGAGAAGATGCAATAACTGTTCTGGGAGTGTCAAGCAAATTGGTTGTTTTCTTTCAAAGGGACCACACTTCTTCACAATAGGTGAATTTTCTTGTTTAAATAGTGCCTTGCATGTAATGTTACACACTTCTTTTTCTCCACCCTATACAGAGACTACACTTGAAACAAACCTATTCTGTTTGTTGCAAGTTAGAATATGTTGTAAATAGCCTAGTAATGTGCTTCGTGTGAACCCTTCTCCCAACAAAAGCAATAGGTGAGATACTTGTCCTTCAGAAGTAGCAAAACCAACGTGAAACAAATGTAAATTCACCTTTAATTGCTTTGCATGTGTTACTTTCATATGCCCCTTTTATTGTGTAACTTGTTGCTACCATGTTTCAGTTATGAAGGATTGGCTGGGTAGCGATGGAAGCCAGGCTATCTTGTCTGAAGCATTGTTTGGCATTGGGTCTCCCCTTGACATTACACTTCTCTACAAAGGTGTTACACTTCCTCACATAGGTGGTCACTCTGCAACGAAGTACCGTCTTGCCTCAGTGGTATGTACACAATAAATCATTTTTTTGTCCTGAATTGAACTGTCACTGGACTGAAAACAATAATTCGCAAAATAATTATTATGCACTAAGGTAATCCGGAAGAGACGGGGAACAATAAACCATTGTGCATTGATTGTTTTGCATACTTTTCAGGAGTTTTATGCAGCATTTCTATACATTGAGGTGCTATTTTGTTTCTTGACTATTGGTGGTGTTTGGATTCTTTGAGATGTTTGGGTTGTATCTAAATTCTTAGTTGTCACAGAATTTGGGTGGTGATACTGAGCAAAGAGAGCATAAAGAGGTGTTTATTTTTTTATATATTTTCAGAAAAAAAAATAGGTACTACTTCTAGGAAATGTTATTATTTATATTTTCACATAGAAATATGGCTATTTTGGGATGGAGTATTATTTAATTTGTGTTCAGGATATTAGAGATGGTACTTATCTAATTTGTGTTCAGAGAAATGGTATTACTGGCAGCTGAACACATTCTCGTTTTCCATGTTTTCTGATAAACCTTTATCAACTTTCTAAAAGGTGAAAAGTCGAAGTGATTAGGCACCATTATACCTTGGCAGTAGCTTGTTACATATTAATTTAACATGTTTCACTGCAACTTGCCAAATGTTAGCAGTGAGTGTGGCAATTAATCCTATGTGTGACTTGAAGACTAGAATTTGAGCAGGAATATATAGTCCATATAGCGAATACTAGGGAGCGGAAGCAACACAGTGGATTATTACTTCTATGGACTGTCATCTCGATATATTGCTGAACTTTAAATTGGAACATATCATTGATTAAGCATTGGAGAAGTACCATGGCTAGGTAATCTTGTGGGACCAACTAAATGCCTGATGTTCTTCTCATTTCTATATTTGGAGTACTCTTATTTCCATCCATATCTTATAACGATTTGTCTCATCAATTTGAATGCATCGATTGCAGAGATAACGGCTACATCGGCATACCATTCCTCAACCATGTTTTGTAATCTCTACACATTATGTTGCTACTTTGTTTCAACACATCCTGTCATTAGACTGGTTGTGGGATTATCTGCTTATAGAAGCCTAATCATGTATTGAAAATCTACTTCATGTGCATACAGTTAGCTTAACATTGCTATCTGTCCAACCACGCAGATTTGCTACGTTGAGCATGGTTATGTCTGCTTTGCTCGTGACCAGGACGACAAGTGGCTCAAGTATGACACTACGACGGTCAAGGTAATTAACTACCCCTCCCAACCATAATTTTTCATCGTTTCTGACTCTGAACTCGTAGATATGCCACTTTGGCTACTTTCCCACACCATATTTCACAAGAATACATATTGTTGTGAAAATAATAGTTGTCATGGTGAACCTAGCTGTATTATTGTACAACACGAGAGTTTTCCTTACCTAGTTACTACTACATAAAATAACTCGTAAAATATCTTTCGATAACTGAGCCATGTAGACTTTGAATTTGAAATCCTAATCTTCTCCTAATGCCGATCTGAATATTTCGTTTGCCCATTTGCAGACAGTAGATACCTGGGGAGAGCTACTAGAACTTTACAGGGAGATCAACATCCAACCTGAAGTCCTTGTCTATGAGGTCATCAAGTAGCTATGACACCCTTGCACCGATCTGGCAATTCCTCTGCCTTTGCACATACAGAGAACTTGTATACAGTATATACTAGTACATATACACCGTCGTCAAGTTTCGTTACTGCTGCCAATCACACACCGCTTTCTTCATCGATCTTTTCCCTGACACAAGATTGGCAAATATGTTGAAAGAAAATATTGAATTTTTCCCTTGCTCCTTGGGAAATTCTATGAAATGTTGAAATTGTACTTACGTTACTGCAAGCTTTTGGATTCAGTCGTTTTATCTTAACTGAGTTTCAGTCGAATTAGAGCCTAAGGTTCATTAGCTCACAAGTAGCGTTTCATTAGCTCGAGAGAAAATATTGTTTGCCGCCTCCTCTTTAATAGCCATGCAGTGTTTGTTTCTCAACACATCCTTTTTGTTTGTCTAACGCTAGCTCTCAGTGTCAGCCTTGTTCACACTACTGCCAATAGTAATTTATTAGTTTAGATCATATGAGCAGCTTCCATCTTAAAACAGAAGATATGAATAGCTGGGGAAAAAAAGGCACGGAGATTCTTAGTTCATTAGCAATGATTCTATCATATGCCCTTTATTTGAGAGCATGTTTTGCTGAGCGTGATATCTCAATTTATCTTATATATAACCACAAGTTGTTACTCCTATGCTAATGCATGCATTCTCCCTGATTTAGCTAATATAGTGTTATTCAGCTGAACGATGGCTGGTTACCGGAATCTCTTTGCTGTACATTGTATAACGTTCATTTTCAAGGTGCCTGGAACGTAATGCGGTCGCAGCTGAACTAAATGATACAATAACTGAGAAAAAAAAACCTAATTGAAGTGATAGAAGACAAAATAATGCTCATTTGTAACTATATAGTGGTGTACACTGTACAAGATCAGAAATCATTTATAGCGGTATGTTTAAAAAAGTTAGAGATTTACAGTAGGAATAAGTTCATTTTAGGTCCGCGAGTTCGATTTTTGTTCTTCAACCCAAATACCAAATAAAACGGATCCCTCAACTTACAAAACTAGTGCGAACGAGATCCCTCGATAGCATTGCCCCCGATTTGACTAACATGCTGCCTACATGGCGGTGGCACTAGGAGAAAAATTGAAAATAAAAAATAAAACAAAACATGCGGGACCCATATGTCAATCAAACAAAAAGATAAAAATAGTGGGACCCATAGGAAAGTGGGTCCCACTTCCTCCACCTCACCCTCTCTACCTCTATCTCCTCTTTCTGCCGGTGAGCCGAAGTCAATAGGGTCGCCCCGCTAGGGGGTGGGGAGGGACAAGGCGGGGAGCCCGGCGATCTCCTCCCAAGTCTAAATCCACCGTCGCCGACACCACCTACACCACGCAAAGAGGGAGAAGGCGGGGAAGCTAGCGAGCTCCTCCAAGTCCAAATTCGCTGTCGCTGACACCACCTTCACCGTGCGGAGAGGGGGGAGGCGGGGAGACCAGTGAGGGGTTCTGGAAGGTCGACAGCTCCTCCAAGTCCAAATCCGTCGTCATTGACACCACCTCTAACATGCTCATCGCCACCTCCAAGCGTGGGAGAGGAGCAAGACGGCGGCTCTTAGGTCAAGGGCAACCACGAAGCAGTCTCGTTGCTCGCTCCAGAATCGACCATGGCCTCGTTGAGCTCGGGAGGCTGTGCGGCAGTGGAGAGGTGGCGTGGTCCAGTGCCGTCGATGTCATCTCGCCGCCCACTCCGTCGGGCGCCATGTCGGCAAGATCGATGACAACGATTGCCACCCACCATATTTGGGGAAGGAGAGGGAAGAAGGGGAAGGAGGCCATTGGCCGCATCTAGGAAGGAGACCACCAGGCGCTAGCTCATCTCTCTTCCTATCGGACGCCACCTGTTGTTGCCCTTCTCTGCGCCGCCCATGTCCGGGCTCGGCCGGTAGATAGATGGGAGTAAATAAGGGTTTGTTGTTAACATGTGGGGGTCCATATGGGTCCCATGCTGACTCGGCTGGTTGACACATGGGCCCTATAGTTTTTTTTTCCGAATCAAAATGACACGTAAGCACCACATCATTACCACATGGGACGAAGACATAGTAAAATAAACCAATATGTTGGGCCAGAAAGGAAAGCCCACAGTACTGCCCTACGTACACGGAAAGCCTATCTGTTTTCTCGATTGATTGGATCCGTCTCCTACTCTCCTCCCCACTCTAACAAAATTTCCATTCCTTTCTCTCCTGCTAATTTCCCATCTACAGATGCAGGCGACGTGCTCGACGTAATGCCGCCCACGAGCAAACATGGCGTCTCCGCCTACCAGCGAGTCCGCGATCACGTCGGCCGGCAGCGCCAGCGCCAGCGGGTTCGACTGCCTCCCCGATGATCTCGTACACCATGTCCTCTCGTTCTTGCCCGCGCCAGACGCCGCCTGCACCAGCCTTCTGTCGCGGCGGTGGCGCAACCTCTGGGTCTCCATGCCCTGCCTTGACATCGACGTAAGTGACTTCCACGACGCCTCCCAGTTCGACAGGTTCATGGACCACGTGTTGCATCTCTTGGACGACAGCGTGCCCCTGCGCTCTTTTCGCCTTCGTTCTTGCTGGATTGACGATTCTGCAGTCTCGTGGCTCAGATATGCTGTCAAACGCAAGGTCCCTGTTCTTGAATACGCTGAGCGTCAGGGATATTTCATCCATGGTTGCCATGATCTCATCTCGGCTTCTTCGTATCTGACTAAGGTGGTGCTCGAACATGTTGTGTTACATGATTGTCACTTTGGGCCATTAAACAACGGGTGCCCCGCCCTGGAAAACCTGGAGCTTTTGGAAGTTAATATCCAGTTCACAGAGATCTCGTCAACTTCACTCAAGCATCTGCGGATCGTCAACTGTATGATGGACTGTAAATTTTGGATCCGTACTCCAAATCTTCTGACAATGTGCCTTGATGGCGTAGAATGCAAGAGCTCACTATACTGGACCGTACTTAACAACAGGAGTCTTTTTACCGTCCTTGAGGACTGGCGGTACCAAATCCCAGCCGTCCATTCCGGGAGATCTAACGGCCAGGATGCCTCGGTACCGCGCGGTACTGCTTCTCCTTGAGCCGGTACTAGATGATTTCTAGCGGTGGAAGGGTAGAATTGTAACTTCGCATGCATAGAGTGCGATGGATGTGGCGGCCTCTCGGACGGCTGCGACCTCGAGACCTTCGGGCGGCGGCGGATGCAGGGACTCCGGCTTGATTACTTCCTGATCTCCTCCTCCCCGACGCTAGCACAACGGATGCCCATGGGAGCGAGCGACGACGGACGGACGGAGACCTATCGGGTGGCGAAGGTGCCGACTTCGGGGGAACCTCCTGACCCACTCTGGTCTCCTCTCGACAGCTCCGCCACTTCCTCTCCCTCCTCACTGCTCCACTCGCGACGACTGCTAGGAGCCCTCCTTCCCGTTGATAGTCCCATGCTGCTGCTACTGGTGCTCGTCCCCCGCCTCCAGCACTCTCATCCCCAGCACCTATTCTCTTCCCCCCTTCTCCCCTCTGCCTACCGTGGCCGCCTGCCTCATCAGGAGGACTATGACGCCAGTTATCATCGCCCTCCAGGCTAATTGTTCCATCTACTTGATTTCTGCCACTCAAGCTGCTCTAATACCCTTTGTTCTTTCTCTGTAAAATTTGTAGATCTGGGATGTGTGGCAATTTGTGTTTTTTTTCACTCGGAACATATCAGAACTTGTAGCAATGGAGAATCCGTGCATTTGTTTCTGCAATGAACTGGAATTGGCTGAACATTTCTGACGCATGTGGATGCTGGTTTTGCTTTGAATTTCAGTTGATATAAATGTTGTCTGTCCTATGTGGATTTCGTACGTTCTGTTTGGTGATTTACAGAACAGGGAAGTTCTGTACTTTAAAATCGGTGGCAAATTTCTGTGTTGGTGAATTTTCCTGTTATATAAATCTCTTCAACCTCTGGCTAGTGGCAAGCCACAATCTCATCCTTGATTCTCATCCTGTAGCTGTTGGCAGCAACGACTGAGTCTCAGCTTCCATAGCTTGTGCCCTATCTCACATCCATCATGGTTGGTCTGCACAGCACCAAACGTCAAAGAAAATATACCAGGCAGCTCCATTGGCGGTCGGCCCAGGATCTTGTGGCATGGCGGCACAGGATCACAGCCTACCGGGGCATGCAGCGCGGCGCGGCGCCGGAGAATGGGCGTGCGGCGGCAGCGTGGAGAGAACGATTAAGACGATGGAGTTGCATGTAGGACCGGTAATTACCCATCCCAATCCTACCCTTTTTAAATGGACGGTTAGATTTGAATGGTACCTCTTGATACCTGTACCTCGTGGTACCTCCTAAAGGATGGTAAAAATCCTCTAACAGAGTAACAACAGCTTCTGTCAGTGTGTATGGTTCTTCCCTTGAAGATTATGAAGATGAGGACTTAAGCGAAGATGAAGATGAGGACTTAAGCGATGGGCATCATATTGAGTATAATATCCTTGGTGTCCTTTCACATGCTAGAAGCCTAAAATTGGTAGCTCCGCTACGAGAGGTTTGCACAAACTACTCTGACTATTTCATCTTAAGTTGGTTTTCATTTATGTCTTGACTACTATGGTTAGTTTTATCATCGTTGATACAATAGGTAACCTAAAATTAAGTTTTGATTCTACTTTTTGGGTGTATAGGCTTTGTTCGAGGGGTGCTTATTGACATGCCCGGTCTTCAACAACTTGAAATGTTTGGTATTTGGTGACTGGTGCATGGATTTTGACCTTTATCCACTACGCTGTGTTCTTAAGCAATCACCAATATTAGAGGAGCTCTGTGTGGAACTTCGTGAGGTACGTAAATTGTTCTGCGTCTTATAACCGTGCAAGGGCAACTAAGCAATGTGTGTTTTGTGATGGTTGTGTTATTGATGAGCTTACAACTGTTGTTTAGTACTAAATGAAACATTTGGTTTTGTTATATTGCAGAAAGAGTGCGAGTATTGCAAGGAAAAAGCACCACCTTTCTCGTACTCGTATGGGGAAATATTGCCATTTAAGTGTCATCGCCTTAAGACTGTCAAAATCAAATGTGGAGAACGTGATGAAAGATTTATCGCTTTGGTGAAACTGTTTTTCAAGATCTCAGTCTGTATTGAGAAATTTGACTTAGATAGGTGGTGAGTTCGGGTACAAGCCTGTGCCTTCCTAGTCTGTGAAGGCCGTAGAAACATTAAGAAATATATATATGTCTCATGATTTAAATCCTTTTTATCTGCTACTCCATACTTTGTTTTATTCTATATTAATCGCTGTCAAAATGCTAGTAGTAGCGAAGTGAGCACAGCTCAACGGGTTAGGTTCCTTGTGGTGGAACCAGCCTACCCGGGTTCAAATCCTAGATTTGACACGGGTGCTCGCATTTACGGCTAATTATTCTTTCAGTGGTAGGTGACGCCATGTGTGCCTTCATAGGGGTAATTTCTCAAAAAAAAAATGCTAGTAGTAATTTCTCAAGTCCAGTAATGGATTTACGGGTTAAAGTTTGAAAATCTGGCAATTGTGTCATCACCATTCACTGGGGCAACGCTGACGAAGCCACCTTCTCCGGCCCAAATAAGTTGGGCCCATATAAGAATTTGCCCGTTCCCGACAGACGCTCACCGCCTCTGATCTATGTCGCCGGCGCCACCGCGGCCGCCCGCGACCCTCTCGTCGCCGTCGCCGTCGCCCCGCTCCTCCCCTGAGCTCTCCGGCCGCCGGATATGGGCCAGTGGCGGCGGCGCGGCCAGCACCACGCCCAGCACCAGTTCCCGCGCCGCATTGCGCTGCCTGGCGCGGCCCTCCTCCTGCTTTTCCTCGCCGTCTCGCTCGTCTCCTTCTCCCTCTCCGTGCCACCGCTCACCGACCACCTCGGCCTCGCCTCCTCCTCCCGACGATCCCTCGGGAGCAGCAGCTCCCGTCGCCGCCCGGTATGAACGGAAACTCTGGCGCCCACCCCCCCCCCCCCCCCCCCCTCCCTGCCCCTCATTCCATCCAAGCAGCCTGGTGCCTTGGTATGATGTTTTCTCTCGCTCTGTATCCGCGAGTCCACAGCCGAACACCTCTGGCGGCGAAATGGACGGCCTCACGAGCGGCGGCTCCTCCGGCATTCCGGCTAGAATTGCTTTTTGTGTGTGTGTGTGTGTGTGTGTGTGTGTTATGGATTGTTAATGAATGAGTTTAATTTTAATCATGTGCTTGTTCTATAACCCGGTATATTCAATACCAGAGCTGAGAGCTGTTTAGACTTGTGTTTATTTGATCTGTGGAGAATATAAGTTCGGATATTGATTGGTTCAATACAAAAATGTCCTAGTAAATTGGATCATACAGGTTTATAGCATTTGTCACTGTGTCAAGTAGCAGTAGTGAAGAGGTAGGATGGGCTTCAAGCCTTGAAATGTCTGCGTAGGGAATGTTAGCTTTGATTTTTTATAACAGATGACTGATCAATTAATTATTTTTTCTCAAAATGTAGAGGAATGAAAGGGTTGCACCAATTGACCTATGGGGTTCAAAGCTCGCTAGCAACTTCTTTGGCTGCAGTAACTCTAGCGGAAAATTCCTTGGTGAGCCATTTCTCTGCACTAAGCCTCTAATTTACTGCTAAACTTTGTATAGCACATCAAACATGTTGTGTACTTTGTGTAATCGTTTATTATATGTGAATGATAAGTAAAACTTTATTTGTATCGGTGCTTAATTCATGCTACTCTTTGGAAATAGTCGAAACGTCTTTTTATTGGAATGAGTTGATTCTATCCTCTGCCTAAAGGTATTGCCTTTCTAATGTCTTCTAGATTCCAGTGTTACCACACAGCCGGATCGATATTTGATTATTGTTACAAGTGGAGGTCTCAATCAGCAGAGAACAGGGGTGAGATGCATCTCTCTCTTTTGTATAAGTATACTATCATGCACTGGGGAAGCTTCTCTATTTTGATAAAATGCAGTATACACTAGGCAAGGTTCTGAAAATGAATTAGAATTATAAACTAGAAGTGGTGAAGTTCATGAAATTTAGTAGCTATTACGCTGAGCCACACCAAATCTCTTTGTTTCTGAAGCTACTAACTTTGGAGTTGGTAGTTTGCACTCCATTTATGGATGAAACTGAACAGCATTGCAGTAATGCCATGGTTCTACATTTATTTGGAACTCTTAAGTAGTTATGTTTTTTTTCCATATTAGATATATCATGACATCTGCTTATTTCTAGATAGTTGATGCTGTTGTCGCTGCACGCATTTTAAATGCAACGCTTGTTGTTCCCGAATTGGATCAAAGATCTTTCTGGAAAGATTCAAGGTATAAAAGCATAGAGCACCTCCAAATTTTAATTCATGATCCTCTATGTGTGATTGCATATTTTAGTTGAACTGATTAACTTCTTTTCTGAATGCTCTCTGCTGCAGCAACTTTTCTGAAATATTTGATATCAACTGGTTCATCTCATTTCTTGCAAAGGATGTCAATATTATCAAAGAACCTCCAGAAAAAGGGGGTAAAGCTGTGAAACCTTATAAAATGCGCGTCCCTCGAAAATGCACTCCAAAATGTTACTTAAACCGTGTATTACCTGCACTCCTGAAGAAACATGTAAGTCGTGGACCCTGTGACTCTGTAGTAGTCTTTGTTACTAGGCTATATTAATTTTATGTGAAATTATCGTTTGTTCCTTTCCACATTCTAGATCAGATACTTGGATACTATTCGAACCTTGATAACGTTTACTGAATGTCTATGTTGGAAGTTGAGAGTGCTTTCATTCCGTGTTTATAGCTTATACATGCATTTTGTTCTTCATGCTTCTCTGTGTATTTTAGCTCTTTTTGTGGTTGAAGTTCAGAAAAATCCTCAGCCATATAGCTCATACCACTTTCTCGCTGGTTATTCAGGTCATTCGCCTGACTAAATATGATTACAGGCTCTCAAATAAGCTGGACAAGGACCTGCAAAAACTGCGTTGCCGAGTCAACTATCATGCTTTGAGATTTACTGACCCAATACAAGAATTGGGTGAAAAGTTAATAAAACGAATGCGAGAGAAGAGCAGACATTTTATTGCTCTGCACCTGAGGTATGCTTAGATAAAGCTGTCCTCAATCTGCAGGTTTCCTTATCGTTCAAAATTAACCTGTTTGATCCATTCTTTTTGCTGCACAATGAAGTGTCAACTTCTAATGACCAAAATACTGCTATTGTTGCTAAAATTATAAGGTGGTTTTCAGCTCCGACCTGTTCGCTTAACTTTGTTAGAATTAGTATGGAACAGCAAAATTATAGAGGTTGATTAATTGAAGAGAAAGTAGAGACTAAAATAACATTTCATATGTACACTCTTCCTCTTGCACTATGCATCATTTTGCTCTTTTTTTCAGCATGCACCGTCTATCCTGATGGCAGGTTTGAACCTGACATGCTTGCCTTTTCTGGGTGTTATTATGGTGGTGGAGAAAAGGAGAAAAGAGAACTAGGCTCCATTCGCAAGCGATGGAAAACTTTGCATGTATGAACAATATCATGCAGCAGATACTTTCGAAGTGAGCTAAAGTTTCCTGTTACCAACTTGTGTTCTACATTTCAGATAGGCGACCCAGAGAAAGGAAGGAGGCAAGGTCGATGCCCACTAACCCCTGAGGAGGTAGGGCTAATGTTGAGGGCATTAGGCTACAAAAGTGATGTCCATATCTATGTTGCTTCCGGTGAGATATATGGAGGGGAAGACACTTTAGCACCCCTCAAATTGCTCTTCCCCAATTACCATACCAAAGAAACATTATCCACAGAAGAGGAATTGACTCCATTCTTGGCACACTCATCTCGCATGGCGGCAATTGATTTTATTGTTTGTGATGGAAGTGATGCTTTTGTAACTAACAACAACGGTAACATGGCCAAAATTCTTGTTGGGCGAAGGTGATGCATCAGTTCTTTCCATTTGGATATTTTATTTATTTTAGTTCATCGAGCTCTAACTATCTACTGGTGCTCTCTGCAGGAGATATTTTGGCCACAAGAGAACAATCAGGCCAAGTGCTAAACAGCTCTATCCCTTATTTATGAATAGGTCAAATATTTCATGGGATGCATTCTCCTCACAGGTACAAACAATACAGAAAGGATTCATTGGAGAGCCCATGGAAATTACGCCTGGAAGAGGTGAATTCCATGCCAACCCTGCTGCCTGTATATGCGAAAAGACCGGCATAAAGTCTGTAGTCGGATCGGATTCCAGAAGTAACCGAGAAACTGTTAACAGCACTGAAATAAGTAACAAACCTATTGGTGGGCCAACATATCCTATCTATACCGATGAAGAGGCGGATCGACCTGATACTGAAGATGATCCTTCAGGGATAGGAGAAATGATTGACATGGAAGCTGAAGATGATTCATTGGCCAGCAGAGTAGATTCTGTGCTGGAGGAAATCCTTTCGGATTAATTCAGTTATGCATCTAGCTAGGAGACATTTAGCTAAGTTATGTAGATTTAACTTCTCGGACGCTTGTTGTGTGTGGTAGCAAACTAGCAATTGATGGATTTCACGCCTGAAAGTAGCTAGACCTGCAGTTGCTGGTGTACATAGATTTTTGAGGTGGACCTGTACATCAACACCTCTTGCCGCAGTGCCTCTAGCTCAATAAGGCTGGCCTCTTTTTATTTTTGGCGTCTCCACTCTCCAGCGTCGTCGGCTAGTAATTTTCTCACACTTTGTAGCAGCATGCTTGTATATCATGGAAACTTGTTTGTGCAGCAGCTTAATTCATTTTTTTTTAGTTTCATTGGGCCAAGTTTTCTTTCTCCCATCTTGAATCATTTTCTTTGTTATGACGAACTACTGTAAAGTGTAAACTTGTCTTGGGCTCGTGACACTAACATTTTGTAATATTTATTGAGAGAAAGGAGCCAACAGTATCCTGTCGTCAAAGAGTCTTCACTTTTTTGTTCAACTCTGCAAGAGAATGCTGTAAAAATGTGAGAGTGATGGATGCATACATAGATATATAGATATATCTATCTAGATTCATTAACATCAATATTAATATGGGAAATGCTAGAATGATTTACATTGTGAAACGGAGAGAGTACGTTGTACTTCTACAATTCAATTCAAGAATACATGGCTCAGCGCTTTGAGTCAGGCCAGGCAGAGAACAAAACGAATTGGAGAACAAATGCTTGGCCGGCTGCCTGCAATCTACTAGGATTCCATTTACCTCTCGCCTATTTGGCCACTAGCTTAGGATCCCAACTCTGGCAACAAGCAGAAGCGCCTAAATGGCTAAATGGAAATGCAGCTTTTTTTTTCTTACAGAATCAAAAGGAGCATCAACAACAGTGCATTAGCAAGTTTTCAAATGTCAATCATAGAAGCCAGAAACTTTTTATCTGAAACCAAAAATGAAAAAGAAAAAAAGAGAAAAAAAATTGAACACTCTTGAGTGCTTAACCTGTTAAAGTGTTCATAAAAGACACGGCACGAAGCAGGGTTTATCACATCATTTGAGATGGGGTTATCACCACCCTATAATTTGATGGATACCGCGAAGTATACTGTACGTGATTTTAAAAGCTGAGAAGGTTATCGTTCATGACAACGACAATAACCGTATGGTCCTGATAACTGGTGCTCCGTGAAGGCCATAACGGGTATGCTCGGTGACGAAAACAGGGACGCTATCAAGCTCAAACGGCTAATTCACATTTCGTAGTAATATAATTCACCGATTTTTACAAACACCAACGTTCATCTGTTCGTCCGAACTGTAGCTAGCTCTGCCGGGTCGGCCGAATCCAAATCCAGTGGAGCTGGCTCATCCAAAGACAAGATCCCGATGCCTCGTCGGCATCCGTCACGTGCGAAGTGGCTCGTTCAAGGAGCCGTCCATATCCAGCCCTCCGTATGTGTGATCGATCGACGGCGAGAGCTGTCATCTCATCTCATCTGTGAGAGAGCTGGATAAGTGTACCATTAGTCCTAGGAGCAGTATAAAAAAAGAGACGGGTGAAAAACCAAGAGAGAGTTTTACTCACTACTTAAATATCACCCTAAAATTTTTCACCCTATCACATCGAACGTTTGAACATCTATATAAAATATAAAATATAGACTAAAAAATAACTAATTATACATATTGCAACTAATTTGCGAGATGAATCTTTTAAGCCTAATTGCTTCATAATTTAACAATGTGGTGCTACAATAAATATTTGCTAATAACGGATTAATTAGACTTAATAAATTTGTCACACAGTTTACTGACGGATTCTGTAATTAGTTTTTTATTAATGCCCGAATACCTCATACGACAACTTATATAATACTCGATGTGACACGTTAAAATTTTACGCCTGATCTAAAAACACCCTATACTACCGTTGCAATGCTGTTCACCTTGAGATTTGGACGGCCCATTTGGCCAGGAATCTCTCTCATCACTCTCTCAGGCTCAACCCGACAGCCAGTTGATAACCTGTGTGTTGTTCTGGGAGGATGTGTTTAGTTCATCGTGTCAAGTGTGTGACTGTGACCGTGTGTCTAGGAGTTTGGTCGTGATGTTAAATTTTACTATTGACGACGCATCTGCGTGCCTCGGATCCTTTGCAATGCTGAGTTGCTGACAGGGTGCAGTTTGCCGTGCTTTGTTTTTTGACGACACTTTCTTCAGTACGCGCCCAGCGTCATGCCTAGAGCATGAGCAAGGAAACTGAGAATCATGTGGAAACTAGTGCTGGAACAAGTGCTTCACACACTGTAACTACTGAAACTAGTGGTTCACACTGTGAGCCACAGGGATAAAAAGCTAGTACTGCTAGTAGTAGTACTCGTGAAAACCATTCATCATTGAAGCCATGCACGAAGAAAGAGAGTTACGAACTATGCAGATCGTAACCAAAATAAATTTTCCTCCGAGGATTTAGCAATTTAGTAATATTGTCAAGTTTTAACTGAATTTCTTATGTATTTATTAAAGATTGATAAAAAAATTAAATGGATACACATTCCTGACAACTTTATTTAAAAGGTGGTATGGTTTGAAATAACCAATTTGAACCACCCCTTAATCATTTGGTAGTACATGGCGTTGTGAGCTTGTAATTAGCCAGCAAAGGCACCCAATCCTGATGCCGCTCCCAGCTTTCTCATGGCATCCCGTTTCCGTACAGCTTAACAGTCATCACGGCACACAGTAGTAGGATGGATGCGAATGTGCGGTCACGTACGGGAGGGACCAGGTAATCCGTAACATCGGACGCCATGCCAGACCACCGCGCCCGGCACGACTCCTGCTCCTCCTGCCCCCCGCCCAAACCCAAAAAAAAAGTTCTCACACAATCACACGCTGCGCTGCCACTAGTAGACGCCACGCCCTCCAGCTAATAGCCGCGCGCGTCGCCGCCGAGGGCCGCATCGTCCGCCGCGAGAAGCCGAGAACACGAGTCAACGACGAGCACCTCGCGCAGAAGATCCCCCGCTTCCCTCCGGTTCCCACCAGGGTTCATAATTTGAACGAAAACCGGTAGAATTCCGCGAAATTTCGACGTTTCAACACGATTTGGAATTAAGTTCCGATTGAAATTTCAAAGTTTAAACAGTAGATTTAGTTAAAATTTAATCAAAGTTTATTAAAAATCATGATACCGATAAGACTCGAAATTTAGTGGTCAACCGACCCTGGTTCCCACCCAGCAGTCGAGCACTAGCAGCAGGAGCCGCCGCTGCACTGCAGCGCCCCCACCAAGTCCCTTGTCCCCGCGGCCACACCGTCTCCTGTTCCCCTCCCGTGCGGAGATCAACACCGCGCATTTGGAAATGGACGGCCTCGATCCCGCCTTCGTTGCCCGCGCCGCGCCCCGCGCGCAATGGAGGAGAGGACTCCACCACCACCGTCCACCGCCCACACCTCTGCTGGTCTCTCTCTGCAACGCAACACGCACGCACGCTGCCCCACCTCTCCTCTACCTCCGCGCCGCGCCATTGCGCCTCCCCTCATTTAAACCTAAAACCAAATCCAAACGCCACACTGTAACACACACACACACACTCTCTACTCTCTCTAAGCTAAGCTAATGACAGCAGCAATGGCGCCGCCGCAGCTCGTGTCCGTGCTGGTGGCGCTCCTCTGCGTGGCGGCGGCGTCGCCGGCGGGGGTGGGGGCGGCGCGGTTCGTGTGCAACGCGACGGCGCCGCGGGCGTCCACGTGCCAGGCGCTGGTGGCGTACGCGCCGCCCAACGCCACCACGCTCGCCGCGGTGCGGGCGCTCTTCCAGCTCCGCTCCCACCGCGCGCTGCTGGCGTCCAACGGCCTGCCGCTCTCCACGCCGCCCTCCGCGCCGGCGCCCTCGCCGCTCCGCGTCCGCCTCCCCTGCCTCTGCTCCGGTGGCGCCGGCGCCACCTTCCAGCGCCCCACCTACCGCATCCGCGCCGGCGACACCCTCGACGCCATCGCCAGGGGTGTCTTCGCCGGCCTCGTCACCTACCAGGACATCGCCGCCGCCAACAACGTCTCCGACCCCAACAAGATCGCCGTCGGCCAGGAGCTCTGGATCCCCGTGCCCTGCAGCTGCGACCCCGTCGCCGGCCAGCCCGTCGTCCACTACACCTACGTCGTGCCGCCGGGGGCCTCCGTGGCCGCCATTGCTCAGGACTTCGCCACCACGGAGGCCACCGTCCTCGCCTTGAACCGGATGCCCGACGCCAAGAGCCTTCTCGCCGGCCAGGTTCTTGATGTGCCGCTCCGAGGTACTCCAGGACAAAAGGAGATGAAAAAAAAAACAACTCTTATTACTATTTATTTTCTCTATCTCCTTTTGATTTGTACTAGTAGAAGGAGCTAGTACTTCACCTAAAAATGTCTTCTAAAAAAACAACTTTTTTAAAAAGAAAAAAATCTTCTAAAAGTTGTTTCATTTGAAATGCTTTTGAGTATCTTGCTGCCATTGCCTCCAAGATACTGTATCTAGTGAAGCTCACAACCTTTTTGGCACATCCTTTTGTCTTTGGGAACTTTTTGTGCTCCTTTGTTACTAGTAGTACTTGTTTGCATTGTGTCTTTTACTAACTCTTATTGGCGCATCCAACAAAGTACATGTTGCAATAGCTGGTGTGCAAGCTGCATTTATACAATGTTTTTTTTTTTCTGAATTTCTAGGTTCTTTGTGCTGGATGAGATAGAAATGCTTAGCTGTGGGCTGAACACAAAGCTCTATCTCTTTTTGCTCCTCTTTGTACATTCTAGTACTAATCTTACCCCACAACAACCAATGTTCAGAACATGCTTTTCTCATCATTTGCCTTGAGCCCTTGAAAAGGTGTGCTTATGGATGGGCATAATAAAAAGATGCAGTAACATTTGACACTAGTTACTGGAGTACTAGTATTTCAGTCCTCCAACTTGTTTCCTGTTGCAGCTTTTGCTAGCTTATAGGAGTAGCAAGCTGCAGCGTTTATCATCCCTTAGGCTTGTATTAATCGATTATAAAGGACTGGGTCCTTGCCTGTACTGTAGGAACTTGAATGTACCTGTAGTATCCTAGTAGGAGTAATAGTAGAAAACAATGTACCGACACAGTGACATCTCCACTGAACTACTGTTAAGTGGTCATAGTTCTGGTCTTCTGAATATGCCTTGCTGCATATTGGATCTGAAGTTTAGAACATTTCCCATTCGACATATGTAACTTACCCGTAAGTCACCAAGTTAATTTGTTGTTGTCATAATCGTGGTAATGTCAGTATTGTGCAAGCTAAAATGCCCACTGCCAATTTTTTTTTGATGCTACTGTCAACTGTCTAGTACTTCCTTTCTAATTGGAATTTTAATAGACTTAGAATTTCAGAGATATAATCCCTTTTCATCTCATTGTCATACGTTCACTCTTAATAATGTTTGGGACTAACAGGTCACATATATGTGCAGCCTGCTCCTCTGCCATTAGCAGTACAGCTATAGACCGCAACCTCCTTGTTCCCAATGGAAGTTACATTCTGACTGCCAACAACTGCATCATGTGTGGCTGCAGCTCCTACACTTGGCAGTGAGTGTTCACTCTACTAAAGATCATGCTTACTGTTATTGGCAAATCCGCAAATGAGTATGTGTCGCCCGATTCTAACTCCCAACTCCCGACAAATCTCTGAATTATTCAGGCTGGATTGTCAACCAACACAAGGAATAAGCTCATCGTTCTGCCCAGCTTCAAAATGTGGAGATATGTTCCTCGGGAACACGACCACATCGCCGACATCATCTTGCGAAAGCACGGCGTGCTCGTATGCAGGGTACACCAATAGCACATCTTTCACCATCCTTGCCAATCTTACCACCAGTTCTACATGCAATGGTGAGTGCAGCTCAGATATAACACAAAACAAATACTAACTAGTACCATTTTTGTTTGCAATGAGTAACATATTGACCCCTTGTTGGTTGTACCCTGCAGCTGCTGCGATGTCTCCAATGGCGCAGCAGGCTCACTCATCGGCGTTCAGGCTGGCATCAACGTGGTTGAGATGGACTGAGCTGATCGTTTGTCTTCATGTCATTTTCTTGTGTGTAAGCTTCCTCAATCATGTTTGAGGAGCATTTCCATTCTTGTTTTCTCAGTGCCTGGACTACTGATTTCGTGGTCTCATGTTGTGAGTAATCTGGGCAGTGTAAGTGTGGACTTAATAAGTAGCTGATTGGACGTGTAAGTGTGGATGGACACCAGGGGAACACATGTTTTTGTGTTAGAATGTAGATCAGGAGACATTTGTACTGTCGAACTCTTGCAAAGGTAGTTCTATGATTTTGCTTTTAACCTTTTTTGTGTTGAGTTCGTTTATAGAGAGAACGGAATTTGGCTTTGCCTGAGATGCCTCGCTATATGGATTTATTACCTTTCACCAGCTCCTACAGCTTGTGTTCCTTGCTAGTAGATGTTTGGCAACAAGACAAGCTGTGGTTTGGTCACTACTTCTGTCGATGAACTCAAGTGCATCCGTTCAGTTTGATTTACCATGTGGAATCAGGGATGTTGGATGAACTGTGGTACACGGGACCTATTTGGAGAGTTTCTAGCTGCTGTAGTTTTCCACGGAATTTTTAGCTTCCTTTAGATTGTCACCGAGATTTTGATAATTTGTAATTATAGAATCTAAATTAAACTGACTACCAATGAATAGATTATCAGAATATTAAGTTTCTCCAAACATCCGTAGTAATAATAGATCTCAGGCAAGAGTACTACAGCTGATTGTTTCATGCTCCCATTGTTGAACGTATGCAGTAAGTCTGTTGATGAACAGTATTTGGTAATCTTCTGGGAAGAATTCATGGGCATCGTTCAGTTTGACACTTGGAGTCTTGTTAAGTTGTACTAGAAGTACGAACAAAGTAGCCAAAACAAATTTATAGGTAAAACAAATCTATTCGCGGTTTAAAATTCAATGATAATAAAAATCTCCAAAATCAATTCAGTTTCGAAATATTAATTTTGGTTGTGGCTAATCAAGCAGACCATCAGAGTGGCAGAATTTGGGATGTTGGATTATTGTTGTACTATACATGGGTTTCAGGCTGTTGGGCAGCCCAAATCATGGAAAGCCTGGACGATTTTATGCAGAAAAAATTGCAGGATATGCCCACCCAAGGGTTTTTTCCCCTGGAACGCGCTGCACGCATCCGTGGGCCGCGCCGTGCGCGAACGCGCGCGCCGCGCGCACGCCACGCCACGCCACGCCACGCCGCGCCACCTGAGCCGCCCCGCGCCGCGCCGCGCGTGACCAAAAAACCCCGGGCGCCCCAACGAAACCGCCACTTTTCCTCCTCCCCTCCGCCCCCCGTGCTCGGCGCCTCCATCATCGTGCACCGCGCCGCCCTCTTCGATCGCCCAGACGCCCACGGTGCCGTGCCCGACCCGACGCGACTCCGCGCGGCGGCTGCGCTTGCGCTGGGCGGGGGCGGGGGGCTATGGAGCTCGCTGGCGGCGGGACGGGGGTCGTGCGGCAGCGCGCCGAGCCGCTGGGTGCTGGCCTCCTACTACGCGGCGGCGGGCGGAGTGTGGGGGGAGGAGGGATCGGCTGCGCCCGTCGCGCCACCCTGCGGGGGCTCGCGCTGTCTCCCCTCGCGAGACGGGCGGTCTCGGCCGCGGGTGGGCACTTCCTCCCCAGGCGCGCCGTTCGCGCGGCGGCCGCCGCCGGCGATGGGGGATTCTACGGCGAGGAGGATGCCGCCAGCGACCAGCCGTTTCCGGCGCGCGCGTCTCCCTCCGATGACGCGAACGATTCTACCGCGGTGCGGTAAGTCGTAAACTCTGTGCTTGTTGTGATAAAAATGTTTTTCGAGTATTCGATGATTTCACTTTTGCCTATGGAGACTGTTTGGGGTGATGCGTGTTCAGTGTGTTCGTTGCGCTCTCAGCAGTTTAGGTGGGGATCATCCTGGAGAAATCAAGAAGGAGCTATTGAATCTGGCTTTACCGGCCATAGTTGGACAAGCAATCGATCCTGTGGCGCAGCTGTTAGAGACTGCATATATTGGTCGTTTAGGTAAATTTTCTCATCTTAAATATGAGTGACAGCAGTGTAGTGTCTGAGAAAACGAATTCAGTTCTGTGATTCCTTACAAATTGTTATGGTGTTATTTTTCTGAAACTTTGATAGGTCCTGTAGAGCTTGCCTCAGCTGCCGTGGGTGTGTCAGTCTTCAATATTATATCAAAACTGTTTAACATCCCACTCTTAAGCATCACAACCTCATTTGTGGCTGAAGATGTTGCAAGACATGATTCCGATCAGTTTACTTCAGGTACTTGATGCTTACTTACTCTTATTTGCTGAAGAAATACATTGATTTAAGAATTGGGAGCTAAATTTCTCTGATGATGCACAGAAGGGAACATGTCTAGTGAGAGTGGAGGAAGGAAGAGACTCCCCTCCATTTCTTCAGCTATACTTTTGGCTGCTGCAATTGGTGTCATTGAGGCCTCAGCTTTGATTCTGGGGTCTGAAATACTCCTCAGCATTATGGGTGTGTCACATGTATGTTCAAGAATCTCATACCAATGCATTGATGCTATCCTATATGGATGCTAAACTTTAGCATATCCTTCACACTTTCGGTAGAGACTCTATTTTACTAAACCCTTGATGCAGTACTCTCCATTTATTTCTTCGGCAGGCGTCAACCATGCATAGTCCTGCAAAGTTGTTTCTTTCTTTAAGGGCACTTGGTGCTCCTGCCGTAGTGGTTTCATTGGCTATTCAAGGTATCTTTCGTGGATTGAAAGACACAAAGACACCTCTACTTTACAGTGGTAAGACTTATCACCTGCTAAATTCAATGATTTCCTATCACTTCTAGACTGTCGATTAGAATTTCAAAAGTAAATATACTGGATGGAGATATTATCCCATTGTCAGTACATCATAAAAGTTTATGATCATTAATTTTCTCTCTTAGTGACATTTGTTCTGAGTCTTCTGACAACTGAACAAAACATATATAGTCACTTACGGATCAATGCTGAATCTTCAGGCTTGGGCAACATCTCAGCTGTGCTTCTACTTCCCTTTCTCGTGTATTCGCTGAACCTTGGATTAAATGGAGCAGCTCTCGCAACTATTGCTTCACAGTATGTATTGCATTTAAATATATTCAAACAATTTCATCCAGACGTGCCACAATTTCAGGAACACACAAACTGTTTTATAGTTTAAAATTGATACAATTGTCAAATTGGTTAAAATAAACAGATGAGACAAGCTAAAATATATGTCTGTTACTGTTTCTAATAGGTTTTTTCTTTTCTGGGGTCCCAATTGTTTATCGCTTAAAGTAAGAGGGAATAGACTGTTTGAGTTTTCCATCAATGTGCTAACTAATCCTGTTTTAGTTTGTTTGCTTAAGAAATGTGCACCCCTTCCATCTTATTTATTTTTTTCTAGAATTTTTCCTACATATCGTTGATGTATTATTTGTTTGCTGCCTTTTGTTATCGAAATGTCTAGGTATCTTGGTATGTTTCTGCTCCTTTGGTCTTTAAGCAAAAGAGCAGTTCTACTGCCTCCAAAAATTGAAGACCTTGATTTCGTTGGGTACATAAAATCTGGTGAGTGGTATGTCCATATGTGGTTATTATTTTACTGTTAAGTAACTTTTGATGCTTCCAGGCTTTTGATGCACATGTTGTATTTTATGAATACTAACTTGCGCTAGCTTTTACTTTGCAACTCTAATATTTATGTACACCTTAGTGACATAACTCTTGCCTTTGTACAAGTTCTGAATACTTTTCAAACTTTCTAGGTGGCATGCTATTAGGGAGAACTCTTTCAGTTCTTATAACAATGACCCTTGGAACTGCAATGGCTGCTAGGCAAGGCACAATAGCCATGGCTGCTCATCAAATATGTCTACAGGTTTGGCTGGCGGTATCATTACTTTCGGATGCATTGGCTGTTTCTGCCCAGGTGCAACTCTCTTTTGTAATGTAATTTTGTATTTCTTTGAAAAGCTTTACATTCACTATGTTTTTTTTTTTTGGCAAACATCGGTGACTTATCTTGCCCAATGACCTTATGGGGTTTGAAGTTTTCAACTAAAATATGCAAAACTGTGGGGTGCACTTAAGTCAGTACAGAATTAAGCCTTAACAAACATGCTCTCTCTAGAATTCCCCTTTTGTGAGAGGCTTGGGATGGTTGAATTTCCTCAATCATTCAACCATCCCATGGTATATGACATTTAAGCATGATCCCAATTTCTCTTGAACAGGGCCTTAGTGCATTCAATTTATTTTAGACCTACTTGATTGCAGGCATTGATTGCAAGTTCTTTTGCCAAGCTTGACTATGAAAAGGTCAAGGAGGTCACATACTATGTCTTGAAGGTAATAAATAACAACCTTTATTAAATTACGCAGGTGTTATCTTCTATTGTTGGATATTATTCATTGAGCATGTATCGAAGCAACTTACAACTGAACTCTATTTTCCAGATAGGACTGCTTGTTGGTGCAGCTTTAGCCCTTCTTCTGTTTGCCTCTTTTGGTAGAATTGCAGAACTGTTCTCCAAAGATCCTATGGTTCTACAAATTGTTGGGAGTGGTGTTCTGGTATGTGCCCCTTTTTTTTGTCATACTACAATAAGATCTTCAGCACTGTCAACGTCATCTTTACCCGTTCTGTTTTTGTTTTTGAAGTTTGTTAGTGCCAGCCAACCAATTAATGCCCTAGCTTTTATCTTCGATGGACTTCACTTCGGTGTCTCAGACTTCTCATATTCTGCTTCTTCAATGGTATATACACTTACATAATAAATCTGTAATATTTTGATCTTGCATTAGCTGCAACTATTTAGTTTGCCACTGTGTCCTTTCCTTTCTGCTGTGATTAATTACTGTCTTTTGTCTACAGATTACTGTTGGGGCAATATCTTCTTTATTTTTGCTATATGCTCCCAAAGTTTTTGGCCTCCCTGGGGTTTGGGCTGGGCTGGCTCTTTTCATGGGTTTGCGCATGACTGCAGGATTTTTGAGGCAAGTTTTTCTTTCTGACTTCCTCTCGTGATTTGCTGAACTGTAGGAGACAATTTGAGGTTATCTTTGATATGTATTGTTATCTTTTCTGTACTATAATGGATGGAGTAAATAGCAGAGTTTAACTTCCCCTGAAAATGCAGCTGTTACAACATTTGCATATAGGTTTTGTTGAGCTCTATTTCAGTCATTTCAAATACAGAATTACTGTGCTGGTTTGTAAATATATTGTTTGCATATGTTGATTGTCTTCAGAATCGTTCATATGCTTGCAAGCATTTAATGGATGCAAACCTTTCATTGTTGTGGTGCAAACTTTGGCTCCTGCTGATCATAACCAGGCTGTTTGATCATGTTGTGACATTTACCTATCTACTTTACAGATTGGGTTCGAGAGCAGGTCCTTGGTGGTTTTTGCACCAGAAAGAGCCAACATACAAGTTAGTGAAAATGTATTCTTGGTTGTGATGTTTTATTGATTCGTTTAATAATAAGTAACTAATCATTACCGCTACTTCTATACCAAGAATTGAACTAGACGTGAGATGCTGTTAATTTGAAGTTTTGAACCAATCTACATATGGCTCAATTTAAGTCTAAATTGAGTCTCATGCTAGTGCCATCTTCCCATACCTGACATATACAGTGATATCATCTGTTGTTAAACAATAAGATATATCTTTCTCACTAGTAAAACAAAGAAGGTACATCTAATTAAAAAAAAGATATCCTTTTCCAACCTATCATGGATTACGCTTAGCATATTTTCTAGTGCACCATGACAGAAGTACATTTACAAAGAGATTACTAATTAGTTTTAATTTTAGGAGACAAAGACAACCCTTTAATCTGAATAAGGTTCTTTGGCTGTAACATTACCACATTGGTTTGGCATCTAGTTGTTATCTTTTGGTAGAAAATATAGTGATGATTGCATCTTTAGGGTATGCACATAGCTGGTAGTATTTTTGCTAATACATTGTTATATGCAGATTACACTCAAGTACATGTTGATGTTGGGCTGCAGGGGATAAATAGGAAGATAGAGAATGGAAGTGATCAAAGGTGCATTATACTCAACAGACTAGTTCAATATATTTTGTTCTTAGCATTGTGTTGACTTTTGCAAATGTTTTGGACTTTAGGTAGATTTACATGATATTAACTGAAGTACAAGCATAAATTCACATAAATTGAGAACTAACTCTCTCTCTCTCTCTCTCTCTCTCTCTGAAAGTAGAAGTGTGTAAAGAACATGGTAGATTCTATTTTATATTGTTATGATAACAACAAACTTGAAAGATATAAAACCTTTCTAATCAATCAGTAGGATCCTGGAGGCAGTACTTGTGTTCTTTTCCTATGAATATACTTGTAGGGTAGTCGTCAGTAAAGACTCGCATAATCAGCAGGCCCATATGGCTGGAACCATTCAGCCAGTACTCCTTTCTTCCTTTTAGGGTTGCATCCAATGTCTTGGCATAAGATATCGTTAAACCAAATGTTAACGGTGCTTATACAGGACCTGCGAAAGTACTTTCCGTTGTAAAGATCCTTATATTTAGCCCACTCTGCTACACTCTCTTCCATACATCTTATGCTTGGTAATTTGAAGCGACCACCCAGGAAATGCGTAACCCAATTGGCCATCCTTTCTGAGGCATATATGTTGGTAAGGCTCTCAGAGTATCCAACAATTGCTAACTGAGGAATCCGAGGATGGATGCATTCTCTGCAAGTTTCAAATATTTTGGTAAATGGGAAATGAACGTACAGGCTTTAACTAGTAAACATTAAAACTTAAACATGATGTATCAAGTTTATTAAATTCTCATCATCCCAAATTATGCTAACTACTGGCTTATTGTTATCAAAACCATTGGAATTTCGTAATGATACCTATTAGCTGCTCTGGAGCGTAAAAATTGGTTAATAGCTTCAACAGCTGATGGACATTTTCATGCATAATAGCAGTGCACTAATTTTGCGGACATAATGTTATCCCTTGTTCCTGTCTATTCACTGTATTGTTCTCAAAGTATGCACACTAACCAAAGAAATGTTGAACTTCTACCTGTATAGAGGGACCGCAGTAGCTGATGACCCTGCCACTTTCTCTTTGCACCAGTTTGCTGTGAAGATGTCTCTAAGTTTCTGATCTCCCCTAAATCCTGTTGCTAGAATTACAATGTCACTCTTTATGTGTTCATTTCCATCTTCCAGGATGATTCCATCATTAAAGAAGCTGAACCTCTTGGATTTCTTGAGAATAATGCTGCCTTCATCAACCTTATCATAAAACCCCTCTGGTAGCATTGCAATCAAGCAAGACGACATGGCAAAGGAGAAGCTGTAGTCAGGAACCATCCCATGCTTTTGTAAAGGAATGCTTTGCTTGAAGTAAGTTTCAATTACTTTTGAGATTGCCCATCTCTGAAAAAGCAGATGGAAAGAAATATTTTCAGTTTTGTGGGTTCTCAAGCTTATTAGTCTGAATGAAAGTTGAACTGGTTTCTAAACTCCAATTAAATTGAAGTGCTAATGTACCAAGGGAGAGAGCGCAGTGGCTAAAACATAATATAGAAATCCTTCACCGGGTTTATGAACTAGTAGCTGTGAAATACGGTTAAGATAGAAGTAACTGAGGTCAACTCCGCAAATACTAGATTTGTGTACCAACCAGTGCCTTGTTCTATATATCATGGTACATGGCTGGGTTTCACCTACATTTTGAACAGAAGTGTTAGCCATATGTTCTTTAGACTGATTATTGCCAGTTAGTGAGGAGCTGATTCTGTTTGACGCACCATTCACCTTGGCGACCTCTGCAGCGATGTCAAATGCAGATTTTCCAGAGCCTATTATAGTCACCTTCTTCCCTTTGACAAATTCAGCTGCATTATCCATGTAAGAGTAATCTATTGAGTGCAAGATTTTCCCCTTGAACAACTCTAGGCCACTGTTTGCCGGAAATTCTGGGATATTTGGGCTTCCGCTGTGCCTTCCAATGCACACGATTAGAAAATCCACTAGAAAAACCTGTGACAACAGGAGATCAACATACAAAGTTGCAGTATGGCATACAATTTTCTTCACACAAAAGGTGAAATACATTATATTGTTGGTTCAAGCAGATTTGCTGACTTCATATTATTCTTGTTCAGGGTGAGGATGCTGTTCTATTTTCATTGCTAGATAATGTCTTTTCTCACATGTTACTCCATTCCTATGCACCAGTGTGAATTTGATAAATATGCAAGGTGAATGCACATACCTCAATGTTACCAATTTTCAAGTCCTTCACGGTGAGGCGCCACACCCCATCTTTCTGAGCACCAAATGCCTCACCATTGCCAGACCAGTGCTCCCACTGCATTATCTCTCCCTCGGTTGCACCAAGGTATTCAACTCCAAGCACCTGGCTATTGAACCTGATGCACTTGAGGAGATCAAACTCGCTGGCATATGACCTCAGGTACTCCATGACCTTCCTATGGCTTGGGTACTTCTCTGTCACAGTTGCTGGCCATGCCAGGTCTGAGAACCTGAATGCCGTGGTTGGTGCCTGGAGCCTTGTTGACTCCAAGGTGTGTGCCCAGACGCCACCGATGGTGTCGTCTGCTTCGAACACGATTGGGTTGAATCCTTTGTCCAGTGAGTGCTTGCATGCTGCTAGGCCGCTCACACCGGCGCCGATGATGCCAACCCTCTTCCTGTCCATTTTCTTGCTCTGCGTCCAGGTTCTTGGGAGGAAGGAAGAAGATGGGGGTAGATGTTATAGAATGTTGCTGATTGATTGATTCTTTGGATAAGTTAAATTAGATTTTTTTGGAGTTGGTGGATCTTTTCCGGGGATTGGATGGGGGCCAAACCACCACCACTTGCTTGCTTGGCGTCTTCACTGTTTGCTGGTTCTAGCCCTGTCAGCCTCTGGTAGTTTGTCCCTTTTTTTCCGCTGTGAGTTTTTCTTTTTGTGTGTTTGTGTTCAGTGGGAGGTTGGGAGTGGTAATTTTATAAATGGATGATGGATGTGTTTTGAGTGCTTAATGAGGTGAGGTGAGGTGAGGTCTCTTTCAAAGTTGAGCAAATATCATGGCATCTCAATGGGATAAAATCTGAATTTATACGCATATATCAAGAGGGCATCCCAATGGGCTAGATTCTGGATTGGCCAACAAGGCCTCGAATCGATCCAACATGCTTGGCAACGACGTCAGCGAACGTCTTCCGGCCGATGATGGAGGTGGTAAAGCCGCATTTGGTCCCTATCAAAGTTTGTGGTCTAAAGCGAGAAGAAATGTTTACCAAAATCAGGCCCAATATGGTGCCCAAATTAGCCAATTCTAGCGGAAGGCCCACTAACGAAGGCCGTTATAATTAGTGGAGGCCCAATAATAAGAGAAACCTTGACTAGGCCTGTTCCCTCTCCACTCTCAATTCGCCGCCTTCCCCCGCCCAGCACGCATATGATCCAAGCCCAGGATAGGTCAATCTGCAGAATTTTTTTTATTTTTAATTTTTTTTATTAAAAGTTTTACAAAAATAATTTTCCATTTTGAAAATTGACGGAAGTAGTCGCCTACCGGCCTCTGGGAAGGCGATTTTTAAAAATCGCCCTCCCAGAGGGCGGCGAAAATGACGTGGCAGACGACCGTTCGCTCTCGGGCGACGGCCGTCAACGAAATTTGCAGGCGGCCCCCTTGCCGCCCTCCGCGAGGGCGATTTTGTACTGTGCGGGGGGCCGCCTGCAAATGGGCGGCGAGGGGGGGCATGGAATTTTGCAGGCGGCCCCCTTGCCGCCCTCCGCGAGGGCGATTTTGTACTGTGCGGGGGGCCGCCTGCAAATGGGCGGCGAGGGGGCATGGAATTTTGCAGGCGGCCCCCTTGCCGCCCTCCGCAAGGGCGATTTTGTACTGTGCTCTATATTTTTGTATAAATATCAATAGTTATCAAATCTTTTTATATTGAAAACTATACAAGATTAAAATCTCCAAGACTGGTAAAATACAATTTTATTATTTTTTAGGGCATATTTGGATTGTTACTGTACAAATATTTTGTTACCGTACAAATATTTTATTAATTTTTAGGGCATATTTGGATTGTTAGTGCCAAATTTTTCTTCACGACCAAATATTTGGTAAGGTAAAATTGCATTTGATCATATTTGGTTTGCTGCCAAAATGTAAAATTGTAGTGAAGAATGTTCTACATAATCTCAAATCTAGATTACGTATTACCAATGAATAGGCTTCCATTTTCGTGTGTTGTGTGCTAGTGGGAAAGAAGATATGAAGAGGTTGCCTTCAGATTGTCAATTATATAGCGTCGTTTTCACTGCAATATATGTGAACTCAATGAGATACATTATTCATTAGATGTGACAAGACGATCACGCGTGGGCGTGATTCACTTTATGTAAACAGGCAGCGCCGAAAGTTGATAGTGATAACTCGAGCTGCCGCTTTTCATGTGTGCTGTTGTGGACTGTGCGCGCTACTGGATCTGACACTACCGTGCAGCGCCGAAAGTGTGTTGTCGTGAGCATAAGTTGTTCTAGCACCATATGAATGAAAAGAACTATGTAGACGAGACAAACACAAGTAGTACTGCAGTAGTAATAGCAAAAGTAGTACTGCTTTACAAGTTTGTAAGTCAAAAGAAACGGTCACATAAGGACTGAAGAGGTAGAACACTACTGACGAGGCCTCTTACCCCTGTCCCTCCTACCCTGCGCCCTAATGTGCCCGTGGGAGTACGTGAGTCGGTCCGGGGGTACGGCACGGCCAACCCGTCCTGCCTGTACAGGTGTGACCTCTGGCTGCTCCTGAGTGTGCGCCTCTGGAGCTCCTCCAAGCTGAGAGGAGCCTAGTACGTCGTGGTGGTCTGCACCGTGCAAGTCGTCGTCGTAGAACTGGCTAGTAGGACCAGTCCTACCGGCGTGAGACGAAGAGGCCCCAGTACCGAAGATCCCGGCTGCAAATCCTGCTGGACAAGGACCATCAGTTTCGTACAGGTATTTAACAGTATTAATAAAAAGTAAAGTACCGTGTGGGCGAGGGATCGACGCTCCGTGAGAGGAAGAGCTGGCGAACGCGCCCGAAGAGGTGGCGAACACCCCTGCGGAGCTCGTGGAAGCGCCGGTCGTGCCTGCGAACGCGCTCGAAGGCAGACGAGGTCCTGCGATGAGGAAACGTGCAGTTAAAACATGGTGACATAATCGTGCAAAAGCTGAAACAAAAATGAACTAATATCTGGGCTGAACTGTACCGTGCGAAACCGGTGCTGTAGGTCGCACTGATCCGAAGCTAGGGGCGCTCGAAGGCAAACGAGGTCCTGCGAGGATGGATCATCAAGTTACGACGGGGTGATGTTTTCGTACAAAAACAGAAACAAAACTTAAGAAACCTCTGGGCTGAGCAGTACCGTGTGAAATAGGTGCCGTAGGTCGAGGTCCTGCTCCGACGGTAGGCGCGCGAGGCCGTGGTTGTACCGGACCAGCTGGAGGTACGACGTCCACGGCGCTGCGACAGGAGAAGACGCGCATGACCGCACGCATCTTCTCCTGCATCCGGTCGAAGGTCACCCTCTGCTCAACGTCAGTCAAGTGCAAACCTCTGTTCAACCTCACTTGGACTGCGGTGATATCGGCACTGATATCCCGTGCGGCATCAGCCTATGCAAGATGGAAATAACAAATTCAGTAGTTGTCCTATATTATGCAAGATAAATGAAATAATTGTAAGAAGTAATACAAATTGGATGTACCGCCACGAAGTAGTCTCGGTCACGGTGCGTGGGATACGCGTCCGTGACAGCGGCAACGTGCGGCTCTGGGGCGTCTGGAGTGAAGGTCACACGCGCACGAGTGCGAGGAAGGTACCAACGAAGGTAGTCACGGTAGTTCTCCTCCGTGTGTGGGAAGAGCTCGTTGATCACCTCCTCTGTAGCTAACACCCAGTCGTCAACGTACTGCTGTACACGTGGAGCCCAAAGTGCGCCTGCTAGCTGTCCCCGTCGAGTCAACCTGTGAAGAGAGGTAAATTATATGGCTCGATGAAGTAATTATCATAAAAATTTAGAAATGAACAATCCGAACTCACGAGTGGTCGGCAGGGAGGACGGTCGGCTGCACGTTGCCCGGAAACACCTGCCTAAGTCCGAACTGTCTCATCACACGCTGCGGGCAGTGAGGCTCAACGAAAATGTCGAACACCATCGGCAGGATGGTGAGCCAGTAAGCCTGGTCGCGTGTGCACAAGGACGAAAGTCCTAGCGGTGCTCTCGCAGCGACGGCCTCTTCTGTGTACGGCTCCCAGATGACGTCGCTCGGCTGGAGACGGTCAAACTCGAACACGAAGTCCGGGTAACCACGTCTCACCTGGACGTGAGCGTAACGACGCTGCAATAAACATGATCGGAATTAGACATGTTATGTGAAGAAAAAAAAAAGACGACTGATAAACTTATAACGCAGCGAAGTTGCACTAACCCCACGTCGACACCAGTAAGTCCCCATCGTGGGACCGTCCTCTGGCCACTGCGCGCTGCGACCAACCCCGTAGGGTGCGCTGTCCACCACTGGTCGACCTATGGCAAACCTCTCGGCTGCCCAAAGCTGAAGCAACATAGGGCAGCCAGCGATGATCGCTCCCGCGTCAGTCTTCGTGCACGCCTCACAGAGGGCACGGTACGTGGCTGCTAGCACGGCAGAACCCCAGCTCCACTGCGGCACGTCCTGTGGCTGAGCATCCGCGATGTGCCTAATAATTGATTTTGGTTCAAAGCCAATGTTACCAACAACACTGCTGTACATCTCACTTGCCACAAAAGCTGAAGTGATGTTTCGGTGATACTTCTCCACCCCTTGTAAGTAGCACTTGTGCTCGGTCACAATGCTAACTTTCCAATAATCATTCCATTTACCCTTATATGCATGGACACGCCACGGACAATTTTCCTTCATGCACCTCACTTCATACACATAATTTGTTGACTTGACCACCCTAAACTCTCTCTGCAAGGAAACTGCCCAATGCTTCACCGCCTCCTTCATCTCATCCTTATGAGCATATCTTGCACCCTCAATTACCTCGTTCTCCTTATACTCCCAGGGTACATGATCACCCTCTGATATAACAAGTCCAGAGAAGTCCTCATTTGCCCAATCAGTGGCCATTACATCACCTTCCTCATCGGATGATGCGTCGTCGTCCACTTCCTCATTATCCGAATCTTTCCTCTCCATTTCATCAACAATTATACCGACTCTCTCCCCCTCATCCGCCATGCCCATAGCCTGCTCCTCCCTTGGTTGATTTTCCTCATTTTGCATCGATGGTCCAACAACATCCCCTGCATTGATAGGACCCTCTACATCTTCGGTTTGCATTGAAACATTTATATCTTTCTCTTGTACCGACACAAATATAACGAGGGGCCATGACCGTTCAAAAGCCATTTCCACATACCGTCTCCAAGCATCAGTGCTGTCCATCGGCATTAGTTCCCAAAAATAACCTTCTGTTGCACGACTCACTACAACTGACACTGACATTGTGTAGACTTCTTGGTCTATTCTAAATCCTCTCAACAACCAACTATAAATTGACTGAAATGTTCTCTCCGCAGGCCTATCGATGCCCTTAGATGTCATTACAAAATCTGACAGATCAACACCATCTGGACCAAATCTAATATTTCCTTCACCGTGAACTATCTGAAATGTGACCTTACTTGACATTGTGCCTGATGAAAACAATAACTGCGTTAACCTCGCATTTCTGTACTACGCCCTAAGTTACATTCTCTACAATATTGTTCTCTAAATTTCTAAAATTACGTTACATTCTCCAGATCAAACTAAACTACATCTTACAATTAACACTACTGTCTATGTCTCAATTCATACTATTATATTCTATGCTCTGGATCTACACATATGTGATGTGTGCTACAGATGTGCTAAAATATATGGAACTAAAACTAAAACGCAACATATATACTCAAACATAACATATTAGTACAAATGCAAAAGATGTATGGGAGCATACCTGTGATGAATTGAGCGAACCAGCAGGGCTTCGCCGCTCCCCTTCTGCTGCCCTCCCCTCTCTCTCTTTTGTTTTTTTTGGATTTTTAGTGAATATAATGAAATTTCACAGAGGAGGGACTGGGCTTTATAGGGGGAGAGGCAAAAATCGCCCTCCCCCAGGGCGGCAAGGGGGCCGCCTGCAAAATTCCATGCCCCCTCGCCGCCCATTTGCAGGCGGCCCCCCCCACAGTACAAAATCGCCCTAGCGGAGGGCGGCAAGGGGGCCGCCTGCAAAATTCCATGCCCCCCCTCGCCGCCAATTTGCAGGCGGCCCCCCGCACAGTATAAAATCGCCCTAGCGGAGGGCGGCAAGGGGGCCGCCTGCAAATTTCGTTGACGGCCGTCGCCCGAGAGCGAACGGCCGTCTGCCACGTCATTTTCGCCGCCCTCTGAGAGGGCGATTTTTAAGGCGGTAGGCGACTCCTTCCGTCAATTTTCAAAATGAAAAATTATTTTTGTAAAACTTTTAATAAAAAAAATTATAAATAAAAAAAATTCTCAATCTGCAAGCATGGCTCCATGCCTCCGGCCTCCTCATCAATCATACGTCATGGTCAACTGGCACTGTGGCACACCAATCAGGCAATCACCAAGTCAACTGTATGACCCTTTGCAAGTCAACTGTATTTCAATCTACAGACAGATCCATCATTTCGAGCTAGCTCTTCCGGTCATCGAAGTCGCCTCTACGTATAGAGAGATCATACCATGGTCGATGCAATGTACTTTCTTACCTTCACGATATCTGATTTCGGAGTCGTCGGGGATGCCTTGAAGTCAACTGTACAGAGCAGTTTGGGGTATCTAAATTCTAAAGTCAGCTTCTCCATACATGGATGCGATCGAGCAATGTATGGTAGATTTGACTGAGAACTTTCAACTTTGGCCATAGCTTTCAAGAAAAATGTTGATCCATGATTGTTAACCCTATGTGTTGGGTTCTGCACATGAAGCATAAATTAGCGGAATTGCTATCCTTCATTCCACAAAAAAATATGAGCATTTCTATCAAAATTTGGACTATTAATCCGTGCCAACCTCCTTTAGCTTCAACGAGTCATGGCAGCTCTAGCGAGGCATCAACACCCCCAACCAGTTTAGGTCGGGGAGAGGGGGCTTTCCCTGGAGCGTCGACGGAACCGTATGGATGGAGGCTGGCAGTGGGCCAGCGTCTACGCTTGGCTTGAGGATCGGAGGAGAGGTGGGGAGCAAGCTCGCTCGCTCTACCAAACAAGCGTCTTGTTTGGATCCCCAGGGTATTAAATAACCCTTCGGAATCTTACTATTTAAGAGTATTAAACATAGATTATTGACAAAACCCATTCCATAACTTCTAGTCTATTTTGCGAGACGAATCTAACGAGGTATATTAATCCATGATTAGCGGATGATTATTGTAGCATCATTGTAGCAAATTATGGATTAATATACCTCGTTAGATTCGTCTCGCAAATAGCCCAGGGGTTATGGAATGGGTTTTATCAGTAGGGCTATTTAATAGCAAGATTCCGAAGGACTATTTAATAGACCGGAGGATCCAAATAGGGCCAAGGTCACAAAGAGAAGGCGTGCGAAGAAAAAGAACGTGAACATTAGGTAATGACCTAATATCAAATATAAATAGAATGAGTGAGACTTCGAACTCAGACCGGCTAGCCCACCACCTTATGAAGCTAATCAGAAGACCCCTGGACATTTCTCAAGATGCACGTAGAAGAAAATAAGGTTATTGTTCATGCATGGATCTTAATGCAATCCTAGCCATCCACAAATTAATTGAAATCAGGGGCTGTCCGTCAAAAGTCCAATAACATAGATGCGATCGAACGATGTACGCAGTAGTATACATCAAGAGATCTATGGTAGATTTGACTGAAAACGTTGGGCATATCTTTGAAGAACACGTTAGTCCATGATTGTTAACCATTTGTGTGCAGTGTTGGGTTCAGGGTACTGTACATGACGTATAAATTAATTGGAAACTATAGGAGCGCAAAAAAAGGAATCACCATATATGGGACTATATATAGTACCTCATAATGTTGTATCAGATCGGTACATATATATAAGATGCTAATGAGCTAGGATCGTATTAGAGTGAATTGCTCATTAGCAAGTAGTGCTAAAACACAGTTAGCTAGCTAAGTAGTTAGGGATTGTTGAGCCGGAATAGTATCATCCAGGTACTTTTGAGTTTCAGTCAGTGATCTGATCTATGGCACACGATCAAGAAATTCAGCTAATGATAAAAGGTACTCCTTCAGAATCGAACCCTTCCTGATTGGTTCAGGTTGTACTACTTCAACTTATGCGTGGGTCCTCTTATATACCTTAGTAAGTACTCTCTCCGTCCCGATATAAGAGCTATCTATATTCGTAGTAGTTAGACTTATATTGAGACGGGAGAGTAGCAAACTAGTACATGCTGTCATGATTCATTTCTGCACTTTCAGACTCGAACCTCGTAATATTTGATAGATCAACGGTAAGCATGTTATTTTTTTTTAAAAAAAAGTACTATTGGAATTACACATTTTAATGATTTTTTCCAATAGTTCCATTGTTGAGATTTTTGTTTAATTATGCTAAACGAAAGACTAAATGCGTTTTAGCTTCAATGGAAATGTAACCTCTTACAAAAACAGTAGTATGAATGCCCTGCAAATTCTAGCCACACGATTGGTTCTCTTCAATTTGATTGTCAAATTAAAGCAACGGGTAGTACACTAGTAGTAGCAGTTCACGGCAACCTTAGCTGCGCAGTGCGTACGTACGCATGTCTCACTGCGTACATCCTTTAATTTGTCTGCGTTAAGAACAGGCTCAGACAATAATTAAACTTCACTGGTTCGATCACACTTACACCACGTACGCTAAATTACTGTAACTTTCTTTCTGCCAAGATACTCCCGGACAGGAGGAATCCTGCCATGGCGAAATCTGCAAGGGGCAAGCTGCGCTTGGGCCGCCGATCGCGAGGAGAAGAGGCGTTCGACGATGTCGGTGGGTGCCAGTGATGGTGGACATGCTGATGCTGCTCGTCGGGGAGGCAATGGCGCCTCTCCTCACCCGCCTCTACTACAACTCCGGCGGCAACAGCCTATGGATGGTCACGCTCGCGCAGTCCGCCGGAGCGCCGCTGCTGGTCATCCCCTTCCTCCTCACGCCGCGGGCCGCCGCCGTCGGGGAGCCTCGGCCGGCGCCGGCGGCATCCAAGATGGTCGCCATCTGCGTGGCCCTCGGGCTCGTCGTCGGCTGCGACAACCTCATGTACTCGTACGCCATGCTGTACCTGCCGGTGTCCACGTTCTCGCTCCTCGCCGCGACGCAGCTGGCGTTCAACGCGGTCACGTCGCGCCTCATCAACGCGCAGCGGTTCACGCCGCTCGTCGTCAACTCCGTCGTCGTGCTCACCTTCTCCGCCGCGCTGCTCGGCGTCGACGACCCCTCCTCCTCCGTCGGCGGCGGCGCCGGCGGCGACGCCGTTCAGCGTGGCAAGCACGCCGCCGGCGTCGTCCTCACCCTGTCCGCGTCCGCCGTCTACGCGCTCATCCTGTCCCTGTTCGAGGCCACCTTCGACAAGGTGATCGGAGCAGCGACGCCGCGGTGGGTGCTCAAGATGCAGATCTCCACGAACGCGGTGGCCGCGACGGTGTCGGCGACGGCGCTGTTCGCGTCGGGGGAGTGGAGGACGATCGGCGGCGAGATGGCGGCGTTCAAGGGCGGGAAGGCGGCGTACGCGGCGACCGTGGTGGGGGTCGCCGTGGGGTGGCAGGCGGCGACGCTGGGCGCCGTGAGGCTGATCGCGAGGGTGTCGTCGCTGTTCGCGAACGTGACGGGCACCCTGGCGCTGCCGATGGTGCCGGTGCTGGCGGTGGCGCTGTTCGGGGACAAGATGACGGGCACCAAGGTGGTAGCCATGCTCATGGCCGTGTGGGGGTTTCTCTCGTACGTGTACCAGCACTACCTCGACGGCCGGCGAGCGGCGGCGCGAGAGGGGAGGGTGCATGCGGCGGCTGGCTGTGGCATCTGCACAGATCAAATGAATTATTCTTAGAGTATGTCTGGGGGAGCTTCTAGCAATTGCAGCTTCTCCTAGAATTTTCAGCTGTCATAAACTTTCCAAACAGTTCAGCTTTTGGTCCAAATTCTGACAAGTTGTGATTGTAGAATCCAAAAAATGAACTGAAAGCCAGAAACTGGAAAACCTAGATTCTCAAAAGCTGACTACCAGCTAGCTGTCTATCACAATTTTAAGCTCCCCAACAAGCCAATATTTTTCACACAACTTCTGAGAAACTATAGTTGTAGAATCCAGAAAATGAACTAGAAGTTAGAAGCTGGGATTCTCACAAGCTAACTTCTCACCCGCTGCTTCTCGTAATCTTATTTTGGTCCTGAATCCTAATAAATGTAAAAACTTGCATTCATTTTGCACCCCTAAATATAAAAATGGAGTCACTGGCAAACTACCCTCAAGATAAGATTTTTTTTTTTAAGAAAGATTACCGGTGCCCTCAAGATTCAGATTCCATCACCATTTCAGCTGTTCAAGTTGATATCAGCGTAATCGGCTGGTCCGTAGGGTACCAACCAATCTGCCAGCAACCACTTCTTCCTCCGTCGTTGAACCCCCATGTCTTGGCACAGCCGATCACTGCACAGCACGCTCACCGGCCCAATGCAAGATCGACGGAAACGGCCGGGGGAATACCGTTTCATGTACTTGTCCCATTCATCTATGTCCTCCTCCATCTCCTTTACGCTTGGCAATCTGAAGCTTCCATGGAGGAAATGTGCCAGCCACTTGGACAGTAGCTCGGACACGCAGAGGTTCGACCAGCTTTCAGCGTAGCCGATGATCGCCAGCTGTGGGATCCTAGGATGGATGCATTGCCTGACAAAACACAACCACAAATCATCAGTTACCATAATCACATTGCATATATATGCATTCAGAAGAAGAATGTAATGACATATTTATAGACCTGCGTATGCATTCAGAAGAAGAATGTAATGAAAGATTTATAGACCTGAAGTGTGGAACTATGCTGGAAGGTGGGCCGGCCACGATTTCTCTGAACAATGGCGATTTGAACATCTCCCTGATCTTCTGGTCGCCATTGAACCCTGTAGCGAAGATCACCACGTCGCTCTTTATGGTCTCTGAAGACGAGTCGCCTTCCACGACCAGGCCTTCCTTGCAGAAGCTGAATCTCTTCGATTTCTTCAGAACGATGCTTCCTTCCTCCACCTTGTCGTAGAACTTGTCCGGTAGCTTCATCACAGAGCATGAGCACATGGCCTCCATGAAATCCTCGTCCGGCACCATGCCGTGCTTCTCCATGGGCAGAGCCCATTTGTAGTAGCTCTCAACAAACTTGGCGAAGAGCCATCTCTGAATAACAGGACACAACAAAAAAACAAATATGACGAGAGATGTCCTAATCTGACAGCATGATATAACTAGCAGTAGAACAAAAGGATTAATGTGTGCCATGGTATGCTTAATCATTACTCCCTCCATTTCATATTACACGGACATTTTGACTTTTCTCTAAAATCAATTTTTTAAAAGTTCAAATTTATATAAAAAAACTGTAACAAAACCGTAGCATTTTCAACACAAAATTGAAACTAATTTGGTGTTATATATTTTTTGCAATTTTGTTTTATAAACTTGGTCAAACTTAAAATAAATTGCGTTAGGAAAGAAAAGTCAAAATGTCTTATAATATTTTTATTAAAACGATCTGCACTGGACATTACGAAGTTTTATATTGACATAGCATGAAAAAGAAATTACAAGATGAAATGGAGGAAGTAAATACCAGTGGTGATAAGAGGATGGCTAGAAAGCTAAGGATCAAGCCATCCCCAGGCTTGTGAAGCAAGATCTGGGACAAACGGTTGATGTAGAACACCGGAACCGGGACGCCCCAAGCGTACAAGTCCGGCACGATCCATCGCTTCGTGCGTAGCACTATCGTGCACGGATGCGACGCCCCTGCATATACAAACACACGCGTAAAACACAAGGTCATTTTCGCTCTCGATCATGGAAGCAGAAATTGCGAAAGCTGGCCGGCTAGCTTGATGGATCGTCGATCGAGAGCTTAGCACCATTGGCGTCTGCGCACTCGGCGGCGATGTCGACGGCGGATTTCTGGTAGCCGACGACGGCGACGCGCTTGCCCTTGACGAGCTGAGCCGCCTTCGCGGCGCCCATGTTGGAGTAGTCCATGGAGTGGATCGCCGTGCCGGCGAACGCCTCTGGCCCTTTGTCCGGTGGAAATCTCGGCATGTTGGGGAAGCCGCTGAACCGTCCGATGCACAGCACCACGAAATCCGCGACGTGCAGCTGAAGCACAATGATAATCTTTAGCTTATTATGGATGGATTAATGCAACATTAACCGGCACTATTATTAACACGATGTTTCATACTAAAAATATATTAATCACTTGCAGCTACTCCCTTCAATTTTATATTATACTCCCTCCGGCTGATAATACTTGTCGTTTTAGACAATGATGAGGTCAAACTTTAGAATATTTAATTATAAATCATTTTTAAAATATTTGTCTTTCAAATATAGTGACTACATATATAAATTAGTCTTAAAAAGTACTATATTTGTTACACTTTTATACATATTATAATAAAAAATAATAGTCAAAGTTGTTTTTTTAGAGACCGTGCCATTGTTCAAAACGATAAGTATTATCAACCCGAGAGAGTAGGTCATTTTGATTTTTTTTCTTGGTCAAACTTATTTAAGTTTGATAAAATTTATTGAAAAATATAGTAAACTGTTAACACAAAACAAACATATATCATTAAAGTATATTTAATGAAACTAATTTGGTATTTTAGATGTTACTAAATTTTTCTATAGATTTAGTCAAATTTTAAAAATTGACTAAAAAAATAAAGTGACTTGAGTACATAATATGAAACCGAGTAGGAGTAGTTATTTGTGCTTGCCTCAATGTTGTGGCCGCTCTGCACAGTGAGCCGCCACTCGCCGCGGCCGGTGCCGAACGCCTCGCCATTGCCGGCCCAGTGCTCCCAGGCCATGACCTCCTCCTCCCCGCCGGCGGCGGCGTACTCCATGCCGGCGACGCGGCAGCCGAAGCGGACGCACTCCAGCACGCCGAAGCGCTCCGCGTACGAGCGCAGGTAGGCCGTCACCTGGTCGTGGTCCGGGTACAGGTCGGTGACGCCCGGCGGCCACGGGAAGTCGGAGTACTCGAAGTAGGGGCGCGGCGTCTGGAGCCGCGTGGAGGCGATGGTGCGCGCCCACACGCCGCCGACGGCGCCGGCCCCGTCGGCCTCGAAGACGACGGGCCGGAAGCCGCGCTCCAGCGCGTGCTTGCACGCGGCGAGGCCGCTCACGCCGGCGCCGACGATGGCCACCCTCTTCTTGATCTTCTCCATTCGAGATCGATCGCCCCGGAGCTAAAGCTTACAAGTGTAATGAGACGGTACACTGTCGATCTGCTTGGGGTTTTTGGCTGAATTTATCAGCATTTAGTAGTGGCTACACCGCTGCAGTGATGCGGGCCTAAGTTCATGTGACATCAAACCACAGTTAATTCGAGAGCAGAGAGTACGGAGAATTCAATACTAGTACTGTACTACTCGTTGTTTCGTTGGTTTGCCCGGTGAAAACATCGGCGGCACGGCAGCGATCCGATCCGTGTCCGTGTCGCATCTGGCCAGGATGCCCAGTTTGAGGAGAAGTAGGAATCGGAGAAGCCTGCTTAAATACTACTCCCTCCGTATCATAATAGATGACGTTTTTGACTTTTTATTTGTAACGTTTGACCATTCGCTTTATTTAAAAAATTAGTGCAAATAGAAAAAAAAGATAAGTCATATGTAAAGTACTTTTGATAATAAAGCAAATGACAAACAAAATAAATAATAATTTTAAAATTTTTTGAATAAGATGAATGATCAAACATTGATAAACAAAAACTCAAAAAGACAAGTAATATGGAACGGAGGTAGTACTAGTAGCATGTTGATTGGGATAACTTGATCGGATATTGGAGAAGGCAGGGACAACGACTACGACGACGAGCAACATCATCTTCGCAGCCATGGCTGATCAACAAAATCTTATGTCATCGCCAAAGCGTCTCAAGACCAAGGAGGAGAAGGTGCAGGAGCAGATGATGACAGTGCGCAAGGGGCTCGTCATCGGAACAGTGGCTATGTTGTGCGTGGGAGTTGTTTCCGTGCTTTTGGTAATAAGACACACGAGAATACTAGATAAGATAGTGTTTTCCGGGATGGCAGTGTTCTGCTTCGTGTGCGCTGCTACCGCGATGGGTTGCTATCTTCTTGACGGTCCCATGTACTTTCACAGTATCGACAACGCTGGATCTGTACTCCATGAGCCACCCCAGCTGCCCCCGCAGATGGATCTGTGCTAGCTTGCAGTAGATCATCAAAGCTAACTCAGCTAACCAATAATTGAGTAACAAATTCGATGATCGAAGCACTTGTTTTGATGGTTCAAACTCTACTAATTTGATATGACCAAGAGTTTTTTCTTTGTTTCAATGAAATAGTATACTCCATATATCTCATTTTAAGTGCAGTTACGGGTTTCCATATTCAACATTTGACCATCCATCTTACTTGAAATATTTTTATGATTAGTATTTCTTTTGTTATTAAATGATAAAACATAAATAGTACTTTATCCGTGACTTATTTTTAGTTTTTTTATAATTTTTAAATAAGATGGACAGTCAAACATTGGACACAAAAACCTACAATTATACTTAAAATGGGACGGAAAAAGTATAACATAAGACGTTCTGACTTATTTTTAAAGTTATTTTTTTAAGTATGATCATATTTGTATCAAAATGTAATATATAGAACTTGGCTGAGATGATGGTCTATGAGTCCCTTCCAAGTTGTCCCAAAAACAGCCCAATCGAACACTGTTTGCCCCCTCAAACTGACACTTTACTAACTGCTGCACAATATGTAATTTCAGTAACTCGAGCTGACAAACCACCACTCAAATCCGGTGCTCTACTCAACCAATCTCCATCCAAACTGACCAGATTGAAGTGCTCAAAGTAAGGAACAAACTCACCAAGTTTGGTGCCAATCCTGGAACGACGGGACACGCAGCATGGCCTTCGCCTCTCTCCCAGTGGGCGAACGAGTGGATGGACACGCCGACCACGGCACCAGCAGCAATGAGCAAGAGGAAGGCGAGGCGCCAGCCAGGAATTCCCAAGAACGAGGTGGGCGCCATGAGAAGGCCAAGAGAAGTGCGACCCACGGCGCCGAACTTGCCCGCCCCCATGAGCCACCCGAACACCACGCCCCTGCTCGTGCCATCGACGGAGTTGGCGACGAAGGTGTAGACGGTAGATCGCTGGATCTGCAACGCCAGCCTGAGTGCCCGACAATGTTCAACGCCGCGAACTTATTTGAGATGCTCATCCTCCTCTACAATGGGGAACTTGATCTAAAGAGATTGAACTTTGGTGTGATATCTTTGATTCCCAAGAAAAGTGACCCTTCTGACATTAGACACTTCAGACCTATATGCGTGCTGAATGACAAATTTAAATTCATTAGTAAAGTAGTTACCAATAGATTCACAGAGGTGGCCAACTCCGTGATCTCACCCGCACAGACAGCTTTCATTCCAGGAAGGTTTATTTTGGAAGGATGTGTGATTGTTCATGAGGTGCTACATGAGTTAAAACTTAGGAGGGATAAAGGGATCATTTGGAAACTAGATTTTGAGAAAGCGTATGATAGAGTGTCCTGGAATTTCCTCTTTGAAGTCATGGAGAGGAAGGGTTTCCCAGATAGATGGCTGAAATGGGTGGAAGCTTGTGTCACTGGGGGTAAAGTGTGTGTCAACATAAATGGGGAGAGAAGTAATTTTTTTAGAACGTATAGGGGTGTGAGACAGGGGGATCCCCTCTCTCCATTGCTGTTTAATATGGTTAGTGATGCTCTGGCAGTTATGCTTGACAAAGCTAAAGGTAATGGTGTTTTGACTGGTTTAGTCCCTGAAATTTTTCCTGGGGGTATCACTCACCTACAATATGCTGATGATACTGTGGTGTTTATTCCTTTTGATGAAAATCAAATCCTAGCAACTAAATTTATCCTATACTGTTTTGAGGATACGGCTGGTATGAAAATCAATTACCATAAAAGCGAGGTGTTCACTGTGGGGTTGGAAAAAGAGGAAACAGATAGAGTTGCTCAGATGTTGAACTGCCCTGTAGGTGCTTTTCCCATGAAATACCTGGGCCTTCCAATTAGCCCAGAAAAAATTCTTAACCATGATTTTGATTTTTTGGGACAGAAATTGGAAAAGAGATTGGGAACTTAGGAAACAAATACACTTTCACATGCTGGTAGAGCTGTCCAAATTAATGCTTGCTTATCATCCATCCTCTCCTATGCAATGGGCTTCTACCAATTACCGGAAGGTATACATAAGAGGTTTGACTCTATTAGAGGGAGGTATTACTGGGCTGGAAATAAAAAAAAGAGGGAAATACCATATGGTGAAGTGGGATGACATAGCTTTTCCTAAGGATTTTGGTGGGCTAGGATTCACTGAAACTAGGAAGATGAATGCTGCCTTAATTGCTAAATGGATCATGAAACTGGAATCTGAGGACCATAGCCCATGTATAGAGTTGCTGAGGAGGAAGTATTTACAGAATAGTGGGGTGTTTCAAGTTACTCTAGGGGATTGCTCTCAATTTTGGAAGGGGGTTCTCAATTCCAGAAAATGGTTCATGTTGGGGGCTGAGTGGAAGTTAGGTAGAGGTGACCATATTTCTTTCTGGCATGATTTTTGGGTTGGGTCATGTCCTCTGACAGTGAGATTTTATAGGATCTTTGAGATCAGTAACTAACAAGACATTCTGGTTAGAGTGGTGTTAAAGGAAGGATATAACTGCTTATCCTTTAGAAGATCTTTTGGTCCAGATGAAGTAGAGGAGTGGAATGAGTTGAAAACTGTTATTTTAAATACTAAGTTGGAAGATAGGCAAGATCTGCTCTGTTGGGGGTCTCAATTCAAACAAGAGTTTTACTACGAAATCTATGTATAGAGCTATGTGTTTCAGAGGGATTGTTGATAAGGAGATGGAGAAAATTTGGAAAGCGCCATGTCCAATGAAAATCAAACATTTCTTATGGCTGGCTCATAGAGATCGTATTCAATATGCTGAACAATTGCAAAAGAAAGGATGGGGAGGGGAGATGTTAATTGTAGCCTGTGTGGAGATTTTGAGTCTACTAATCACATCCTTTTTGTATGCCCTATGGCTCGCTTTGTGTGATGTTGGTGTAGAGATGTTCTGAACTAGCCTTACCCTCCTAAAAATCTTGATGAGTTTTTTCTCTTATGCAACCATAGCTCTGCATTTATTAATGATAGATTACATATTATGTTGCTAGCTGCCATTTGCTGGTGTTTGTGGCTGACAAGAAACAACATGGTTTTCAGAAAAACTCTACTTTACTCACCACTAACTTTGCCGTTTCAAATTATTTCTTTGTTGTTGCAGTGGAGGAAACTCTGTCGTGCTGAGGAAGAAGGGAAACTGGAACAATTTGCTGAAAAGATGAAGGAGCTGACCTCTAATATGAAACCGAGAAGAACTGGAGTAGGCTGAATTAGTTTTTCTGTTGATTTCCCTTTTAAGTTGTGCTATCCTCCTTCCCAGGCCGGGGTGTGGCCATCTGAACTTGTACTACATTGTAAGCTGGTTTCCTCAGCGCTACCACTTTGGCTTTCAGTAAAAAGCTAGGTCCCTAAGGACCTTTTGTCTAAAAAAAGAATGTTCAACGCCGCGCTCACCGCCATCTGCATCGCACGCACCATATATGCAAAAACATGTCGACCATGGAGGAGCACGGCAAGGTCCACCGCTTCTTGGTGTGCTGTTGCTCCGGCACCGGCAACAGGGCACACGTGCTTGCGCTGGATTTTCCTGACCATGCAAGAAACTGAGTGACCTTGCAGGGCCACGTTGTACGGCGCCGCCGACCGGCCTCCTGTCATGCCCACGCTCCTTGCCGTGACGGAGAGATGGGGAATTAAGAAAATGAGAGGACGAAAGAAAGAAGATCGAAAATATAACTGCGATGGTATAGTTTCAATTTTATAAAAATTTAAATGGCATGGATAAGAATAGATAAATTATATTAGTATTTATTTGAATAGACATATTTGCAATGGCATGAATCAAATTAACCCACGATAATAAGGGTGTGCAAAGTTTATTCACGTGACTTACGTGGGTTAGGGACGACTGCACAGAGGAGGATTCAGGGCATATTTGAATCAGTACCAATTTGTGCCATTGCCACTATTTTGATAGCTTCAAATAGTATTTGGATTGTGACCAATTTTTATCTAGCTTGTAATAAATCTACTCTATTAAATTTAGTACCAATGTTTTTTTTTTGAGAATTTAGTACCAATATTTTTGGTAAGGTTTCAAACCAAATCAGCCCTCGGTGCCTTGTCGGTGTACGTGTTGAGCCCACCGGCATGCAGGAAACTACCCTCGTGCGCTTCCTGTGTATCGCAGTATCGCATCGCACGCTCGCAGCTGTCGCTTGGTTTGAAGCGCACCAAGGCCTTTTTTTGCGGCATCACCACTTCACCAGGATCAGTAGGCCCACTTCTGCTGCTATCCCATGAGCCCGGTTAGCGGCCTGTAATTGTGGGCCGGGCCTTTCCTAGGCTTTTGCGTTGGGCCTTGCTCACGCGTACGCGTGTAGTACCCTGGGCTCATGGCACAGCCGGGATGTATAACTAACGATAACGATTTTGATCTATTGTTTTGCAGGGTCATAACAGGATCACGCACGGCCAAAACAGAAGCTCGATCTCTCCATCTCCGTCTCCGTCTCCGTCTCCGTCTCGGTACGCAATTCTCTCTACTTATTTGTATTTACTGAAACTTTGGAGATTCATCGTGAGGTAGCCAGCTATCTAATTGCAGCATATCGTTGTTCCCAGATCGATCATCGATCATATATATATCTTGGCGTCTGGATTTGGGACTATAGGAGAGAGAGAGAGGAGATTTTGGGGTTATATATATATTTTCGATGGGTGAAGCCAATGGGACGACGACGACGACGACGACGACCAACGACGATCACCAACAAGATGGCATGATGCCGTCGTCGTCGAAGCCTCGGAATAACACCACGACGGATGCGGATGCGGATGCGGCTGATGATGCCGAGAGAGCGTACATCGGCAAGATTTCCGCCCCGCTAATAGCGATCGTGATAGGCTTCGGAGTTATGTTCTTGTTCTTGGCCAAGTCGGAAACAGTGCGTCGAGACAAGACCATCTTGTTCGGGTATTCCGCGGCGGCTTTCGTGATCTCGATTTTTGGGGTCTGCCATATTCTAGATTATGGTCGTCTCTGGTTCCGCAGGAGAAACGCCGCCAACAACAACACTAGGGTTCATCCGTCGGTGTCGTCCCAGTTGCCACCGCAGATGGATATGTGCTAGCTAGTTACGTACGTACGTGCATGCAGCAGATCATGATCGATCGATTATGAGCTAACCGCAATTGAGTTGCATGATTCGATCATGTCCTATTAGATCATATATATAAGCTCTCTATGGCCGTATAATTTTTCTATTATATTTTGGCAATTTATATTCCTGTAGTATTAATTCAAGTAATGTCTTTTTTTTTTCCTATCGTATTGAGGACTATATGGGAAACTATAAATTTTATATTTTTCTCCTACTACCTACCAACCACCAGGCGGGTGCCCCTATTGCGCGATTGCGGCCAGCGATCGGGAGAAGGACCCACTTGCGTCGCCAGCGATCGGGAGAAGGACCCACTTGCCTCCACGCGCTTTTCTTCTTGCATCCGTCTTCCTTTCTTCTCCCTTCTTCTTTTTCTACTACAGTACACCACACAATTTTTTTAAAAAAAATAAAAGTTAGAAAAATTTATGTATAGAAATACTATATATAAAAAAATTTAAATTTAAATTTAAATTTGAATCGGGTATGTAAACTTTTGACTTATAAACTTTGGGTCTATAAACTTTAGGTGTATAAACTTTAGATGTACATAAATATTATATATAGACAATATTTGAATTCAAATTCAAATTTGAATCGGGTATGTAAACTTTTGACTTATAAACTTTGGATCTATAAACTTTAGATGTATAAACTTTAGATGTATAGAAATACTATATATAGAAAATATTTGAATTCAAATTCAAATTTGATTCAGATATAATTCAAATTCAAATTTGAAATGGGTATATAAACTTTTGACTTATAAACTTTAGATCTATAAACTTTAGGTCTATAAACTTTAGGTGTATAAACTTTAGATGTATAGAAATACTATATATAAAAAAAATTTGAATTCAAATTAAAATTTGAATCGGATATATAAACTTTTGACTTATAAACTTTTGGTCTCTAAACTTTAGATGTGTAAACTTGAGGTGTATAAACTTTAATGTATAAATTTACTAAAATAGGAAAGTAATGCGGTGCCAAAAAAGGAAACCAGGTGGAGGGGTGGAGGGAGGGAGGGGGGAGGGGATCGATCGCTGATCCATCCCCACGGCGATCGATCGCCAAACAGGATTTCCGCCACCAAGCGCCCTTCCCCTCCTCTCTCCGTCGACATCAGTGCAAACTCACCACTCTACTCACGGCCGTCTGATGCGAGTGGCCACCACCACCTCTCCCCTCTCGCCTCGAGGGGCGGCGTGGCCGACCGGCGAGCTCCGGTCAACGCGGTCGGCGAGCTTCGGCTGGCGGCGGATTGGGAGGCGGCGTGGTCGGCGAGCTCTGACCGGCGTGGCCGAAGAGCTCCGGGCTGCACGGATCGGGGGGGGGGAGACGTAGCCAGCGAGCTCTGGTCGGCGCGGATAGGGAGGAGGCGCCACTAGTGAGGGCCGCGGTGGAGTTGCCTCGGCGCCGACGCGGTGGATCCCGACAGTGGTGCTCCTAGGTCGCCGGTAGGCCCCTCTTCTCTCCCGCTGCGCAGCCTTCTTGCCACTGCTCCTCTCGTTCTCCCTTCCGTCACCCTTGCACGAGTTATTGGCATGAGAGGAGAGCACGGGTGGGGAATACGCGAAACCACGGAGGGACGAGGCGACGACCTCTACAACGCAGCGTTCCACCTTTCTCCCTGCGTCGCACGCCCTCGATGGAGGTGAAGTATGTGTGTCCAATTTTGGATCAGCGTGCTTCATTTGGCTCCGCGAGTGACCAAAATGGAGGCAAATATTTTGTATTGGGCGCTTGGGCCGAACAACGCACTGTGAATAGCCTGATGGTATTTTTCAAAACGTATATATTTATAATGGTAGAGATCTAATTAACCAAAAATATATATAGCCCTTGTAGTTTAGGCAGGACGGAGTGAGTATTGATCTCTCCACCGTAATTTTTTTATACGCATATACCTTCTTCACTCCATACATTTTATTTATTCAAGTAAATTTTGTTAACTTTTACCAATTCCATGCACGAATATTTATTATATGCTAACTTAATGAAATGCATCTTTTATTTGCAAATAAAAGAAGAAACATGCTCAACTATATTTATCAAAGAAAAAACAAAACACATGACCCAAAAATAAAATGGACTTATCAATCCTTCGCTAAAAAACTTAAGGCGCATGCATGAGGTTCTATTAGGACAAGAATTGAACTAACAACTACTCTATCAAAAAATATATTTTTATGACACATATTTGATATTATTATATATATTCGTATTCAAACTTGTGATTATGTTTTTAACATAAAAGTGAGATGCTAATAGAGATGCCTGGTGGATCCGTGCGACGACTGACTGCTCACTGCTCCAATCCCCTAGCGCGAGCGCATAGCATGCATGCACGCTCTTGTTTGCAGATCGAAACGGTCGTGTGTGTTTCGTCGGTGCCTCTAACTGCAAAAATCATGATGGTTATATACATATTTATCTCGTTCCAACACCGGATCCTCTAACGGATTTATGCATCTACGTTCATTTTTCATCTCACGGGCAAGCAAGCAGAAGTTCAGATGCGATTTGTACGTCTTCGCCTCGTCAGGTCCAACAATTTGACTTGGGTCAGCCCAGTCGACCCGGAGGGGACAACCGGACAAGCTTCTCTGCACTTCTTTCGTTTGTTTGGAAATCAACATTCTAGTACTTCCTGGGAGCATGGAGAAGAACTATAGTTCCATGTGTGTATATATATACTAGAAAAATGCCCGTGCGTTGCAATGGGTAAAGAAATTATAATGATAATATACGTTTTTCATGCATAATCATGTCAATGACAATGTTTCTATTTTAATGAGCGGCTTGTTTTTTTATAAACAGTTTTTTTCCTTGCGCGATTTTCTCAAGGGTTAATTGGATCCATGCCATTACAAATATGACATATTAGAAAAATACCATTACAATTCACGTATTTGGTTCCATGCCACTCCCGTCACTCTTCCATCCTCCTCTTTCACGTCGTCACCCTCCCCGTCAATCTGTCACGTGCGCGCGCGGGGAGAAGGCGAGCTAGCGCCGGCGCCGGCGAACAGCGAGAGAACGAGGTGGCGCCGGCGAGCGGCGAGGACGAGGCGGTGCTGGAGGACGGGGAGAACGCGAGGCAGTGCCGGCAAGCGGCGAGGACGAGGCGAGCGGACTACGGCGGCGAACTGAGAAATGCTCCGGCGGCATTGGAAATCGACAGGACGACAGCGCGTCGGGTTCCTCCGGCCTTCGGGCTACCAAGGAGAGAAGAGGAATGAATTATAAATGCTATAGGGAAGCTACATGTGTGAGGAATCATAGCCTAGCTCACTGGAAAAAGAAGAATCGACGAAGATGGCCGGCGGTCGGACTTGAGGAAGAAAGGCTCGATCTCCTCAACGACAACGCCTCAGCTCGATTCCTTCGGTGGGCTTGCTACTGGGATGATGGCAACGCTTGTGGCGCAGTGGCTCGACCGGAGATGGCTTGGTGCAGCGGGAACGACAGTGGCCGATGGCGACGCCGGCGAGCGGCGAGAGGACGAGGAGAAGGCGAGGCGCCGACGAGTGGCGAGAGGGACAAGGCGGCGTCGGCGAGCGGCGAGGACGAGGCGGCGCATCCCCCTCCGCGCCCGTCTTCGCCGGCGGCGGCTGCTCCTGCTCCCCGCGCGCGCCGTGTCGCCGTTGCCGCTGAATACCGCCGCCGCTGCTGCTCCTCCTGCTTCCCGCGTGCACCGTGTCGCCGCCGCCGCCGCCGCCGCTCCTCCCGCTCCCCATGCACGCCGGAGTGCTGTTGTCTCCGCCACCATCGCCGGGTTTCGCTGCTGCTGCTGCTCGATGTGAGTTATCTGCTAGTGACGCCGGCGTGAGGATGACGACGTGAGGGAGGAGGATGGAAGCAGTGACGGGAGTGGCATGGTTCAAATTTTCAAAATTTCCAGTGGCATGGTTCCAAATACGTGAATTGTAATGGTATTTTTCTAATATGCCATATTTGTAATGGTATGGATCCAATTAACCCTTTTCTCAAACCATTTTTTAGAAATGGCGCATTTCTTTTAAAAGATTTTTTCCTAGCATGTTTTTTTGCTTTTCTTTACTGACGAAGAAAACCATATTTTTCTCTTTTTTGCTTTTCTTTTCTCGTGTGTTTTTTTTCATGTTTTCTCGCACGTTGTTTTTGCTTGTTTTTTTCGAATGTTTTTTTTGTTTTTTTCCAATACATGAGAATATATGACGAAATAAAGCCATGTAGTAGATGGCAAAAAATGATGGACCCTATCCGACTCAAGCGTCTATCAATTTAGCTTTTTCCTGACAATTTTTTCAGAACGATTTGTTTTTTAATAGATGGTGTTTTTTTTTCTTGCGTGGTTTTTTAAAACCATTTTTTTAGAAATGGCACGTTTTTTTGACAGTTTTTTCCTCGCATGTTTTTTTAAAATATTTTACCAACGATGGAAATAATTGTTCTCGTGCGTTTTTTTATTTATTGAAGATGGAAAACCTTTTTAGCGTGTTTTTTTGCGCTTTTTTCTGACTTTTGCCTCACGCGGTTATTTGACCCATTTTTATTTTCTCGTGTATTTTCTCTTTTTAAATTGTTAGATTGGATTAGAGATAGAGAAGAGATATATACTGGTTAGAAATCAGATTTTGTTTCGCCACTTTCTTAGGGAATCGGACGAACTTTTTTTAGATATTTTTTTAGATTTTTTTCGCCTTTATAGGAATCAGACTTTTTTTCCGTTTTTGAAGGAATCGGATCTAGCGTTTTTATTTCACCACTTTTTTTGCCTTTTATATGAATCAGATTTTTTTCTCGTTCGAATCTACAGTTTTTTTGGCCACTTAGGGGAAAAAGACTTTTGTTGTTGTTGTTTTTTCTTTATTTTCTTTTTTGTACGGCTTTTCTTTTTCTTTTTATGCACCTTTCTCCCTTTGTTCTATCTCTTTTATTATTATTTTTAACAAAAACGACCTCAAGTACCTTATTGCAAGATTATAGGGACTCAAATGTAAATATAAAAATATAGGGACTCAAATGCAAAAGTACAAACCAAAAAATTAAAATCATATAAAAATAGAATGCTCTCGACCTGTAGGTTCCGTTTTTGAAGACAGATCTTCAATCCGGCACATCAATTTTTTTCACCAATCTAGACTTTTTTTTTGTTTCTAAGAGGGAATAAGATATAGGAGTCGGACTTTTTTATTTTATTTTTTTCGCTATTTTTTTTACGGACGAAGAAAACATCTCTTATTTTTTAGGTAGTAGAGATATATTATTTACTTTTTTTTTATATTGGAAATCAGCATGAATTCTGGGAGCATGGGCACACACTATGTAAGTGTGAATGATTGTCTTTTGCCATCTAAAATGTATTTACCAAAGAAAAAAAAAGGCATCAGCTGTTCAGTTATGGTTGAGCCATTGCAGAATAGTTCAATTATGATTGAGCATTCATAAATCTCATTCAGTCAGTGTCTCAGGGATACGATGGTTATATATATATCGAACACCTACTGGAGCCTAGGAAGACGTACAACAGAGTTCTAGCCGAAGGAGAAGGGGACTCCATTCGATCGATATGATGATGATGGTTTGGATGTGAGGTGTGTGACAAGTCACTGATGCTATTAGCAAAATGACCTCCCCAATCGAAACAGTAGTAACGAAGACGAGCTCGTTAATTTGGTCCCTTCACAAAACACTGAACAATAGAAGTTCGTATATCACAAGCGGACGCTACAGAGAGCTTGGTTAATTACTATTTCCTTTCCTAGTCATTTTTTTAAAGTTTAATCAAGTTTATATGAAAAATTAGCAACACATGTAACACGAAATCAGTTACATTCAAACTAACATTTCATATATTTTGATAATATGTTCATTTTGTATTAAAAATATTGTTAAAATTTTCTACAAATTTAATTAAACTTAAAAAGATTTGACTAAAAGAAAATAAAAAACGAATTGTAATAAGAAAGGAGCGAGTAGACATATATGTCAATGTCACCAGGCGTGCATGCATGACGACATAACCATCACCTCAACAACAACAAGGTCATTTGTAGTCCAATATGTGCATGCATGACATATATATAGCAATCACCTCAACTGGTACAACATGTATGGTCATTTGGTTGTTCAATATATCAATTGCTACTTGCCAGGCTCAGCAACCTGTAACATGCAAGATTATACTACTAGCATAGTAGCATTCAGTTACACATTACCAAAACGATCTTGAGAAACGAACTGATCAAATTAACAGCCCAAATGTCATTAATTTGCAGTTCAATATATATATATTGCAGCTATAATAAATGAGCAAAATTAGAACATTGCATGGAGTGTAATTCCCAGTCTCAGTAACCTTAACCAAGCAGCATCAAGTCAGTTACAGTACCAAAACGACCTTCAGAACAGACAGCCAGATATCTAAGGTTGGGGCCAAAAAAAACTGTTCGACACAGAGAACTACTAGTAGATAAGTGCCTTGCTGATTGACCATGCCGATGCAGAGTAGTAAACCAACTATTCTTCCCAAGTCCCAATTACTACTACTGCCAGACTACCGGTACCACCCAGAGCAATGTTACCCAGCTGTTCACTCACACCTCAGGCAATAAGAAGGAAAAATCTACTACATCCTGCATGTACCATTTAACTATTAGCATGATAACCTCTATGATAAACCCAATCAAATGAGAGAGCCAAGCCCATGGCCAAACAGTGCCCAATGTCAGATAAGCAATCTTTCCTAAACCACTAAGGGCATCACCAATGTTTACTACCTACTTTGAGAATAAGGGTGGGCCCTGCGTCAGTGGGTATTAGTTGTTGTTGTAGCCACAATGGTGAAATAACAAAAGTGGGTAGTAAGCTGGGCCCCACAACCATTAGCTATGAGAGAGGAATAAGAGAAATCATTTGTTTATTGCTTATGGCTAGGTAGTAAGCATATTACCTAGTATTTGTTACTTACTACTTTCACAATGTATACAACCTGATAGTAGTAGTATTTTATTCCTTACTACCCACTTTATATGCACATTGTGGATGCCCTAAGGACCATCAGAGAAACGGAAGCTTTGATCTTGCGAGGGAAGTAGCCTTCGTCTTGTACGTCAGTTGCGGGGACTTGAGCTTCTCCTGCCGATGGTGCATTGTTTCTCAAGACACGGACGCGGATACGGTGGGAGAAGTATACATGTCCAAGGATCAGAAATGGAAGCAGAAACAACCAGATGCCTGCGAGAATGCCTCCGGCCATCAGACGATCGTGAGTGACATGTTTGTCTATTCCAAATGCTGATCCCCCAATCGTAAAATGGTATGCTCCATACAGAAAAAACATCGGAACGGCACAGAGTAAGGAAATCGGTCTTCGATTGCGCACATGCGCAACAGGTGGTTCCCTTGGAACAGGCGAAACAGGTGGTTCTTCTCCAGTAATAATGACATGGTGCTCGTCATGTATCTCTGAACCATCAGCAGACTCATGTCGAGGGACATCCCGTCGCTGCACATCGCTGGAGTAATCACCATCTTGCTCATCACCATGACCATTGGAGTCATCACCACCGCCGGCTTCATCTTCGCCATTCCCGCCGCCAGCTTCTTGGCCAGAACCTCCACCCTGATCATCATCATCGGCATCTGCTGGTGCTGGAACGGTAGGCGACCTTGCCGACGGTGGTGGCACGGGGGACGACGGTGGCGTCGAGGAGGATGGTGTTGACGGCGGCCGAGGTGACGGGAAAGTGCTCTCCATAGAAGTGGGCAGCGCCGGCGCGGGGAGGAAAGAAACCGCCGTCTCCGAGCACGAAGAAAGGGAGGAGGCGGGAGCCTGAACGGCCCCGATGTGAGAGCCCGGCGTCCCGATGTGAGGACTCCATCGATCGCTCGGCGAGGACCACAACGGCGGCAGATGCACCTCGCTTGCCGTGCAGGGGGTCAGTGATGGTCCACCGAGGTAGACTGGCAGTCGGAGGGAAGGGGGAAAGGGCGGTGGAGGCAGGAGACAAGCCTCCATTGTTGGGATCGGCCGCAAGTATGGAGGCAGCAGGAGTGATACTGGGAAGGGAGGCGGGGGTCGGAGTGCTGCCGCGGGTAGCAGAAGGAGGTGAGCGCCGGTGAGCATCGGTGGCGGCTGCGCGACATGCGACACGAGTATGACTGGCGAGCCCTCCATGCGGGCGGCCGGCGGCGGCGGCGACGGCGGGAGGGAAGTTGGGGCGGCGGCGATGGGAAGGAAATGGGTTTAGGGTTTGGGTGGAGATGGGGAGGAGGAGGAGGAATCAATGGAGGTGCTTTTTGCTTTTCGATTTTTTTGTCTCTACGTGAAGACGGAGGAGGAGAGGAAGAAGAGCAAACGGGTGCCACGCGGGTTGTCTCTAAACCCGCTCCGCTCCGACCAATAAGAAGGGTAGCTGGGATATTTTTCTATCACTCTCTAATTCTCTTTTTTTTGTTTCCTTTCCTTAATCACTTCAATAGCACTGCACATTAGTCTAAATAATTGTACACCTTAACTTTTTTTAATAGATTTTATTTATGAATTTATTCATCAATCTATATATCTATGATAATATTATATTGTAAAGATATCTTAAATAAACAGCATATGCGTTTTAAGTTCTAAACATTACCACACTAATTAGTGAAAAGAAAAAAAAACTATTGGAGTATATTCCAACTGGGTTAGATACTTAGATTACACTGGTGTAGATTGATCCCTATATTTGCATTCAAAATATAACTTATATCTACATAAGCTAAGGCAGTGTTTTTTTGCAACAGATCGAGAAAAAAAATCTTGTTTTTCACGTGCATGCTTCCCAAATTTCTAAATGTTATACTTTTGGCAAAAAAAAAGGCAAGTAATTTTACAAAAGTCATATTAATTTTTTTTCAGGTTTTAAATAATCAGCATCCAATTAATTATGCACTAACGGTCACCCCCATTTTGTGTATCTTCTCCTTTACCCTCCTCTCAAATGCACCCTAAGAGTTGTATATTGGCAAAATTTGCTAAAGGACATACAAAAATGTGTAATTAACTAGACACTGCAAGAACGTGTATCTGCTGTGGAACACCGCAAAAAACTGATAATTAGCTGTTGGATACCTGCGGCGTTATTTTATTATATTTAGAGCAAATAGAGAAATAAATAGCTATGAAAGTACGAATTTACCCTTGCTTGCCATGTGCGGCTCGCATATAGCTCCAACGGCGCGGTGGCTATGACATGTCCAACGCTGGCGTGGCCCTCATGCTGCAACGACGATGAGTGCGGGAACGATGCGGAGCCACAGGCCCAGGCACGCAGGCCCCCTGAACCCCCTAGAGAGTCGTCTCGTCGGTAACGGCGGCGCGTCTTTGCGAGACCGACTACGACCGCCTGCGCTCCGTGACGCCCTGCTCGACATGAACCACGAGGTGGTCCACGTTGTGCTCACCTGCAAGCGCGGTGTGTGGCGGAGCGCTGGTGTCGGTGTGGCCCTCGTGCTGCATCGACGACGAGAGCCCCCTCCCCCCCCCCAAGAGAGCCACCTCGCCGACGACGGCGGCGGCAGCAGTACAGTGGTGTCGTCGGACATGTATGCGAGCTGAACTTCGCAGGTAGGGGCAAAATCGTATTTTTGTGATTGTTTCTCTCTCTATTTCCTTTGGATATTATAAAATAATATCGCGGGTGTCCAGCAGATAATTACTAGTTTTTTAGGGTGTCCCCTAGCTAATTACATGTTTTTTCGATGTACTGTAGCAAATTTGCCTTGTATATTAGATCTTATTCTATTTTTTAAAATCTATGTATACTCCTTGTGTCATACTCCTTCCGTCCCAAAATAAACAACTTCTGAGGATGAATCTAGACAAACACTTATCCATGTTCATCCCTAGTTTTTTTCTAAGACGGAGGTGTACTCTATAAGACGCGGTTACATTTAGCATGTTCTTCAAAACTAATATTTGATTTTCAGTTTCTCGTATAATATAAATTCAAATATCAATCTAACGATATTATTTTTACTAAATAATAAATTTAATTTATATTGCACTAACTATTGGTCAAAAATTTCAATGCGTGCACGTGTGATGGAGATAGTACTAAACTCAATTGTATACGTAGAAATACAACCAAGAACTGATAGTAAAAATCTAATTCTACTTGTAAAATTTATTACGCATGAAATATAATTGCATCTAAAGAATTGAAAGTCAATAATCGTATATCAAATTTAATATTTTGAAAATAGGTCGGTGTTAAATTGAGAATGAAAATTTGCAAATTACTGGTCGGTATTACATGAACCGTTTGTTTGACATCAGAGCCTAGCGTTGCTGGTCGCTGGTTGCTGCCTTGCTGATGAAAAGTTAGCAGCCTTCTTTTCGTCGCGCCTGCCTACCTAGCCGGCCAGTAGCTATAGCCATGATGCGCGTGGATACAGATTACAGAGGGACAGGTTTCTCCAGACCCAAAAGCCACAGTGGTTGCCAAAAAAACAGCAGCCATTTTTTATTTTGCATAGCAGTCCAAATAATTATGTGCTTACAATTTTAGATTTAAAATTTGTATATACTAAATATTAAGAGAACTAAGAAAGAAAAAGAGTGTCATCATTCACTAAGGTTTAAAAATTGTCGGAGTGATTAATTTAAGAAGAAAATTTAATTAAACCAATAGATATATTATTACAAGTCAAGATTACAATGGTGTAGATTGATTGATATATATTATTTAAAAAAAGGATATCTACACAAGCTAAGAGTTGTCTATAGAATCCAATTTTTACTTTTAAATTTTCTTTATATGAAATAAATTTTATCTAGAGAATGACAACGTACCATTGTCGTGGGTTATTTGTTCTATATATAAATATATGCTTTCAAATATGAATTTATTAAGAAAAACATTTATTCTATTGCATTGCTTAGACCACTTATTCTAAACTATTTATTTGGTTTCATAACATAAAATGTTTACTTTTTCTATAATCAAGTGTAGACAATCCATCAATTTTCATCCATGAATAATTTATTTAGAACACTACCTAATAGTTGTATAGCAAAAGGAATTCTACTTTTAAATGATGATATACAAATATATGATTGTATTTATTGAACTAAAATTTAAGAGTTGTATATATATATCAAATTTAATCTATAGCTCATGTAATATTGCAGGAGAACATTGGCAAATTATTTCAGAGATGAACCATTTGTTTCACTTCAGACCCTAGCGGTTTCGGGTTGCGGGTTTGTCTCACCAGAAGAGAGTGGCAGCCTTATCTTTTGCCTGGCCTAGCCTAGCACGGTGCGCGTGGGTACTGGGTACAGACTTCAGAGAGGGACAGGCTAGGCTTCTCCACGACCGAAACGCGAGAGGTGCAGGTGCCTACCTGCCTCCTGATGCAACAAAAGGAGTCTGGGTTTTCACCAATTTTTGTTGCCTGGATAGTGCTCGTTCAGCCGTGAACAGTCCTCAACTCCTCATAGCCTCATATACAACAAGAACAATGTTTACCCTGTTCTCTTTATCTTTACCCTTTCTTTGGTATCGTTAATTTCTCCTCTTCAGTTCTTGATACTGAAGTAACTAGCCCTAAAAAAAGACATAACCATCCGACATGCAAAACATACTGTACAAGTCTCGCTGAAAAAGAAATTGGAAGGCAAATGTACAAGTCTCGCTGAACGTACAGTAGCTAGACCCCAAAAAGGCATCTTCATCCTGAGCAGTGGCATGCAAAACATACAATATAGATTTTTCAAAAAAAAACAAACGGCAAATGTACAACGGATCAGATACTTTCTCCGTGGCAGCTGAAACACATTTTTTTTTTCAGCGGCAGCTACTGATTTCAGTAGTGTAAGCGCAGTATGCTAGTAATCCTACGAGTATTGTCTTAAAAAATAAACCCAATACAAGATGTGATGTAGTATCATGTTACTACAAATTTAAAAAAACTTATTTTATGTTTAGATTTATAATACTAAAATGTGTTGTATATCTCGATCATACTAGATTTTTTTTTCTGAAACTCAATTACTTATACATTGATATCATTGTTTTATGTAAAATACTTAATCTCTATCTTCATCTATAAGTTTCAAACACCACATAAGGAAATGCGTACTTACAAGTGCAAGTTCCTCCAAATGGGTATCTCAAGTGCCACGTACGTATTTATTTCCTATGTCGAAGCCATTCATTTAAAAAAATTGTTTTCTCGCACAGTGCAAGCATCCGTGAAGACATGACTTCACTCGGGTCACAACTCACAACATCATCTTGCATACATGCATAGAAACGATGTTCATCACGTATTACTAGTAGTACCGATTCATCTTTTCTTCTTATGTACTGACTCTAGCTAGTAATGTTTAGGAGTCCATCTCGTTTAAATGTTATTAGTGGATTTACAATCCGTTTAAACCATATTGTTTTATTTTACGAGGGAAACCAAACGAATCTAGTATTGAATATATTTGAACATATATAGATATAGTATTTTATGCTAAATAGATAAATGATTTATGAGAATTATCAAGGTACAAACAAATTAATTAAACATTATAAAATTAAAGACGATTGAAAACAATCTCCTAAGAAATCATATATAAAAAGTTTGCTAAAATTGTATTATTTAAGAGCTCGAAAAACATGTTTATTCTTATTTTATTCCATTCAGGAACAAACATGCCTTAGAAAAGATTTAATAATTAATATCGTGTGTGGCTTTTGGTGTGCAAGTATTGTATATCCTGCACATATTGCTTAATGAACTCTTCTAATTTTGAACCTGTAGAAGGCTAAGTACAAAATATTTGGTGGTTTTATTGGTTGTTAAAGGAAATCATTTTCAATATAATATTGATGAATAATGAAATATCGGTGGGTTTATTAGGTTGATGGGTGACTGTTCTATTGACATACTTTCGCTTAAATTTGTTTCATTTTGAACCATATTAGTTAGATAAAAGCTATGTGCAGCCAGTTTTTTTTCCTCTTTTTACACAAAATTAGGAGGCTTACCAATTGTCGGATCTTCTTCAAATTACTATTATTTTTTCGTAGTATAAACGAGATTCTATTTATTCAAGCATTGTTGTTTTTTCAAAGAAAAAAAGACAGCACCACGATGGTTCATGGTTTTCTCTCAGGAAACGAGAGTTGCTGGTTCTCTCAGCAAAACTGCAAAAGAATGGCAGCCTTCTCATCAGCTGGCCGGCCCCTGACCGCCGAGCGCCGGCCAGGTGACAGTTTCACAAGATTCCAAAAACCGAAGCAAGAGTGGACTACTGGACTGGAGTGGAGTACTTCATGGCTCTGCTCCAACAAAAGAAGCTTCAATTTGCACCAAAATTGTTGCACCCGTTTGCTGGTTCAGACGTGAACAGTCTTGCTAGCTAGGAGTACTACATGTGATTCAAACCACGTTCCTTTAAAAAAAAATCAATCATAAGTACTTGACAATACAATCATTGTCACTAGGACACTGGCTATAAATTTCCTCTTTACTATATTAATACTACTTTAGTAAGTTTATTATTCCATGTTTCATTTGTCTCAGGCTATGTTTAGTTCCACGCTAAAATTAGAAGTTTGAAGAAATTGGAACGATGTGACGGAAAAGTTGAAAGTTTTTGTGTGTAGGAAAGTTCGATGTGATAGAAAAGTTGAAAGTTTGAAGAAAAAAATTGGAATCTAAATAGGGCCTTAATTGTGTGTGAAGTGTTGGCTTCCTTTGTAAGACTGTTAGGGATTTGTCCCATCACCTCATGTTTTTATTTCAAGAACTTGTCAGTTGTGTGGTTTATGGGGAATTCTGGGGATGTACTCTCGTATTTTTCCATAAGCAGTACTAGATTTACGATTCGTTTAAACCATCAAGTTCCATATTTTTTAGAACGTAAAGTTTTATTCTACAAGAGAAACTAAATGAGTCTAATAGTGATCTGAATACATTTGGAAGCTACAAAGCATTTATCAACATTATATTGTAACGATATAAATTCGTTTGTATTTGTATAGCATGTGCATGCATGTTGCATAAAACACCCCTCTAATTTTTGGCTCGTAGATGAGGATGGCTCCATGTGGTATACAACACCCGATGGGCACATTCGTGGGTTTATTTATTTTTGTCCGTGGCACACCCGACCAGGCTGAGGGGTGACTTGGTTTTAATTAATTTGTATAAGTTCTAGATCTTAAATTCATTGTCTTCTTGAATAATATTAATTAGATAATTTTCCATGTGTTTAGTCACACTAGCTAATTTATATTTTCTCTTTTAGCACAAATATAGGAGATGAGTCGCATGGTGTGTTAATCTTTAATTAATGTCCAGTACGTAGATCTCCTTTGTTTTCAATTTAACTATTGTCATGCAAACAATCACAATTAATGATAATAACATTCATTCATTGCACCCGAAGATGCACATGCAAGGCCGTAATAATCTATTTCAGGTTTTTATATAATAGATCAACAAAAAAAAAACGCACTCCAGTGTAATTATATGATGTTTTAGACAGCATATAGTCACTCTTTGAAAATTTTAACCAGCAACAGATTTTAGAATTCATAGTTTGAAATTAAAAAATAGAAATAGAAATTATTCTGATAACATCATAAACTTAGAATAATAAAAAAAATGTGCTGAAAATCATATTAAAAAATGTAAGAAAAAAAATCAAGAATCATTTTTGTTTACATAAAACAACATGCTTTGCATGCATTACGTTTGGCTATAGTTGGGCCTGGTTTAGTTCTCATTTTTTTTTTTAAAAAACGTCACATTGAATCTTTGACATATGCATGGAGCATTAAATGTAGATAAAAAATAAAAACTAATTACACAGTTTGCATGGAAATCGCGAGACAAATCTTTTGAGCCTAATTAGTCCATGATTAGCCATAAGTGCTACAGTAACCTACATGTGCTAATGACGGCTTAATTAAGCTCAAAAGATTTGTCTCGCGGTTTCCAGGCGAGTTATGAAATTAGTTTTTTCATTCGTGTCCGAAAACCTCTTCCGACATTGGTCAAATATCTGATGTGACATCAAAATATTTTCTTTTTACGAACTAAACACAGCCTTAATTGTGGCACAAGACCCTAGGATACGTATGCATATGCATTGTATTTAAAGAGCTTGGCAAGGGTGCATGGCCAACATAATTTTCGTGGGCTCACCACTGTTAGAAAGTGAAATCGCAATACGAAAGGAAAAGGTTCAATTTAGCTCCCTTAAATATAAACAAGATCTAATTCATACCTCTCAACCGCAAAACCAAATATATTGACTCTTTCAAGTATTAAAACTATGCAAAATGACTCCCTTAGCTATTTTAGTGTGATTTTCGCTGATATGACACGTTGACTTGTCCACCTATATTGACGTGGCGCCTACGTGGTATTACAGTGTGGAAATAAAATGAAAAAGACAATGGGCCCTACATGCCAAAGACATTCGAAGAACTAGAAGAAGAGCGCGGTCGCTGGAGGATTAGGGGCGTTCGATGGTGAGATCCGTCGGCATATGTTGCATCCATACCAAATCCAAGGATGGTTGTCTTGTCCCCTTCCGCCTCCTCCTCGTCCACCCGCTGCTAGTCGCCCTCCATGTAGATTGAAGGAGGTAGAGGGAGCTCCGCAAGAGCAGCCACATCTGATCCTAGAGGCTAGAGCTCAGCTCCCCATCGTCGACCTCCCTCTGCATCCGAACCCAACACCCGTCCTCCGCTAACTCCTGCTCTGTCCGCCCGTCTTAGGGCTCGGCTCCGCCCCATCCTCTCTGGGCTCTAGTGAGGCCGGCGACGCTGGTGCCGGATCCAATCTCTAGGACGCCAACATCAGGCCATATATGCCTAGGCACCGCCACAAACCGACTCCTCCATCAGTCGTCACTTTGAGCTCCCTCTGGCCTCTATCACCGACTCCTTTACCGGCCGTGGCTCCGAGCTGCGCTGCGTTGGCGTCTCTCCCTCTTGTTGCTCCCACCACTAATCGTGAGTGTGGCTGTCAGTAGCTCCTCGATGTTGTCTCTCTAATGTCGTGGCAACTGCGCTCGCCGTCTACCTCGACACCAGTCACTCACCATCTCCCTAATGTCGTTGTGGCCCTGGATCTATTGCCCATCCCGTGCTCTTGCCACTAATTCTCGGCGTAGATAACGAGGCTAAGAAAAGTAAGGATACCGAGTGAAGAAAAAGAGGGGAAGAAAGATCAAGATGAGGCACTGATATGTGAACCCCATATGTTCAGTCAACCTGTTAGACCAAGTCAATGTGCTATGTCAGCGAACCCCCCCTCCCTTCAAAATAGTTGTTGGAAGAGTCGATATATTGGTTTTACATATGATTACCCAGTTTTAAGTTGTTGGAGGTGTCGATATATCGGTTTTACAGATGATGGGCGGGAATTAGATCCGACCTATATTTTGAGGGAGTTACATTGGACTTTTCTCCAATACGGAATAAGATGCCCATATAGCCCACAACCATATACCCAACTAGTACTAGCCTAAGGCCCAACTTATTTTGGCCCATTTAACATACCATTGCCACATACTACACCTACCAAATTCTCCCACCACTCATTTCTTTAGCCCCTCTCCCAGAATTCAACTTTAGATCCTCTGAATTCAACTTTTACACTGCATTATTTGTAGCAACGTGTCAACGTATAAAAAAAAAGTTACTGGATATCGGCGTAATCGACGGCGCCGTAGGGCTGGAACCACTCGGCGAGGAGCCCCTTCTTCCTCCTCGGGTCGCACCCCATGTCGCGGCACAGCTCGTCGCTGTACCAGATGCCGACGCCGCCGAGGCACGACCGCCGGAAGTGCTCCTCGCCGGCGCTCCGCCTCATGTACCTCCCCCACTCCGCCACGCTCGCCTCCATCCGCCGCACCGGCGGCAGCCGGAACGCGCCGTCCAGCAGCCGCGCCACCCACTTGGTCAGCATCTCGCACGTCTGGATGTTCGTCGCGCTCTCCGAGTACCCGATCACCGCCATCTGCGGCACGCGCGGGTGCACGCACTCCCTGTACAGCGGCGCGGCGGTCTCCGGCGAGCCGGCGACGATGTCCCTCACCCGGCGCGACGCGAACATGCGCCTCAGCTTCTCGTCGCCGCGGAACCCCGTGGCGAGGATCACCAGGTCGGCCTGGACGACGCGCTCGCCGCCGCCGCCGCCGTCGTCGTCCAGCACCAGGCCGTCGTCGCGGAAGGTGAAGGACTTCGCCGACCTCTTGATGACGACGCTGCCTTCCTTCACCTTGTCGTAGAACCTCTCCGGCAGCATGCCGATCAGGCACGACGAGAGCGACTTCGACAGCCCGTACTCCGGCGACATCCCGTGCTCCTCCATTGGTATCTCCTTCTTGTAGTACGCCTCTGTCAGCTTCGAGATCAACCACCCCTGCACAGACACCATCAGCTCAGAATGTGGTCGGGATGCTCGCCGGCGCCGTCGCCGGCGGCGAACGTACGTACCAGAGGTGACAGGAACGTGGCGAGGAGGTTCGACGCGACGCCGGCGCCGGGCTTCCGGACCATCAGCTCGGCGAAGCGGGTGAAGTAGATGTAGCCGATGTCCACCTTGCCCCAGACATTGGTGTCGTGCAGTAGCCACCGTGGGCTCCTGCAAATCATCGTGCACGGCTGCTCGACGCCTGACATGAGTGACACGACACCGACATGAACAGCTTTAGTTCATCGAGCAGAGAACAATGTCGCAGCTGGGGTACGTACCGTTGGCCTCGGCGCACTCGGCGGCGATGTCGAAGGCGGACTTTCCGGAGCCGACGACGACGACGCGCTTGCCCTTGACGAGCGCCGCGGCGTCCGCGTCGTCCATGTCGGAGAACTCCATGGAATGGATCACCCGCCCACGGAACACGTCGGGGCCGCCGGCGGGCGGGAACGCCGGGATGTTCGGCACGCCGCTGAACCTCCCGATGCAGAGGATGAGGAAGTCGAACTCGTACACCTGACGACGAACGGGGCGTCAGGGGCGCCATGGGAGAGAGCTTCTGTTTTTCTTCAATCTGGAATGAACCACCTCACCTGCGTGGTGTCCGTGTCGTCGTGGTGCACGGTGAGGCGCCACGCGCCGGAGCCGTCGCCGAACGCCTCGCCGTTGCCGTTCCACCGCTCCCACCCGTCCGCCGCGTCGTCGCCGACGAACTCCGCGGCGAGGACCGTGGACCGGAACCTGACGCGCTCGTCGACGGCGAAGCGGCGCGCGTAGGCGGCGAGGTAGTCGACGACCTGGTCGTGGCGCGGGTACCAGTCGACGGAGTCCGGCCACGGGAAGTCGGAGAAGCGGTAGGCGACGTGCGGCGACTGGAGCCTGGTGGACGCGAGCGTGCGCGTCCACTGGCCGCCGACGGACGCGCCGGCGTCGAACACCACCGGCCGGAAGCCCCTCGCCAGGAGGTGCTTGCACGCCGCGACGCCACTCGTTCCGGCGCCGACGATGGCCACCCGCTTCGTCCGGTGATCCATTCTTGAAGTTTTTTGTGTGTGTCAGTGTGTCACAGTGTCGTCGATGTCTGCACTCTGCACGGCGTTTAAAAACAAAACGTGAGACACCAACAACAAATATTTTAATTTAGTGACCGTGATCAGATTGGACTTTGGTTTAGGTATTGGTGCTCAGTCATGTGAGCTGTTTATTTTTAACAGGAAATCATATAATCTGCTGTTCGTGGGCATACTTCAAAAAAAAAACTTAACCTAATATTAGATGTGATGTTTTATAATACAACGAATCTAGACATGTAGATATGTTGTACTAGAAAACATGAGATCTAGTAATAGGTTGAGTTTTTTTTTTTACAAAGGGAGCTCACTGTTCGGATTTCAAACATTAGCTGCTATGACATGTGGACATGTGGTGTTGCCGAGTTGGTGTCAGCTACAGGACGTGGCTGCGTTCGAATCTTATAAAGATCGGGATTAAATACGAGACATGCAAAACTATTAACACATAATTAATTAAATTTTAATTATTATAAATTTGAAAAATAGATATACCTGATATTTTATAGCAATATTCATATAGAAAGTTTTCCATAAAACGCGTCGTTTAGTATTTGAAAGGTGTGCTAACGAAAACTAAGGTAAAATCTTCCATATTCATGAGAGAAGAATGGGACCTAAGAAAAGCTGAAGAGGTATGCTCCGGTCTTTACGGGTAAAGATACATATATTATCTTGATTTTTGCACCTATTCTAACCTGTTAATCAGTACATTTCATATAAAAATTTCTACGTAGAAATTGCTTTAAAATATCAGATAAACTCAATTTTTAAGTTTGTAATTATTAAAATTCAATTATTCATGCGTAATGTTTTATTTTTCGTGTCCTACCTTCGTCTTCATCTTCAGTTGGGGGAAAAAAATATCACCGTAGTGCTAGTAGTTTCTTAGGTATTTAATTTCTTTTTGTTTTCAATTGAGACTCTTTTCATCCGAGGGAAGTTTGAAGGGCCTGTTTGGTACAGCCTTAACTCCTAAATATAACTACAGGAGTTGAGTCTGGAGTGGAGTTGTGAAGCTGCCTAAACCCAGCTCCACAACTCCAGTACATTTTGTGAGAGAGCTCCACCCAACTAACTCCAGTACATTTTGTGAGAAAGCTCCACCCAACTCCACTCCCAGTTTTGATGGAGCTGAAATTGTTTGGCTGAGCTCTAGCTTCAAAAGGGGTGGAGCTAGAGTTAGAGCTGTGTCAAATAGGCCCGAAGTTTCAGGCTTGCAGTGGAAGCCACACAAGGGAACTTGGAGCGGAAGGATTGGAAAAAGGATAAGCAGATTGTTATTTGACTGAAATAAATTCTCTCTGATATGTGCGACTGTCGTTTTCCCCGTTTGACCGGCGTTTGCTTGAGTTTTGAATTGGAAAGAACAAAATGGAGAAAAACAATAGTCATGACACGTAACTGCTTGTGTAATTGTGTTATCAAGTACTCCAGTAATCTACTTTTGATGATGGGCCCGCTCATCTGGGCCGTACACCTTAGCTCTTCCAGCCCAAGGCTCCAGTGAAGTGATGCAAAACTGTATTCGGGCTAAGAATTCAACGAGGCCTTCACCTGGGCCCAGCCCAGCTAGCCACAAGCCACTCCTCTCACGCTCAGTAGGAGAGTCAGTATACAGGCAGTAGCTTCGCCCACAACTCAGCTCTCCCGAGCTCTCAGGGCGTGAATGATAAACCCTAGCCTCCGATCCGAGGCTCCGAGCTCGCTTCCCCTCTCTCTGCGACCAGGAGGTGAGGTAACCACCTGAATCTCATCTCTACTTCTTCTTTTCTCAGAGCTTGCAGTTGCTTTGGGGGTGGATTGGAAAATTTGCTGAATGTGCCTAGCGCCTGGTTCTTGTTCTTGAAATGCCATGGATTGGTGAGAGTGTTTTGAGGTTCTTGATCTTTGAGTGAGAGGGAGTGGATGTGCTTCGTCTTCTTCTTTTCTTTATAGGTGGATTTGGGGTGCTGCATCTGGCCTTATGCCACGGGACCTTTGATTTAGGGTTCTAGGTTATATTTCAATGGTCTAATCCGATCCCCCACGGTTGTGTGGCTAGTGGGTCTGTGGTTCTTGGTCAACTATTCCTTAATTATGATTTGGAAAATGCTATCACCTGGAGTAGATTATGCGCTCTTAGAGGTGTTGATAAAATTTTCTTTTCCCCTTTTTGCTATGTATCTTTGATGTTAGTGAGTTTTGTATGTGCTACTGCAGAAATTAACCTGACCACAGAGTGTTGTAGGGGATAACTTATGCTATTCGTGACCTTTTTGCAGTAATGTGAATCATAACCACATTTTTTTGAATGAAAATATAATGTCTGAAAACTGAAAGTATATAACAAGTTGGATTCATGGCCTTGTGTTGAAATTGCTGATAGCCCTGGTCAGTGCTAAGGTTGTGACTAGTCAGGCTGTCAGGGGCTCAGGGCCATTGCTTTTATGGATTTTAAATTTTTGTCTACCATAAGTTATGGAAGGCATGCAACTTTGCACTACAATTTTGGTACAAGTGTAATTCTTTTCTTTTGCTGTTACTTTTTTACTACTTGAGTCGCCGCTTGGTATGTTGTTGTAGTCTCATCAGTTCACTTTAACTGGCTTGCAAGGTTTATTTGGTTGATAGATTGAAATTCCTACCTCAAGTAGATGAAACAAGCATTTGCTTCCTGTTGATGTTTTATTATTTTTAGCTCTGTAGTACTCTATATTTTGGTGAGTTTTCTAGAAAGGAAAATGTTAGCATACTGCAATGGCCTGGGATTGTGTAATACCACATCAGATTATAACTCGAAACTAAAGCCAGATATGGAATTACATAACTTGAATGCTACAAATGATTTGGCAAGTCGTTACTAATGTATTGGCTGGTTTCTAATATTCAACATGTTACTATTTTGCAAATTTATCACTGATGATTGGAAATTTCAATCCAGGCTGCTTAGTGCGGGGCATCATGCCTGCTGGTGACAACCCACACTCGATCTCAGAGAAAAAGGCAGCACTGAGAGAATCGCCTAAAGAACCTAAGAATGTCGGTAATCAGCAGCCCAGGACTTCTCCTTTTCCTAAGGATAAAGCTGCTGGGACAGTTGGCATCAAGCGGCCGCAACCTAATGGTCCCTTGAACCCAACTAACCCAGGGACAAATGGCCATCTTGTATATGTGCGCAGGAGGCTTGAAACTGATCATAGCAAAGTTAGCTCTTATGCTAGTGCAGATAGTATCAGTTCTCTAAGCTCAAAGAAAACTGTTGTAGACAGACCTCAGGAACAAGGTTTGAAGCATCAGAACAGTTCGCTTCAAACTCCGTTAGCTCCTGCTGCAGCTGCTGCCACCTCCCCTGCTTCTCCATCTGGAGGTTCGCTGCCTCAAAATTCTCTCAGAAAGCAATCTCTAGGAAAGGTGGTTGTTCAGCCAAGTATTATAGTGACTGCTAATCCTCCACCTCGCAATGTGGTGTCTACTACTTCAGTTCCTCAGAATTCTATAGCAGCTAAGTTGGCATGTTCTAGTGTTGCCGCTGCTAGTCCTCCACCTCGCAATCTGGTGTCTACCACTCCAGTTCCTCGTAATTCTATAACAGCTAATTTGGCATCTTCTAGTGTCGCGGCTGCTAGTCCTCCACCTCGCAATCTGGTGTCTACTACTCCAGTTCCTCATAATTCTATAGCAGCTAATTTGGCATCTTCCAGTGTTGCGGCTGCTAGTCCTCCACCTCGCAATCTAGTGTCTACTACTCCAGTTCCTCGAAATCCTATAGCAGCCAATGTGGCATCTTCTAGTGTTGCGGCTGCTAGTCCACCTCGCAATCTGGCGTCTACTACTAAAGTTTCTCAGAATTCTATAGCAGCTAATTTGGCATCTTCTAGTGTTTCGGCTACTAGTACAGCATCTCGTGGTGCTGCTCCAGCATGTTATCCGGTTGATCCACAAAGATCAAGCAATCAAGATTGGAAAGAGAGGTTTATTAGGCTGCAGGCTTTCTTGAGAAATAACGAGCAATCAGGACAGGAAGAATATATCCACAGTAAGTTTATGTTTATCTTAGTTCAATACAATTTGCCACAATTTCTATCTAATACGCTGTTTCCTTTCACTAAACTGCAGTGCTTCGGTCTTTGTCATCTGTTGGCCGAAGCAAGCTTGCCATTGAGCTGGAGAACAGAGCAGTCAAGCTCTTGATTGAAGAAGGTATTCTTCACTCTGATTGTTGAAGCTTCGAACATGTTTGTCAGTATTAGTGTATTACTTCAGTTTCCATGCTATTTTTTCAGCTATCAGTCATCCTGAATTTGTTTATGGAAGCAGGATCATTTGGATTGACTATTATTTTTGTATCCTCTTGTCAGGGAAAGAGCTGCAGAAGATGAAAGTTCTGAATGTACTGAACAAGCTTTCACCTACTGATGCTCTACCATTACCAACTCAGCCTGCTTCTGTTAGGCATCTGGCATTTCCACCCCGCTGACGAGAAGCTGAAAGTTCAGCCATGTCACGGCATAATAGGTGTTGAAGAAGTTCATTCTGAAATCTTCCCAGCTGACAACCTGAATGCTATAGCATGGTTAGCATGTGTTGCCTTTGTGACAATAAGCCATTTATATCTGCCAACTGATGCTCTCTCAGTGTATCAGAGCATATCGGCAGTGCGTAGTGTGCATTCCATTCCGTAGCCAAAGAAATGCTCTGGATAGACGGATGGTTCATCACTTCATCTACTTCAACTAACCTGCAAATTTCATAGCCCCCTGTGCTGATATTTCTTCTGCGTGCAAAATGATTGCCATGTTTCATCTTGAACTAGTTAAGATGAGGTGCAAATGTGAAATATTTTCTTCGCACACGAGTCGTATTGTATGCCAGTGTCATGTTTCATGTTTCATCACTGATTCGCAGATTCAGCCAGAAGAAAATGTGTTACTACTAATTACTACTTGCTGCTGTCAGATTAGTAGATCACTCATTGGCTGTAACCTGACCGGCCAAGAGTTGACATGCTAACAGCAACAAGCGGTCCGTTATTTTCTCCAACAAGAGTTGGATGGAGATTAAGATTTTTGTGACACGTTTTTCAAACTGATAAACGGTGCATATTGTGCGAAAACTTTCTATATGAAAGTTCCTCTAAAATATCATATTAATATATTTTTTTAAGTTTGTAATAATTAAAACTCAATCAATCACACGTTAATACCACCTCGTTTTGCGTAAAAAACTTAATCTTCATCTTCAGGAGAAAAGAACACCACTGTGCCCCGTTCATTTCCACTAAAAAGACTGGATGAAGTTTTGGATTTATGTGACACGCTTTTTAAACTGCTAAACGGTGTGTTTTGTACGAAAACTTTTTATATGAAAGTTGTTCTAAAATATCAGATTAATCCATTTTTCAAGTTTGTAATAATTAAAACTCAATTAAGCACATATTATTACTATCTCGTTTTGCGTGAAACACTTAATATTTATCTTCATCTTCAAATATTCAAACACCACCATGCAAAATAATTTTGCAAGTGCTTCAAAGATATGTCAAAGGAACGCAGATTCAACAGGTTGTTGTGCTTCACTGACGTAGATGATGACAACACAATAAGTGCATCTTGCATCTTGTTTAATTACACTGGGTACATCAAGTACGAATTCTGGCAGCAAAAAAAAAGTGCTGGCAATTTGACCATTTGAACCGAGATGCTTCATCCTTGATGCTTACATAGACAATTAGCAATTATGGCATATAATTAATAACAAGGTTATGACGAAAATAAGCATCAGGACATGCATGCTCCCTCCTAACCAGCAAATTATTATATCTATATACACTCCCAGAGAGGAGGGGACGAGATTCTAGCGTACTTGCTCCAGATCTGTGTTGAAAAAAAGTTATTTCACCTTCTGTATCAACAACTCAACTCAGTGTCCCTCTCAGAGAAAAGATCATCTTTTCGCCGGGAAGGGAAAAAAAAGATCATCTTAGCCAAATGATCTGGAGAAGTGGCAACATCTGCCATTGCACCTCAATCATCACATCCGGCAGGTATCAAGAACCTTTCTTCGCAGTTTCTGCACAAAGCATCAGAAAAACACCATATTCACAGAAGCACCAGGATACAGTTAAGCGACAAAGATCTACAATCTGTATCAGGTGTGACTTTCAGTATGAACTAATGGAAGGCAATGCATATAGAGCCAAGAAAATGGCCGCAATAATTTCCCTTTCTGCCCAACTAGTAGCAGTAATGATGTACCCAAGACATGTGAGCTATTACAATTACAGTTCACATGATAGCTACTATAGTTATTTAGCAATTTCTTACCCGTTTCTCCCTTGTCACTTTCTGAAACTTTGATCAAATACCAAGCAGTGCTGAGCACTCTAGAGCTGAGAGTTCAGTTCCTCAGCATTGCCATCAGATGCTTCAGTCATATACATCATTCTTAGACTGCACACATCAACACCATCAGGGAGGTCAAACCAAGATTCCAATCATACAACCCCCCCTGGAAACGTCAAGAAGAAAGTTACTTTCAGTAGCTGTTGCAGAGTTCATCATATCTGATGAGCTAGCTCCATGTGATATTTCCCATGGTACACATAGCAAAGCTGAAAATATACTCATGCACGAATCATCTCCCCTTGACTTGGAATATTCAAATTTCCATAAACCAATGCAGTTCGAGTGTACAACTTCGAGATCTTGATTTTAGCTTAGTTGTCAGATTCTAAGCCTCCATGATTGCGCGCAACACAGTTGCATGCCTCGATTAATAATGTAATTGCACCAGATCTTTTCTTGAATAACTGATCCCACCTATTCAAAGTGTCCTGTGAGAATTCATCAGTGTGGACAGGGTTATTAAATAATTACTTGGAGAAAAATGGTAAATATTCAGAACTGATTTACACCCTGTCTTCAAATCATACAAGAGCATGCAACAGATGGCAGAGCAGAAATCATTTTACACAGTTTTATGCTAAGTAACAGCAACCCTATATTAGTTTAACATGCCCAATGCCAATTGGATCCATGGTGGTGGTGACTCCTCATGGATACCAAACATTAGGTTGCCTTTGGGTTGGGGCCCACCCACAGGAGAATTTTAACAACCAAACCGGTATCTGATTGGCGGGAATTAAGAAGACCTCCATAGCTGGTGGAGGAGAGCTGATGGTAGTATTGGCATGCCACTAAAGAAAACCCAAGCTTTTGGTCAAATATGAGACAAGTAGCAACTATATTTATTTCCAGTGGGCTCTAGGGTAGTGACTGAACCATTATATTAAAGGGAAAGCAGGAAAAGAAAAGTGAACATAGCATTTGTTTTCATATGAATGATGTCAAGGTGACTCGAAGATGAGTATTCATGGTGCCTTGTACTATATCTTTGATGTCACTCTCCAACTAGTGTCTTCTCATCAGCATCCAATTAATCCAAGCAATGTACACCCCCTCTATGCTGCATCAAACAAATATACGGCGAGCACTAGAAAACAGGTTAGATCATTAGGAATACAAAATGTAAAGGAGTGCTCTACCATACTATCCAGTCTTGATTAATGCAATTATGGTTAAATCAAAACAATATAAGGGTGCTACTCTCCAGTCTTGATTTCTGAATAATTGGTTTTGAGAAAAAAAATAACTGAAATGGTATGTAATGCATTTCATATGTAAAAAGTTAGAAAAAAGGTTCAAGCTATATAAATTATAGCAGTTGTATGGTGTTGGCTTGTTGCATTGCCAAGAGGCATCAAGATTCCTGTACATGTCACGGAATAATGAATCAAATAAGTATATTAATTATTTCCTTCCTGAACAGGGGACAAGAACACGTTCCCATGGATGGAATCAAGCAAACTTAACCTATAAATATAGTAAGTTAACAAGTTAACATTCTGACAATCTTTAAAGTCCTTCCTAAACTGAGACAACATTGAGTTTCTCTAGAACAATTAACCTTTCAAATTGGTATTGGGGATCACATGTATGTCCACCAAAACCACCATTATGCAACTAATTAATTGATCTTTGTTTGGAACAGACCCCTACTTTTTAATATTCACAAGTCTGGAAAATAGAGGAAAGTAAAGATCTTATAATAAAAAGATGATTAAATTAAAACACTAACCAATCCAAAGTAGACAAGTAACAGGCCGTACATATGCAGTTTTACGAGATGCAATCCTAGGAATAAGCACAGTGTGCATTTAAATAAGCAAGCAGTTCGGTGATCTCCAGAGAAAATTGTTTAAGCTAACATAGCATCAACGGCTAAAAATGATTTACCCTGAGTTGGTGCCAGAGACAGACAGCTCCATAATTCACTGTACTGATTAATGAAGCTTCCTTGGTATCTTTTTACGAGTAGCATAGAAGCACTTTTACATAAAAAGTTGGAATGGTTAGCCTGGATACTGCACAAGAGATGACAGTTCAACACTTGACAGTGCAACTTCAAATGCATTGCAAGAGATCTTTTGCCCACAAGTTTCATACAATAAAGATTTATTTTTATGCAATTTGCTGCTAGAGAAAACCAAATATTTGTGTGTACAACAAGGGTTTTCTTGTTCTTATAAATAAAAATAGATCAATGCCAAGGTAGTGGGAAGATACTAGAACTCCCAGATAATTGTCACGGAATCTGTGGTTTTCCGTCCAATGAATAGAGAGGACAAATTTTATTTGGCCCTACTCTACACAAGTACACAGCTATACTGGAACGATGGAATCTCCAATTAGTACACCGCCCCTGATCCCCTCTATGCACTTATGCAGTCACCAATGTGGTTAGACCTGTGGCCTGCATTTTAGTAGTCTACTATGTGGCCTCATGCCCAGCATGTGATGTGTAAAACTACAATCAAACAAATAAAGAAAAAACTGTACTCTGATAACATAGTGGCAGCAATAGGTGATTTAGTTCTGTAATTCTGTCAAAAACGACCCTCCCTAGTTTGCCCCCACTTCGCAATTACCCATGGTATTGCAAGGGAGGATTTCATACGGAGGAATCCGTCTCAAGCAACATAATTACCATCAAGTTGACTTTAAAAATGGAAGTGGGTATGGCTGGATTCCTGTGTGGTGCTGGGTCCCTCAGTGAGAGGGAAAGATTCTAACAAATAAAGAAAAGAACAATGCAGCGGTGGCCCCATAAGCTTTGTTCTTACGACAAAACCAGACAAACAAAGGCAAAACCAAAGCAAGGACAGGCCAAGCATAGACAATTTTGCTTTCCATCCTACAGCAGCAAGATTCATCAGATGCCTTTGGAATGAATGGTGGGAGGTGTTCTGGTGGAGCACTAAACCTTTTCTAGAGCTACTACTTGTTGGAGGCTAACACCGAGCTAGGAAGAAGAAAGGAGACTTTTTCATGAGGAGAAGGGAGGCATACGATTACCAGTGAGCTACTACTCTATCAATCTCTTTCTTTGCTTCCTTTCTGTAGAAAATGATGTGTTCTTCCCTACTACCCACACCCTGCAATCCAAACGCAGGCAAATCTAGCACAAAATTCATCCCAGGACTCCCAGTCTCCTGTACTCCCCTTGCCCAAGATGTGCAGCGAGCTTTACTTCTTGATTCCGAACAGGAGAGAAGTATTACGACTTGCATGCTCCTTGCCCAAGTTCTTGTCATCATTTCCAAGAGCAAAACCATCTTGTTGGCTTTAATACTGATGCAGTAACTATGGTGTCAAATTCTGTGACCAGATTCTGAAGGAAACCTTACCTGCATGGAAGAGGGAGACCCCCAGCCCAGCATCTCCTTGGCACGCACTCCGTCGGAAGGCGCGGCGGCGGCAGTCGACTTGGATCTCCTTGAGCAGCTTCTCTCAGCCGACAACGCCTGGCTTGAAGTGGCAGCAAACACTTCACGCTCACCCAACTTCTTTGCTACCCCCTCCAACTGCTTGACAGATGCTTCGGTCGCCACCACCACACCTGCAAATTCATGGTGGATTCAGCCGAGCGGTGCAAGCACCTCAGTTCGGGAACGGTTTGACCAAGCTCTAGCTTACATCAGGGAGACACAGAGCGACGCCGATGTGCTTGTGCAGCTCTGGGTGCCAGTCAAGGGCAACGATGGTCAGCTGGTGTTGACGACGAGCGGGCAGCCATTCACTCTCGATCAGAGGTCCAATAGCCTCATACAGTTCAGGGAGGTTTCGACAAAGTACCAGTTCTCTGCAGATGTTGCTTCAGGTTCCTCACCTGGGCTACCAGGGAGGGTGTTCATCGGTAGGCTTCCTGAATGGTCACCAGACGTTCGATACTTCACCAGCTATGAGTACCCTAGGATCAACCATGCACAATATTTGGATGTCCACGGGACGATGGGGCTGCCGGTGTTTGAGAGGGGGAACTACTCATGCTTAGGTGTCATCGAGTTGATCATGACCAAGCAGAAGCTCAACTTCACCTCCGAGCTCAATACCATTTGCAGTGCTCTCCAGGTATGAGCATCACTTACTCTGAAAAGTTCAAAAAAGAAATCTTGTTGTAAGTATCTGACCAAGAAATAAACTTGGTTGCACAAGAAAGAGCACGTATGGTTTCACCAAGACATGATGACTATTGATTACAGTAGGAAGTAACTGAATATTTTAGGCATATGGACTTTCTTAATGCTAATGCTCTTTGCAGGCAGTTAACCTGACAAGCACAGAAGTTTCAAGCATTCCGCGCGCAAAGGTAAGCAGCAACAGAAATTTGAGAATGTTGTATCACAGTTTTGAGTTGGGGCAATATATGTATTTCATTTCGGACAAAACAATGTACTTCCTCCGTTTCACAATGTAAGTCATTCTAGCATTTACCACATACATATTGATGTTAATAAATCTAGATAGATATATATGTCTAGATTCATTAACATCAATATGAATGTGAGAAATGCTAGAATGACTTACATTGTGAAAAGGAGGGAGTAGTACTTATATATACCATAACCATATGGTGTAAACACATGATAGAGTAACACCTGACATTGGCATGATTTGGAGAACTACTGTTAAATTTTGCATTCTTTAGAAAAGGAAATACCAATCTAGGTAAATGTTGATATAAAGATCTTGATATAAAAATGTGCTTATATATTCTTGTGACTTATGGCTGTTCTTGTTGATTATCAACCAGCTTAACAGTGCTTCCTACAAAGATGCTTTACCAGAGATACTAGAAGTCCTGAGAGCAGCCTGCATCACCCACAAGCTACCATTAGCTCAGACCTGGGTCACATGTGCTCAACAAGGAAAGCGGGGCAGTCGCCATTCTGACGAGAACTACAAGTACTGCATTTCCACCATTGATGCAGCATGCTATGTGAATGAACCCCGGATGCAGAGCTTCCACGAGGCCTGCTCCGAACACCACCTGCTACGGGGGCAGGGGGTTGCAGGGAAAGCCTTCACCACAAACCAGCCATGCTTCCTACCAGATATTGGATCCTCCACTAAACTGGAGTACCCATTGTCTCACCATGCTAAGATTTTCAATTTAAAAGGTGCAGTGGCAATCCGATTGCGTTGCACGCGCACAGGGATTGCCGACTTTGTGCTAGAGTTCTTTCTGCCAACTGACTGTGAAGTACTTGAGGAGCAGAAGGCAGTGCTGGACTCATTATCAGGCACCATGAGAAGTGTTTGCCAAACTTTACGTGTTGTTACTGACAAGGAGATGGAGGATGAGGCCATGAGAGAAATGAATGAGCTGAACTCATTTAGTCCTCGGGGCAAGAACAAAGTTGAGGAGTTATCCTTTGGAGACAACACAAGAGGGGATAGAGAGGAGGCATCTTGGACAACCTTAGTAGGGACTTCACAGAAAGGATCAGATTTAGCTGAATTGCATACACATGGAATGTTATCACATGGAGGGCATGGTTCATCTCAAGCTGGTGATCAAACAAGTAAAGAAGGTAGCAAAGTGAAAAGGCGTACAAAGACGGAGAAGACCGTGAGCTTGCAGGTCCTTCGGCAGTACTTTGCTGGGAGCCTGAAGGATGCAGCAAAGAGCCTTGGAGGTGAGTGACATTAACTTATCAGATAAATGCAAGATTCAGCTATGTATACTTTACTATTTAAGTAGATACCATCAGCCATTAAACTATTAACAAACCCAAGCCATGACGCCAGCATTAACTACTGAATAAGAAAACATTCTTCCATAAAAAAGGTCAACCTTCACATGCACCTTATAGTCAGAATGTGAGCATTGTTATCACCCTATTTTTTCGTGATTCGTGCTATTGCATGAAGGTACAAGGTAAAATTTAGTCACTGTAAACTGATTCATGGAAATAGGGAGAATGAGTTAGCAAGTCAACTGTACGGTTTTGGCTGTTTGAGCAGATATGTATAGCCTAGAATTGATCAGTCTCTCATGCAATTATTACTTACAGCTGAGCAGCAACTTCATGCAATAAACATGACTTGAAAAATATATAAAGACAAGAAATATGTAACACACTACAGTCCAGAAACAAGTCCCTAAGTTGGTGTGCCATGTTGCTTTCTAGAAACAGAATAGTTGGTTTGGGAGTTCCATGGATAATAGGCAAAATTATTCCTTCCAGGGGAAAAAAAGACAGCTGTTCATCATGTGCATATACTACATGGCTTGCCCGCATTCTTTTTTAGTAAAAATGATTTATATGTGTTTGATCTAGTGGTAAAAAAATCAAAAAAGAGGAAAAAGCAACTGTATTAAAATTGGCTGCACATATACTCACCACATCTTTTTCTCTCACAGTGTGCCCAACCACCCTGAAAAGAATATGCAGGCAGCATGGCATAAACCGCTGGCCATCACGGAAGATAAAGAAAGTAGACCATTCTCTAAGGAAACTGCAGCAAATCATTGATTCAGTTCATGGAGCAGAGACAGCTTTCCAGCTTAACACCCTCTACAAGGACCTCACAAACACCTCTGTATCATCTGACAACAATTTGTCAGGAAGTGTCACAGTTCCTCTGGCTAACCAGAACAATCTAGACTTTGAAATGCACCAACACCACAGGTTAAGCAGCAATATTCCATCGACTTCACTCTCACACTCATCATGCAGCCAAAGTTCCGATTCAAGCCCTTCCTGCAGTGGAGGAGCAACAAAACATTCACCCCAGGTTGGAGCTGATCAGGTGAGGTCAGGATGTCTTCCACAACATAGCCCTGTCCAGACTCTGCAAACAGAAGCTGCTTCAATAAATGAACATTTCTCAGGTCAGGAAGCACCAATAGATCTCTTACAGGATGTTGCTGAAAAGGCAAATGGTGAACAGCACATGTCTCAAAGTCCATCATCCCCCAAGCAGACTGCAAATGTAGGTATGAGAGTAAAGGTCACTTTTGGCTCAGAAAAGGTGAGGTTCAGATTGAAACCTGAGTGTGACTTTCAAGAACTGAAGCAGGAGATATCAAAACGTCTGAGTATAGCAGACATGAATTCCTTGATTGTAAAGTATTTGGATGACGATTCAGAATGGGTCTTGATGACATGTGATGCAGATTTACACGAGTGTTTTCATGTTTATAAACTAGCAGATATCCAAACAATCAAGATTTCAGTTCATCTGGCTGCTAGTCCAACAACAAGGATCACCATTGGTCACACTGGTTTCTCATGAAGACACAATGAGCCTCACTAGCTTGTGGGATGTCTTCAGAAACCCAGGGAAACCCAAAAAATGGTTGGCAGCCTGTGCAAGGTACCAAGTGCCACAATCAGATGCAGGTCTCCTGTTAGCTGGATTAGTCTTTAATCTGTTGCTGAGATTAGGAACTGCTGATTACACTGGAGTACTTGACAATGGGAATACAGTTTTGAAAAGTAGCATATACCAAAGAAACCATTGACTTGTAAATACTCTCACTGATGGACCTGATATTTTCCAAGCCAGTGTAATTTGATTGAGATCATAGGGTGAAATATATCTAAACCAGGTTAGCCCCAAGTATATTTACGTTCTTGGCATGCTTATGTGCAATAATCCTTGCTGGCTACTGATCATTGATCAATGATCAGTTGATCACCTGTGATAGTCCCTTCAAAGGATACTACAGCACTTGCCCCTCGTCTGAGTGACCAGCAGCAAAGTCTTCTTCCCCCTCTTTTGCCGAAAAAAAGCAGCAAGGACTTCAATTCTTTGGCATGCTTCTCTGAAAATACAGTTTGACACAGCAATGGTTCTTAATAAGTTATAGATATTGGAGGATAGGATGCTTCCTTTGTTCAATTTGTTTGTCCATTGGAAAACAAAAATGTATGGTGCACTCGTACAGCATGATGATGTGTTCTTTTTGGAGAGATTGTTGCTGTTATTCACGCAAAAAATTGTGTTCTTTAAGAAGATTGGATTTTCTGAACTGTAACAAATGCCATTAGTATGTCTAAATTCTAAAATGTACTCCCTCCGTTCCATAATATAAGGCACAACTACTTTTTTCAGATGTTCCATAATATAAGGCGTGCATGCATGCATGCAATTAACTAGTACCTCTTCTACATTAAATTATGATTTTTTAAAATCCTCCACCCTCAAGATCTCTAATTCTATTGGTTGCATGCATTTTATTTATTAGGGTGATTCAAATTAGGAGGTGATAATAATTGTTTCTTGGTCTTTGGATTAAGGGTGGTTGTGCCTTATATTTTAGAACGGAGGGAGTACTTGACAATGACAAATTTAAGTTCACACTGACAGGTAAACATGTGCTTTTGTGAGGAGTAATTTTTAGACCTGTAGACAGGGATAATAGTTGCATATATGGAATCATCTGGTTTTCATGTTCTTATAGCTGATGGAAACAGCCAAAGTAGAGATAAGACCTATGTTCTCTCAATGAGATACTATCCAGAAATTGTCTACAGTATCTATCAGTTAGGGCAAATAATGTAGAAGACTTTCAAATGCAGGATATCTAAAAGCACATTTAGTACCTGTCATTCATGAAAACAGATTTGCTCACCAAATTTAAGGCCAGAGACCTGAGAACAGATGTTGTGAACATCCTAGCCCCCTTCAACGCAACGAAGGTTCCAACTCATTGTCCTTGAGAACATACATTTGACTACAAAATTTAGAAAGAAAGCAGCATGGGCCTCAAGTGTCATTGGAAAAGGCAGACATATCCTTATTATCTTGATGATTAGCATTGGCATTCAGGTACAGCTAAATGCATCTCCAGGATGGAAATAAAAGGATGAAAAGTTCCAGCACAGACAATCTAGAGCCCTGATACTGGCACTACTAGCACCATGATAAATTTGTTAAGGCAAAATTAAATATCTTCCACAGTTTGCATTCGTTGAATCACTTATAAGCAAAAGGAAGGAGCTCTACATAGCAAACTAATAATAACATGATAATAACCATATGCCAAACTATGTGTTTTGAGTTGTATACTGCATACCTTGAAGCCTGAATGGAACAAGATCTTACATTCTGCTTATGTAGTATACATCAGACAGATAGACCCCACCTCAACTTGCTATCTAAAGATAATACTGATAGGATGCTCTGTGTTGCACTGGAAGATAACGATGAAACTTGATCTCATTCAAGAAGAGAACGGCAATATGATGCCCAATTGTCTTATCAGGCATCAGATATAGTTGGCTTCAGCAAATATTTGGATCAATCCACATCCATTGTTGTTTATCTTAAACATATGAGATTTTTAAACTCTAAAGACATTTTGTTCCCCTGTTATATATGTCTCATTTAGAATTTTGAAGACAGGGACTTCAACAGCTTAAATATGGTACTGTTAGGTACAAACGCAAGTGCTTAAGTGTGCATCTATAAGTAAAAGGGAACCATATTCCTGTATTCTACTAGAAAAATCAAATGAACAGTACAAACACAATGATATCAAAACATAAATTGTTGAAATAACAGGATTGCTGGATATGGATTTGGTTTATTTTTCTTAAACAGAAGCAAAGTTAAAATGCTGCATTCGAATCCATGTTAGGAACAAGATGATTTGCATCCCTATGCTAACTTACAAGTTGACAACCAAGCATTACACATAATATGCCTTTGTATGTCAGGCAGTGGCTTGCAACACATGTACACTAGCATAATACGAGGGCTCGATCTGAAGGATGAAAAGGATTAGCGGGGCACACATATATAAGAAGACTAAAAAATGTTGCTGCGGGTAGGCACATCAGATGGTTCCAAAAGGATATCAGCAAAAAAGGAGTTCCTTACCAAATGAAAACAAGAAATCAGGTCATCAGCAACCCATAGTTGATCTATACTTTCTATATCCTAAACAGAACAATGTAACTATGTAAGCATGTCGGTTAGCAGATCAGTGATGAACAGCATAAGTTATATCAAGAACAGCATAAGTTCTTTTCAATGAGCAAGTTCCTCTCAGCATGCCAACTAACCAGAGCAATGATATTGTTCAAAACTAATAAGCTTAGCAAGCATGGGAGCATGGAAATGCAGATGGCAATAAGTTTGCTGCAAGAAATTATTCATCAATTAACTCAAGAAATTTCTGGAAACCTAGGATACAGAAGCTACAATCTCACATAACACAAGAACGCTGGAATCATACACTGAAAACTCAGTCCTCATCCTCATCGCTCTCGTCGCTGAAGTAGCCTTTCCTCTTCTCCTTCTTCATCGCCTTCCCCTCGCCCTTCCCAGCTGCCTTCTCCTCCTCCCCTCTCGTATCCACCACTGACGCCCACCTGTCGTCCTCGAACGCCGCGGCGCTATCCTCATCATCCGACTGCCAGGAAGCCCCGCGACCGCCTCCGCCGCCTCCTCCACCACCGCCGCTGCCGCCGCCGCGCCGCGATTTCTTAGACGGCGGCGGCCTCTCGCGGGGGCCGAGCTGGTTGCGAGGGCACTCGTAGGAGAGGTGGCCCTCCTCGCCGCACTCGTAGCAGCGGGACTTGTCGCGGTAGACGCGGCGGCGGATGAACTCGGCTGCGCGGCCGTTGTCCTCCGCGATGGAGGCGGAGAGGGTGCGGCCGTTGAGGACCTTGCCGTGCATCTCGGCGGCGGCGGCGGCGGCGTCCTCGCGGCGGACGAAGAGGACGAAGGCCACGCCCCGGCTGCGGCGGGAGTCCCGGTCCTTGAGGACGGTGACGCGGGCGACGCGGCCGAAGCGGGAGAAGAGGGTGTGGAGGTCGGAGTTGGTGAGCGCGAAGTCGAGGTTGGACACGTACACCGTCGACTTGGACGGCGCGAGGCCGCCCGAGCCGCCGCCGCCGCCGGGCTTGCCGCCGTGCGAGGAGGGCCCCGAGGCGCCGGGAGCGGCGGCGGAGGGGAGCGGGTAGCGGTAGAGGAAGCTGTCGTCCTCGCCGTCGGAGTCGGAGCCCGGCTGCTGCCGCCGGCGAGACATTCTGGCCTGCGGTTTCTTTTCCCCTCGTTTGGATGCCATTGCCATTTTAGGCCCTACGTCCTCTGTTGGGCCGAATTGAATACACGATGGCTTTGCTGCGAAATGTAAATGGGTCTTGGGCCACAAGTGCTACTAGATGTTAGCTTTAATTTCGGGGGAAATATTTCTTTTTGCCACTCGCTGAAACCGTATTTCTTGTGCTTGGCAGATTCTGAACCACAGAATCAGTGCTTGTCGCTATGCCATCTTGTATTACAAACTTGGGGCCTCATCTTTTCGCTTATGTTTATACTTATCAGTTAAAATTTAAATTTTCAACTTTAAATTTAGAGTTGATTTTAAGGTTTTTTTTTCATCGAAGTTTATTTTTCAGCCTTTGCTTTTAGATCGCTAAGAACACATATATAAAATTTTTATTTATAAATTATTTTTCGTTTGCAAATATGTCCGCAAGGTTGCTGAGGATACGTTGACCATCAAAATTTGCCCCTAAAGACCATAAGGGCAAGTACTATAATGGCCCATATGTTGCCCCTAAGAATGCCACATTGGATTGAGTGATGATGTGGAGGAGAGAAGTGAGGAGAGAGATGATGAGCCACCCCTAAATTAAGAGGCAACCTCCACACAAATTTCAAGAAGGATGTAAGAGTATTAAATATATTGGTATTTGTGTACTAGAGGTGATACATTGTATGGGTTGTCTCTTAGTTCATGAGTGAATAAAATAGATAAATTTAGAGGTGGTAGTCACATCTATCATAGCACTTGCCCTAATACCCTAATTTTCTCACAAAGAATTACTCCTACCTATATATACTCTCTAAAAAGAATAATTTAATAGGTATGTTTTTTATTTTTTTGTCAGAGAAAGTACAGTAGTAGTTCTACACACTAGTATTATTTTTTGTGTATACTTTCTCTCACAAAAAAAAGGATAATATAGTGTATATTTCGAAGACTGGAACAGCGACTAATGTGAACGGGTAACAGTGACTCTTCTCATTCCCATTCAACGCACTGTTAATTTGCGTAGAATTTTGGTCCATCCTATTAATTGGCGGTGAACCAAGAAATGCTGCTCATTAACTACCTAATGACTTGAAAAATGTACTTAAACTCACCTTGGCCTTCTCCTAAACCACACACCTAGACTGTAATCTGTGCTAGTGCAAACAGGGTCACGGATAAACTCGGCCATGGAGATGGTGAGCAGATTTCCCTTGTTCTTCTTTGAGCCATGACCATGTTTTCTGTTGTTTCCATCAGAGTTAACAAGATAGCTTTGGTTCTTCCCAGGATGGAGTGAAGCAATTCAGGCTCCAAATCGACATGCAGTGCCGCTGCATGGGTTGCATCAGGAAGATCGAGAAGGCAATGGGTTGCATCGGAAGCGTCACTGGTACAGCCTTCCTGGCTCATGTTCTTCAGAATTTTTTTTTTTTGAAAGTTATTTCGATCATCATGGTTGGAGACATTTCGACTGATTTTTTGTTGCCCTGAAGGAGTCGAAACTTCAGTAGCAGATGTTGATACAGGGATTGTGGCAGTGGCCGGGAAGGTGAATCCAACAATGCTTTGTCACTGGCTCAAGAGGAGGATAAGGAAAGACGTCAAAATTGTGTACCCTGATCAACAAGTTCAGAACAGCAAGCAGGTAAAGCTTTTCTCTAATCACTGACACTGCATAACTGTAGAATGACATGCATGTTCTTGGTTTTCAAACTGAATCTGTTTAGTTGATGTAACTTGATATGCACTAGGAATGACAGGAAATGTAAACATAAATCAAACCGCAGAAAGAAGAACTTGCCAAAGTTATAGGGTTACAGTACACGAAGTTAGAATCTGTCAGATCAACAGAACCTTGATACAGTTTCTAAATTATTGACCTAGACGCTTCCACTATTGATTTTCTGAACTGAACTGGTAGCTCTGCTTTGCTCGCAGAAACTGATAATGGTTCTAGGGAGCAGTTCCAATGCTAAGGGTGCACATAATACACCATCAGCTCTACCAATACAAGATCATATGTCCTGGGACTCAGTACCACCAATAGTTCAATCAAACCATCAGAGCTTGCCTTTGATCGAGCAGAAGATCAGGGAACTCGAGAAGGTCAGGGACATGCTGAAGATTCAGAACCTGGAGACAGAGCTGGGTGCTGTCAGGTGTGAGCTTAAACAGTCGCGGGAAGCTATCAATGGTAGTAAGAAGGCTGTGATGGATAGTGCTCTGAATCAGCTGGAAGCCTATCATAAACTAGAAGCACTAAGTCACTCACCATATGAGTCATGCTACCCTAGTCAATAAAATGCATTTTCATTGCAAATAAACTTTATTTTCTGTAGTCTAATTGTGGTTTGCTACCAGTAGTACACCAAAACCTTAATTGAAGTTTTCATGCGTCTCCGAAGCCTATCCGTTGTTTAATTCCCATGCTACAACAGTCGATTTCAAGAAACAATTGATTTGATACCTGTGCTACAACAGCAGTAATTCTATAATCTTTCGAAGTTTCAGCAACAATATAAAACATTCAACAGAGGAATGATAGTAGTAAAAAGAAACGAGTTGACGGACCGAATGAAGTGTCGCCCATCAGACGTGTGGCCTATGATCGCCGTCGTCGTCAAGGCGGAGGTTGACGCCGTGTTCGCGCAGCGCGTTGAGGATGGCCCAGACCTTGGTGCGGTTCTTGAACCCCTTCTTCTCCACCTCCTTGGTGGCGTCAGCGTGTATGGGCTCACGTGCCAGGCCGTCCACCTTGAGGCGCATGGCGAGCACCTCCCCGACGGCAGCGGCGGCCTTGGCGTTGCAGGTGCGGCCGCACTCGAGCCCGTCCCGGAGGGGCTTCTCCACAGAGGACGCGGTCACCACGACGCGCCCGCTCTGGCGGTCCACCACGTTCGCCGTCACGTACTTGAGCGAGATGAACAGGCGCAGCACGTACCGCTTGGCGATCGACATCGATCGAACAAAACACAGCTGAAATGAAACAGCACAGGGCGCCTAAGCCCGAAGCGAACTCCTCAGTGGCATTCTCCCGAACAGCTAGCGCGCGGGGCCACGGACGGAGCGCAGACAGCCGCGAGCTGACAGGTTGAATGCGGGCGTACTGAGGCAGCAAAGACGAAGGGTTCCGCGAGAGCAGCAGGACGAGGAGTACGGCGGCGGCGACGGCGGCGGCGGCGGCGGCGCGCGTGCGGAGAGCTTTCTGGTCCTCGTCGTGTCGTTCACTCGCACTCTGGAGGTGACGACGAATCAGGATCGTATAATATGCTTACAGCTTACCCGATTAGATCCACATGGGCCGAAAGCCCATTAACTTAGCCCGTTTCGAGTACGGCCTACTTTGTTTACATATTTGGGCCGTGGCACTTGCATACATACAAGTTCGCAACGGAAACTGTACGGACAAAAGGAGCATTGATCCATCGGCGATTCGGCGGCGGCAGGATGAGCACCACCAGCAGCAGCAACGTCGTCGACGGCGAGATCGAGGCGGCGTTCGCGGCCGGAGCAATGCCGCCGGAGTGGCGGCGGCTGCTGCTGGCGTCGGGGCTGAACGGGAACGACGTGAACGTGATCGCGGCGTCCATCGCCAACACCCACCTGATCATCCTGCGAACCACCTGGTCTTCGACGCAGAAAATGGCGTTCATCGCGCTCGGCGTCATGGGCGTACTGTTCCTGTGCCTGGTCGCCGTCGTCGTCTTCCGGGAAACCATGGGCTTGATGGTGACGCTCTTGGCTGTGGGCGTGTTCTACGTAGCAATGGCCCTAGTCGCCGTGTCCGATGAGTGTAAGCGCCGGCGAGCCACGGAGATTAGGGAGGTCGCGCGAACTGTTCTCCGACACTATCTGCTTTCTCCTGTTTGATTCGCATTCCTGGTTCCGCGTCGATCTCCGGCAAACCACCAAGAATTCGAGATGTAACGATTCCGAGTCGGATGCGGCTTGTGGCAGCACGAGCTACAAATTTTAGAGAAAAGGTCGAAACGACCTTGCTTATATAGAAAGCAAATTTGTCTTGCTGGGTTTTCCAGCTTACATCAAAGTGCATATATACATCACCCAAAAGGGACCCCTCCGGCCCAAAGCACACGAGCTATAGAAATTGGCATCGCAATGCGCAAGTTCGCAACCAAATAAATTGAATTGAAGAATTAAACGACCATCATCCATCACAGCATGAGCATCAGCCGCAACAACAACATCGACGCCGAGATCGATGCGGCGTTCGCGGCCGGAAAGATGCCACTGGAGTGGTTGCCGAGGCTGCAGGCGGCGGGGATGAACGACAGCGACGTGAGCGTGACCGCGGGGGCTATCTCCGAGACCCATCGGGTCGCGGGAGACACCTGGTGGTCCAACGAGAACGTCCCGTTCGAGCTGTTCGGCCTCTTCGGCACCTTGTTCATGTTCGCGCTTGCCATCGTCTACCGCGGAACCAAGGGTTTGATGCTGACTCTCTTGGCTTGGGGCCTAGTGATACTAGTGGAGACCTCCGTACTCGCCGTGATTGATGCGTGTGAGCGCAGGCGGGCCAGGTTGACCAGGGATGTCGCGCGAAAGGTCCTCGAGAACTTTCTGCTTTCTCCTCCTGTTTAATTAATTTTGTAACGTTGACTGGTACAGTTCATACGAGTTTTTTTTTATTATTTTTGAGAAAGAGAGGATATACCTCTTCCATTTCATTAACAAAATGAGAAAACTACATAGTATTTTATAGTCTTACAGCAAAAAGGAACAAGATTCAGCAGAGAGAGAAAAAACAGATACATAACTGCAGAAACACAATAAAGTTTATCACTGGTCCTTAAACTTGTACCGTTGTGTCATCCCGGTCTCTAAACTCGCCAATCTACCGTTCAGGTTCTCAAACTTGTTCGACTGTGTCATCCCGGTCCCTAAACTTACAGATCACTCGTTTAGGTCCTCCAATTTGTTTAGTTGTGTCACCCCGGTCCCTAAACTTGGATTTGAATATCATCTAGGTCAAATAGGACGGTCTAAAGACTTTATATTTAAAAATAATTTATAACTTTTTCATGTGAACTCTAATGAAGACAAACTTTATATCAAACTTGTAGCCCTCGACACGATCTACAACTTTGTAGTTGATTTTTTTTTATTTTTAGTCATTTTTTGTCCCAAAATGTAATTTTAAAATTAATCAAAATCTATAAACATGCAACAATATTTTGGGACCATAAACAATTTTTATTCAAAAATTTTTCAACTACAAAGTTGTAGGTCGCGTCGAGGGCTACAAAGTTTAGGGGAGCATGACAGATGGGGAGCATGACAGGAGGAAGATTCTGATGCTTATCACATGATAGCTCAGGTATTTGGGAGATCGGTTACTTTGGGCCAGAGAAAACTATGAGGAAGAAGATGGAGAATCACTGGAGAACACAGCGGTTGTGCAAATATTGTGATTTTCAGAAAAAAAAAATAGTTGAAGTATTTTACTTTACCATCAATTTTGACAATTTGACCATTCTCAAAAGCTTATTTTAAGAATTAAATCGTGACAAAAATATATTCTAAAAATAAACCGCGACCTTAGCGCCATACCCGATGGCGCTGAGGTCTAACAGAACAGCACCATGTATTTTGGCACTGACCTCAAACATGCGTTAATACACCTACTTGCCCAACTAAATCGAAGTTCTGGTTTCATCTGGTTTCATCGTAGTAGTAAAATCAGCTTGGCATTAATTGTTACCATCCTCCCAAACCAGTTTGTACTATAGAATGACATATGGAAAAAAGTACGAATTACCCCCTAAACTATCACGAGTAATTCGATCGTACGCGATAGTTAGGGGGTATTTTTGTACTTTTTCCTTATTTATTTAACATGTGCCAGAAGGGTTGGCGTTGACCCATGACCAACTACAACGTTACCATCCTCCTAAATCACCATAGTTTGTTCGATAGAATGGCATATTATTTATTTAACATGTACCGAGGGGTTGGCGCTGACCTTCTGCTGGTCTGGTGTAACACGTCAACTCGGCATATATCTCAACGCCAAAATAGGTGGCGCTGTTATGTTGGACCTCAGCGTCATCAGGTATGGCGCTGAGGTCGCGGTTTATTCTTAAAATAAGTTTTTGTCATGGTTTATTCTTGAAATAAACTTTTGAGAAGGACCAATTTGTCAAAATTATGGAAATGTCTGTGTCAATCCTTAAGGTGCCTGAAGTGGCTAACACGAGACCAATAACCCTAATTTGGTATCTACAAGGTAGTCCAACTATTTGATAAGGTAAGTTTTGGCATCAAAACAAAACAAAACAGTCCTTTGTGACAAAGTTTTGTGGTTATTGTGAGAAAAATTAAGGGTGAATAGCTAAAGTGGTCCTTCAAGTTTCATCCGAGGCTCAGTTTAGTCATCGATATTTCAATCTATCCATATTAGTCCTTCAAGTTTTCATTTTAGTTCAAACTTATCTTTGAACCCACTTAGAAGCCACATGGGTAAACATAACCAACAACTCTATTGATAAATGACACTTGTACCCCCTCGTTCACATATATAAGAGAAAAAATTGCATGCAATGAATTTTTTTATAGATAATGCATAGTAATTTATGTAAAACAAAAATAAATTATGTACTTGCAAGTGTATACGATAGCCATTGCTTAAGTTTCATGTGCACATGTTGTAACAATGGAAAATACATATGCAATGTTGTTTATTCATCTTGGTTTTCTCTTATCTAGTGTATAGTTATATACAAATTAAGGGCAAAAGGGATATTTTCTAACATAAATATTGACTAGCAATAGCCATATGGCATATTATGTGAAACAAATACCTAGGGGGACCTATGTGAACAAAATGAAACCTGGAGGACCAAATTGAGCCTTCGGTAAAACTTGAGCAACGACTAGACTAAACTAGCTATTCACCCAAAAATTAACAGATTTACTAAGGCTTCATTCGCCAAAATTATTTTGATGTCTACGGACACATATTTGAAGTATTAAACGTAGACTAATAACAAAATAAATTACAGATTCCGCCTGTAAACTGCGAGACAAATTTATTAAGCCTAATTAATCCGTCATTAGCAAATGTTTACTGTAGCACCACACTATCAAATCATGGCGCAATTAGGCTCAAAATATTCGTCTCGCAATTACATGCAAATTGTGCAATTGGTTTTCAACATTTAATATTACATGCATGTGTCCAAACATTTGATGTGACGTTTTAGACCAAATTTTTATTTTTGGTTGTGTTTAGTTCAGTGCAAAGTTTAGATTTTGGTTGAAATTGGAGATGATGTGAATGAAAAGTTATGTGTGTATGACATATTGATGTGATGAAAAAGGACTGAAGTTTGGATCCAAACTTTGGATCTAAACCCAACCTTTGATCTAAACAGAGCGTGACGTGATCAGTGCGTGTTGGATGGATACCGACTGAGTCAGAGTCCGTTTCCCATGCAACCAACGATCAATCCGAGTCCGGATCAAAAGAGAAAAAAAGGATCAATCCGAGACAAAAGTCCGTTTTGCCGTTGAGTATTTTGACGACGACGTTGACAGAGCGGCGGAGTGGCCTCGCCGGAAGCCGACGTCGCCGCCGGACAAGGAGGAGCAGCAAGCGCGAGGGGAGCTGTACGAGGCCACGGACGCCGACGACGACATCTCGCTCAAGTTGGCCGTCTCCTGCTGCGTCGCCGTCTCCGTCCTCATGTACGGCGTCTTCCGCCGCCTCGTCGTCATATACGACGCCTTCGTCCCCGGCCGGCTCGCCGGCGCCGCCGTCCTCCTGCTCGCCGCCGTCCTCATCTGGCGTGAGCAGCAGGAGCTCAAGCGGGCGGAGGAAGTACATGCATCATCATCAGCAAACTTGCAATAAACGAATTTGCCTTGTTTCTTTCTGCAATTGCTGATACAGTTCCCTATTGCAATAAACGAAAGGACGTGTAGCCTAGTGGTTACATTGACCTGAGTAGTACCCCAAGGTCCTTAGTTCAAATCTTCTATGGAGCGAATTTCAGATTGGGTTGTTTGTGGGGCTAAGTTTCCTATTTCAATGGCCGTATATATCCGGTTGGATATAGAGACCGGGTAAAAAATACCCTTCTCTAAAAAAAATAAAAAAAAAATTGCTGATACAGTTATTAATTTGTAGCAATGTCAGCCAGCAGTGTGAGATGAAAAAAAGAAAAAAGAAAACTGCATCTCAATGTATTTGATGAGAGTTTGTGATGAACTTTCATATCTTGCAAGCCTATATATGATCTGCTATGCTATCTAATTCTACCAAATGGAGAACAGATAATGTCAACCAATCATAAACACTGATGAATAATCTATACAGAAAGTTTTCCCTGTGGTTTCTACACATCAGAATCGTTGAATCTCCAACTGGAACTCACCGCTGTTACTACACACTGCTGAATACACCTCCCCCTACATATTACTCTGCAATTTTCTGCATGCTATCCTATGTTTCTAATCAATCACACAACATGTTTTCGCAAATGCAATGCCAATTCACGGCGTGGTGGATCGACATGGCTCACAAGACTTGCCACTTGTCAGAACTTGGATCATCCGAGGTTTTTGGACAGTTGGTGCTGAGTTGCTAGTGCCTAGTGTGAGCAGGCCCTTGTTGCTTGGTGATCATGATGGACAATTCACTGGAGCTCTGCATCCAAATGTTAAATTCACTATGTTGATCTCAGGTCTCTCTACTAGCTAGCTAATCAGCTGTATGTGTCTGCATCCGATTCGCCACCATCTGTGCCGCAGAAGGGAATATGTTTGATCCTTAAAAGGAAAATAAAAACAGGAGAAAATTGGCAGGGCATTAGGAGTAGCCAACTTAGAACCAGAACTAACAGGAGACATAGATCAGAAGAACTTTACTTATGAGTCTGGGTTAGTACCTGAAACAGCACTGAAGCCATTAACAGTGTGCTGAATGGCTGGCCGTTCATGAAGATTATTATGGTTGCCCTTCACCTCAGCACCATGTTCACCTCTTTCTGCTGAAACCTGTGGCACTGATCCGTGTTGCTGGCTTGGTAATGACTGACAATTGACCCTATGAGTTGTGATTGTAGAAGAGGCATATGGTGCGGAAGATGGCTGAGGTCCTGCTGAATGGCTTGTGCTGGCCGTACCGTTATGAGTTGGCTGTTCACTTGATGTTTCTGTACTACTTGGGTGTATCAAGGCTGTTGAAGATGTAGTAAGCACTGGTGGCTGAGTTGCGTTCGGTGCTTCACCGTCTCCTACCCACCCACGGCCAAACTTTGTTCCTGGGGGAAGGGCACGTTCAATTCGTTTGGACGCAATCTCCCAAGCGACAGGACCTAGCTGCGCAGCAAAACGTGCCAAGCTGCGGGGATAGGACTGCTGCAACTGAACCCCAACCTGACAAATAAAAAGAGTTTTAGTGTCAGTGATGATGTCTTGCTGTTGACAAACATTAATAGAAAAAGGTTGAGATTATATAAACATATATGGTGAAGCACTTATAGACAGGACTCATATTTCGGACACTCAACTGGAACTAGCAGCTTCCTTGTCTCGTTGTATGAGGACGACACCGGCAGCTCATATATTGAACTCGAAGGTTGAGGCTGACAATAAGTGCTTCGGCTACTTTCTTCTGTCAGAATTGGTTTTCTCCCACTTTTTGCTGACCATTTACCGATAGACCCTGCAACAAACGAATGGCATTGCAAGTGGTCAGGAGAAGACATTAAGTTTGTCAAAATGTTCAGCAATTTCCCACTGAGTGTTGACCCATACAAAACACAAAACTTTGATAAAAGAAAATAAATAAAACCTGAGTAATCTTCAATTCTTTCCAATTTGCGCTCGTTAGACCAATTGTATCCATTATTTCGACTGGCAAAAGAAGCTCTCAGTACATCTGCGATAAAGGATCCATTCATTACTTGCCGTTGCAGATCAAATGGTGGCTGCGTACGATGTCCATTATTTCCAACACTAGCGAGTGTTGCTCCAGAAAAGTCTGCAGTAGCGCGTTCTACCGGTGGCTTCCCAACTTTCTGTTTGATAGTGTTCTTATTTGGAGGCCTGCCCCTCCGTGGTTGTGGCTTTGGTTCAGGATCTGGTTTAATTTCCGGTTCTGGTTCTGGCTCACTTGCATCACTATCCTGCCTAAGGTTCTCAAAGTCCTTCTTGGCAAGCTCTTGGATCGCCCGTGCCTATAATACATGGCACACAAATATCACATATGCAGCATACGTTATGGTTACATAAAAACAAAACATGCAAGCATGATTCTTTACCTGTCGATAGTATATTGTATCTGGTGAATTGTAGCACATCGCATTTGAGGTTAACAAGAATACATCATCCTGTAAATTAAAACTTCAGGTCCTGTCATACGAGCTTAAGAAAGCACTAGTAGCATTCTGGTCCACTGAAGGAATAGTGTGTTGCAGAAAGATGAAAATAACAAAAAAAAAAAAGAAGTATTCACATTAGGATGAGCCTTAGGAATGCATAACATTTTTTTCAAAAATATTATGTGCGTGACAGCCTTTTAGCTAGATATGAAATAGTGGGTTCAACACAATGTAAACTGTACACGGTTACAACTAGTGCAGCCTGCAACTTGGACCGAACAGTAGCACATGCAGTACTCAAGAGTGGTATATGAATCAAATTGTTTGTGGTGTGTGCGGCTGAGCCAATGTTTTAAAACAGAAAGGCATGGCATAAAACTAATCAAAAGAATGATGTTGGTGTTATTTAAAGTAAAAGAAAGTCTAACACCCTGTGAAAATACAAATCTATGATGTCTGGTACAAATAAGTGGATCAGATATGTCTGAAATGGTAGGAGATGGTAGCAGACAAGTAAAACTTCATTTGATAGAAGCTGCAGCAGATATCACAGAAAACCTTCCTAGCATCATAATTAAAGAAAGTTCATATATTCTCATTTTACAGTTGTCTATCTCATATTTCCAACAACACATAATTCCAACCTGAGGCTCAACACACTTTATAACAGTTGATGTGTTAGCACTTAGCAGCATTTTCATATTAAGTACTTGTGATTTCTTTTGAGTGTGACTTGAATATGTACTGCAAACATAAACACACATGCATAAGACAAATAAATTCCAGTGTCATACAGAGTATTAAAGCAAATTTCATAAAAGAAGAAAGGCATTCAAAAACTCTCGTCTTATTGTAGATACTACCAACTAACTTAGATGATATCATCCAAGCACCCTTCATGGCTAAATGGCCCAAAAATCCTTTGATTTAGCCAGAAACCACAAGTACAGTAGAATTAAACATACAGTGGCATGGGATATCTCAGTATTCAAGAGTTCCCTCCATGCATATTAACAGGGCAAAGGACTTTCCCTTGGTACAATTTAAATTCAGCAAGCTAAGCATAACACAGAAACCAAAGATGATCTTTGAGAAAAGCACCACCCAGGAATGATAGACAATACATCCTCTGATAGCCTACCACAATTAGCTGACAGAAATTCCACATCCAGAAGTCAATGACACTGCATGAACTGCAGCATAAAGAAGGATAACTCAAGCGCCAAATATAGATACAAATATATCCTTCTTGTTTCCCATTTCAAGATATACAGGTTTTCTTCGGTCAAATGTCCAAATAGAGCAAACCAAGAAAACTGCATAAGATAGGTTTGTGAATTTTGTTCATACTTTTTCTGTTAGAATTCCTTTAATACAATCAATAGCAGTAACTCCTGGCAGCTGCGTAGGTACCCTTTGGAAGAAACTTATTATGTGCACTTTTACAAGATAAAATGTAGCTATATTTTACTGTACTAGCCCTCAAATTGTTGAGATTTTTCAATATTCTCCTAGGGAGATCAGGTGTAACTGCAAAATCTTGTACAGATGGAATATTGTCACTGAAAGTAACTTGGCAGCAAACTCGAAGGTTTCTATTATATTATTCATATTAAATGTTTCTAGCTCTTTTGATTAAGAGTCAGAGAGTGAATATCTGCTCCTAAAAAGCACGGTGCATTAGTGCACCAGTATAAAATAGACTTTTTTTAAATGACCACGGTAGTAGATACCAAAACTTCATTAATGAACTTCTGGATATGAAAGAAAATATATTTATGGATGCTGAAAGAAGAACAAAATAAAAACATTGGCACTGGGCAGCACATGTAGCAGAGGAGGCTAAACTAGCTGATCCAGCCAAAGGACATAACCAAGTTAAAGACCCAACATTCAAATCCAACTGCAACAGACCAAGAGTTACTCTAATTGCCTACCACACACCTGACTGTTAACGAAGGAAAATCGAAACAGCACAGGAAAGGCCAACAAAAATCACCATACGCTCTGACACTGACCTCAAATTGCTCCAAGTTGCCATAAGCCCCTTTATTGAGCTTCTTCCGAATTGTTGAAAAATCCATTGGATGCTTGATAATATCATGGTAATCAGGCAGCTGGCCATGGATACGCATTAAGATACAGATCAATCAACTCCAGAGAAACAAAACAAAGAAAACCTAATATCTGAAACATTATCATCTTCAAACACAAACCTCTTCGGGGTCAACAGGGTCAGAGAATACACCATATGTGTCCTTCCTGCAAGAAACCAGGAAATCCACCTTAGGTTAGAGGTCATGCAGCTGTGAATGAACTGAACCCGAGGAAGAGCAAGCAGAGAGCACAGCAACTCACTTCTGCAGCCTATCAAGGACGAAGACTAACAACTTTTTGTCCGGCAAAGGTGTCGTGGGCCCGGAATCTGACGGCTCTGGCGAGTGAACAAATCAACCCACGAGCACGAGCACAGCAACAATCAGAGGCAGAGGCACAAGCATTAATTAAACCAGAAAAAATAACTGGAATGCCTCAGGCACTAAAAGAATTAAAAATGGCATCTTTCATACACATTCGCCCAGGTGTTTTTTGTTCCTAGAAATCTCAAGAATAAATGCATCTGAGCAAGGAACACCAACCTTCACTCCCATCCGTCGCTTTCCTCGTCTTTTCTCCCTGCGGCAGCAACAGCAAAAGATAAAAAGAAAATCAAAACAGACAGAAAAAAAAAACTCAGATTAAGAATCCAAAATAATGGAGGAGATAAAAGCACAAGAAAAAAGTGGGGCTTTCGTTTACCACAGCGCCTGTAACCAAGTACAGATCTAGCGATGCCGTGAAATGTAGCAAAATTTGGCGCGAGAAGCAGACAAAACCCTCCCCCCATAAAAAGGGCACGACTTTAAAAGCTTCGAACTGAGCCATTTTAAAAAAAAAGAATTGTGCGCCAATTATTGTCGCCGCAGGCAAGGCGATGCGGGAGATGCGAGGGTTTTTGGTTTATCCCCCGCCAAATGATTGGGAGAGCTCGCCGCTGAGCTGAGTTGACCACTGCACCTTGTCACAAAGATAAATAAATAAAGGGCGACCTTTTCATGCCCAAAATAGCAAAGAAAATTCCTCGGGCGGCGCGCGGCTGCGCAGATCCGTACGGCGAACCCCTGGCGGCACCAGAATTAGGCCAAATTCCGCGCGGAATTGGCCAAATTGGCGCGGATTCGGAGCGGGGGGTCTCAGATCGGGTAAGGGGAGGGAAGGGGAACGAAAACGATGCCCACCTTGGCCGATCCGTCGGGGAGGCCCATGACGAGGCGGAGCTTCTTCTCGCGGCGGCCGCCGGGTGCCGTCCCCTCGTCGCCGGAGTCGACGCCGGCGGGGTTCCTCCGCGTGGACCGCCGCGGCTGCGGGGGCGGTGGCGGCGGCGGCGGCTCCTGCAGCTTCTCGAGGCGGAGGGTCCGCTTCTGGAGGTCGAGGAGGGAGGGCCGCCCCTTCTTCTTCCGCTTCCGCGGTGGCGCCGACATCGCCGCCGGTGGCGGCTGCGGCTGCTGCTTGCCCATTCCCGGCGAGGCGTTTCCTTTTCCTTTTCCTTTTTTTCCTTTTTTTTGCCCTTTAATTTTGGTGGCGTTTTGGCCTGTGCGAGAGGAGTCGGGTTTGCGTGTTGGGAGGCGTGGTGGTGCGGTGTGCGGGTGGGTGGACTTTTCGGTGTGTTTTTTTTCTTTTTTTTTTTTTTTGGTGGTAGTGTTTGGGAGGGATAGCACGTGAGGCGCGTGTGCGGGAGCACTGGAGTGGGCGAGGTGGGCCCACGTTGCAGCTGGCTGCTGTTGGTTGCGTGCGCGGGTAAACTATGGAGATGTGCTACTAGCCTACTACTGCGCGGTTTGCGCTTTGGATACGGTTAGTACTGCTGTCCTCTGTGCACAGTATCAACCAAATTTTTACAGGGTTTCTTAGCAAAAGCGAACATTTTTAATTACACGAAAGACATGTAGTACGTTTAAAGAAATGTATACGTTCAAATGCTTAACTTTAAATAAAAATACGGTATATGTCGGGCTCATCGGTTGTGCATATGTGGATAATACGTCGTATGACATATTAGCAAAATAATAATAATGTATAAGTAAAATTTATATATATATATATATATATATATATATATATATATATATATATATATATATATATGTTCTAAGTAGTAATTTAGAAACCAATACTGTAAAAATAAATTAGAAATCAATTTTTAAAATTTAAATTTGGGTAGCGACTGATTCCAATATAAGACAAACGATGGGGTCGTAGATTTGTATTTAAAAGTACTTCATACTATCGTAAGCTTATTAAACTTTTCTACTTTATCTATTTCAAATTATTTGGTTCTTTTCTAAGTCGAACATGTTTTTCTTTGATTATTATTTTTTTTAAAAAAACCCGTGCAATTTAATAACAGTGAATTATATATTATGAAAATATTTGTCATGATGAATTTAAAAATATATGTTGAACTATATGAGTTTAGAGGAGTTGATGATCGAGGATCAAACACTTGAGACAAAGTAATTTGAAAGAGAGTATTACAGTTTCGCTTTGAAGTAATTCATCAAATTACTGGGCTTGACTGAAGCAGCCCACTAGCTGTGCATTTAGCTGGGCTAGTCCACTCAAAGAAAAAGGTTGGGCTTCTTCAAGGCTTTCAGGAGAGTCCGGACTTGCAACAAACGGGTTGGTCTTATAGGCCGTAAGCCCACATTTGACTACTTTTTGACCCAACCTGATCCAAACCAGGGTTCCTCCAAACCAGGGAAAACGTCCACTTTGACTCCCTTAATTGTACGCTGAATCTAATTCATACCCCTCAACTAGAAAACCGGATAGGACGACTCCCCGAACTATTGAAACCAGTGTAATTTGACTCCCTCAGCGGTTTTGGACAACGGTTTTGCTGACGTGGCGCTGATGTAGCAGTGTTGACCTGGTCTTCGTCCCACGTGGCGCTTACGTGGCATTAGAATTAAAAAAAATATCTATGGGACCCATCTGTCATTCACACACAAATATATATTGTGGGACCCACTAACATGTGGGCCCACATGTCATCATTTCTTCTTCCCTTCTTCCTCTTCCCTCTCTCTCCCTTCTCTCTCTTTTCTCTCCCCCTTTTCTCTTCCCCTTCGGACGCACGATGGCGTCGGCGGCCTCGTCGTCGGCGGAGCTGGAGGCCCCCTCCTCCTCCTCCTTAGGGGTGGAAAAAAAGCTTGGGCTTGTGAGCTCGGCTCGGGCTTGGCTCGAGCTCGCTTAGCTCGGCTCGGCTTGAATGCCAAACGAGCCTAGCCCAAGCTTCCTTTTAAGCTCGGTTCTGAAACGAGCCGAGCCCGAGCTGGCTCGCGAGCCGTTTGATTTGGCTCGTGAGCCTAGCCATCATGTATTTATATTGACAATTTTATTTACTAGTGGAGTTATTATTTGTCAATATGTAATTTATCATCTATAATTTGATGAATTTAATATATAAAGTTATTTTAATTTTACATGTTGATGATTTGTTATTGCTTTTCTTAATGATTACAAATTATATAGCTTCAACGGAAGGCTCGCGAGCCAGCTCGAGCCAGGAAACGAGCCGAGCCGAGCTCATGTTTTAGCTCGTTTCCCTAACCGAGCCGAGCCAAGCCAAGCCTAGCTTGTTGCAAGCCATTGCAAGCCGAGCCAAGCCAAGCCCGCTTGGGCTTGGCTCGGCTCGTTTCCACCCCTACTCCTCCTCATCCTCCTCCGAGAGGTGCTTCTCGTCGTCGGAGTAAATGAACAGGCCCTGAAATGTAAATGAACAGAGTGCTAGTACTACTACTCTATCGCCGGAAACGACCCAAAACGAGCAGTGTCCAAATCGGAGATTATCAACGAACCAATTCCATCCATTACTACCTCGCGTGCCTAGTGCATGGTCCCACCCGCGACGAGGATGGACAGCACGACAGAGCACGCCACGGCCAGCGCCGCTGACGCCGCGCCCCACTGCAGCCGCGCCCGTGACCGGCGCCGGCGCTGGCAGCACGCCTCCGTCCACCGGCGCCGACGCCACCGACACGGACATGACGGCCACCGCCACGACCACGGCGAGCAATACAACGCCCTGAGATGCCATCGCAGGAATGATCGAGTACGGCAAGCGACGCATAAGCACCCGGCGGGCGCGCTCGGAGGCCGCCGTCCCAGGGGCGCGGGCGCGCGGGGCGCTAGACGCCGTGGGTGCGACGCGTGGTGGGCCTCGCCGCGACACGTTGGGCTCGAGGGTGGCGTAGGGTGGCACTTGCGGAGCAGCTTGAGGAACTTGTCGCTGGGCTTGCTGCGGCGGCGAGGGCGGTCGGCGGGGTCATCGGAGCGCCTAGGCTTCTTGCCGAGGCGCCCCTTGCCCTTCTTCCGCCTTGCCGCCAGCTTCTTGCGCTTGTGGTGGTTCGACGCGGCGCCAGCTGGCGGTGGATGGAGAAGACAGAGGCTGCGGGGCGGCGGCGGAGACCACGGGGCTCTTCCACCGGGAGCAACCAACCCCTCGATTTTATCTTATTGAGGATGGAGCTAGTTGGCCGGCGAAATCCCTCGCCGCCGCCGCACGCCGGTGGGGAATGGCGTCGTCGGCGAAGAAAGAAGAGAGGAAGGGAGGAGGCGGCGGCTGGGCCTTGGGGTGGAGGGGACACTAGAGAGAAAATGGGGAGAGAAAAGACGGAGAAGGGAGAGAGAGAGGGAGGAGGAAGAAGGGAAGAAGAAAGGATGACATCTGGGCTCTACATGTCAGTGGGTCCTACAATGTATTTGTATGTGTGAATGACGGATGGGTCCCATAGATATTTTTTTTAATTATAATGCCACGTAAGCGCCACGTGGGACGAAGACCGGGTCAACATTGCCACGTCAGCGCCACGTCAGCAAAACCGCTGTCCAAAACCGTTGAGGGAGTCAAATTGCACTGGTTTTAATAGTTCGGGGAGTCGTTCTATCCGGTTTTTCGGTTGAGGGGCACGAATTAGATTCGGCCTACAATGAAGGGAGTCGAAGTGGACTTTTTCCCCAAACCAGGCTTGACAACTGTTCAATCTGGCGCAGTTGACGAGTTTAGGCGTTAGGGCTGAACCAAAATAACCAACTATTCTTTTTTTTTTCCCCTTTCTCTCTAGACTAGCGTACTAGAGGAATTAACCGATCATCCAGTTGACTTGAAAATGTTCATCGGTTAGTTATACTCAAACTTGTACTAGTATATATATTTTGTGAAAAGAATAAAGTTTATGAAATTACCCCCCAGCTATAAAAGCTACTACTCCCTCCGGGTTGATAATACTCGTCGTTTTAGACAAGAGCACGGTTTTCAAAATACAACTTTGACTATTATTTTCCATTATAATATGTATAAAAGTGTTAACAAATATACGATTTTATTAAAGTACTTTTTAAGGCTAATCTATACACGTAATCACCATATTTGAATGACAAATATTTTAAAAATGATTCATAATCAAATATTCTAAAGTTTGACCTCACCCTTGTCTAAAACGACAAGTATTATCAGCCTGGAGGGAGTACTAGTGTTTGCAAAAATATCGACCATATCTCTTTCTTAAAGCTGAGGCATGCGAAAAAGAAGAGGATTAATTAATGAATGTTAAGGATAAATGAGTAACGACATCAATTTCTTATCATCCTTTTTCATGCTAAACATTCTTGCCATTCTTTCACATTAAGATATAACCAAAACACCTTTCCCTATCAAATTTTCTTGGGTAGGTTTAGAGCCCATCTAGTTGAGTTGATCACCTTAAGCCTTATAATATCACTCTTAACAAACAACAGTGTTCTCATCGTCCCTCTAGATCTGTGAGAGTCATGTTGTTGTTAGAATTCTGAGCGCCCTGGCTACCATTTCTTACTTGCTCTACTTCATTGTTGTTCCTTTGTGCAAAATAAGCCGGTCTATTTGGAGCTGGGAGTGACTTGCTTCCTTTCTCCAAGATGAGCACAACATCTGACATGAGTGGCCTGTCATTGAGATTCTCCTGAACACACAGGAGGGCCACATGGATGCAGAGAATGACTTCATCCAATAAGCAGTTTGCAGTGATAGTTGAGTCTATCATAATGTCTGCCTTCCCTTCATTCCATAGATTCCATGCCTGCATCCATCAGATTTACACCTCAGGTGTATAAGTGATTACCGGTTCATAAAATGGATCTTTGTATAAGTGATTGCAAAATCATAAAATGGAATGCTTACATAGACTGGAAGATTTGGGGAGTCCTCAATGAGATCAATAGAGCTTATCTTAGAACCGCTTACTATCTCTAGAAGTAAAACGCCGAAGCTGTAGACATCGGACTTCATTGAAAAGATACCTCCCATAGCATATTCAGGAGCCATATAGCCACTAATTGGATCATACCACTTCAAATAGTTAGTCCACACATAGAATTGTAAAAAAAAAAAGGTTAATTAATCTGTGCAAATGGTTTGGACAATACTCACTATGTTCCAACAACTCGTTTAGTGACTTCCTTTTGCTGGTTGTTGCCGAAAATCCTTGCCATACCAAAATCCGATATCTTTGGGTTCATCTCTGCATCCAACAAAATGTTGCTTGCCTTAAGATCTCTATGGATAATTGTTAATCTTGAATCTTGATGGAGGTAAAGAAGTCCTCGGGCAACCCCTTTGACGATCTTGAACCGTGTGGACCAGTCCAACACTGATTTTCTTTTACCCTCTGCAAATAAGCAACACTATTGATTAGCATCAATGGTTTATTGTGTGTGACAATTAGGCAACTTGTGGTGTGATAGACTGCTAGTAGAGAACATACTGAAAAGAGAAGCATCTAAGCTCTTGTTGGGCATATACTCATAAATCAGCAACTTTTCATCTCCTTCGATGCTGCAACCGACAAGTCGAACAAGGTTTCTGTGCTGTAGTTTGGCAATTAGGACCACCTCATTTCTGAACTCCACTATTCCTTGTTCAGACCAACTGCTAAGTCTTTTGACTGCAACTTCCCGGCCATCTAACACTCCCTTCAGAAATATAAAAGAAACATCATCACTGAATACTCACATGTTGTATTTTGAATGATTTTCTTTTTCTTCTTCTTTTTTTTAAGAAATTTACATCACACCATAAACTTTGGGTGTTTGTTTATCTGAAAGTTCAGGAGGATCAGCTTGACTCTGCATTTTCTTTCTTCAGAAATTATCTAGGTCAGCATATGAATGAGTTACCTTGTAAACTTTGCCAAAACCTCCTTTTCCAATCAAAGATGCTTCAGAAAAGTTGTCTGTTGCAACTAGGATCTTGTCATATTCAACAAATGGAAACTCAAGATCTTTGGCTGGGATTTCCTGCCCAAGATCATCAGAAATGCTCAAAACTCGCAAGGCCCGCCTCTTGTTATTCTCCCCATATTTTTTCTTGATAATTTCTTCATTATATTCGCGAAGAAAAATGAGGTAGGGTATTAATGCATTGAACATGTATCACCTTACCCATGGACCTAAAGTACTAAACTTCATGAAAATAAATATGGGTACCTTTGATCTTGGGAGCACATATTAAAATGCATATGGGTATAAGAACACTTGCTAAAACTATTGGAAGTGCAAATCTCAGTGCACTAGTCCTTGGCTTCCTACCTGCAAAGTAAGAACCTTGATTAATTTGCATCAAGCTAACTAGTGTTTGAAATACTTTTGCAAAGCATATATAATTCCACTCTATATATGAAATTGTGATCAGTTTTTTCTTCTTATAGAGTTTTTTTATAAAAATATTTACAGAGGATCAGTAGTGTTGAGACAAGGCTGCAGAACAAAATCCCAAACAAATGATGACAAATGTGTAGTGGTGTGTCTTCCGTGTAATCTTAAAATTAAAAAAAAATCCAAACACCAGGTACATATCAAGGTTTTAAATCTCCAGCTATAGCCGTCGCTATCTCCGGCAATAACTTGTCTGAGAAGAGTTCTAGCTATTTGCTCTCATATACAATTAACCGCTATAGCTCCATTTAGCTTGCTATGTCTTAGCCCGCTATTTTAAACACTGGTACGTACGTTTACATACCTGCACCTGCAAGCCGGAGGTAGAGCGTCTCACCGAAGTCACCCCATGTCCCGACCACCTTCTCCATGTCCACCAAGTCGCCGCCCCAAACCAAACACCTCGTCGCATCCCTCGTGGAGCTCCCGGTGAGGTTGGCGTAGGCGTACGCCACGCAGGAGCAGTTCCGGCGGCACTCCGCCGCGCACTCCTCGTAGCTCCGGTTGCCCACGTGCAGGTACCAGTCGGGCAGCTTCAGGTTCGCCACCGCCACGAACCCGTCGCCGCACCGCACCGCCTCCCTCCGCCGGCACCCCAGCGTGAAGTCGCCGCGGCTCCAGCCGGCGGCGCTCGCCGGCTCGAACCCCGGGAGGCAGTAGCACGTCGAGGCGGTGGCCGTGACGTCGCCGCAGTAGCCGAACGGGCCGCATGAGCCGAACGCGCTGCACGCGCGGGTGGGGTACTCGGCGAGCGTGGCCCACGACGACGTCTCGGTGCTCCAGCTCTGCAGGCGGAGGTCGCCGGCGTAGCCCAGCGTGTACTGCATCGGCGGCGCGCCGTCGGACAGTGTGAACGCGGCGTAGATCTCCTCGTCGGTGGAGACGACGGCGGTGTAGATCGCCGACCTGCCGCCCTTCTGGTAGTTGCTGTCCACCACCATGTAGCCCTTCCATGGGTTGGAGCGCCAGTAAACGCGCGAGCCTTTCCAGATGACCACCTGCAGCGGCCGGTCCGGGTCGCCGCCGAAGGAGAAGTTCCCCGGCGACGGGTCGGTGGCGCCCTTCCATGAGACCAGTCGCACGCCGCCGCGCGTCCGGTAGGTGACGCCGATCTTCATGCCGGGCAGGAACGCGTTGCCGGGGTTCTCGAACGTCTCCCACAAGGCGGTGCCGTCCGGCAGCCGGAGCACGAGGTTGCCGGAGTTGGCGAGCACCGCCACAGCACCGACTCCTCCTCCCGATGACGCCGACGAGTTCACGCCGGCGGTGACGTTAGTCCTCCAAAGGACGCGGCCGGTGGCGCCATCGGACAAGACCAGGTTGCCGTCGCTGGCAACGGCTAGCGTGGAGGCCGGGGAGGAAGGATGGTCGGCGATGGGCGCCGCCTGGTCGGCGACCCACACGACGGTGAGCTTGGGGATGTTGTTGTACCATATTCCGAGGTAAAGTCCCGACGAGGTAGCATTAGTGGAGTTGGACGACGGCGAGAAGAAGCCCATGGCGAAGGCGCCGCCGTCGGAGACGAGGGTTGCGCCGGGAGACAGCGTCTTGCCGATGGCAAGCCGGTCGTCGGAGGCGCACAGTGACGGCCATGAAATCAAGAAAACGAAGAGAAGGATGGCGATGCAAGTGGAAGCTGAAGCTGGCCAATCCATTGATGATGAGCTGACCTGACCTTGCACTTTGCAGTTGTGCCTGAACTTGTGGAGATGGAGCTAACTTCACCCTTACATAGTGTTCAAGTGTGCATGCAGATTGGAGAAGATTCAGAAATTTGTAAGTTGCAGAAGATTTAGAAATTTGTAAGTTGCAGGTGACTAGCTTTCTGTATCATATCAACGCTACATTTCAGGATTCATGTGGCAGGTGAAATGAAGTTGGGGGTTCACTGTACCAGCCAAGAAGGGACAGATGTATACTTAACCACCAAAGAACCCAGCTTGTGCAGTAGTGGTTCTTAATACGAGTCTTTTACCCCTATGCCATTAAAAAAGTTGGAGCTTACGTGTGTGCCACGAAAAAGTTTTGAGTTACCTGTATGCCATGACACAAACTTTCGTTTACCTGTGAGCCACTTTGGATGGAATCAGCACTAACGGAGACTAACAGAGGTTTGAAAAGTCTATTTTGCCCTTGCTCTATTTCAGCCACGCTGGCGGCGGCGGCGTGACGGCGACGACCGGCGGCGGCGGCGTGCCGCGCCGGGGGCGAGGCGAGGCGGCCTTGGGGCGCCGGCCTGGGCGCGCCGCCGGCGAGGCGACGCGAGACGAAGCGAGGCGGCGGTGGCACGCCGGCGATGGCGACGACCGGCGGCGGCGGCGGCTTGCCGCGCCGGCCTGGGCACGCCAGCTTGGGCGCGCCGCCGGATCTGGCGAGGCGAGACGACCGGCGGCGGCGCGCCGGCGATGGCGACGACCGGCGGTGGCGCGCCGGCGACGGAGACGGAGACGACCGGCGGCGGCGGCAGCTAGGCTAGGGTTCGAGTGGAGGCGCACGGGAGAGGAGTAGAGATGAAAATGCTTTAGGGGCAATTTAGTCATTTTCATACGTGGGTCCCACATGTCATAGCTCATTCTCTAACAGAAGGTGGATGGAATGGCACACGGGTAAACGAAATTTTGTGTCATGGCATACAGGTGACTCAAAACTTTTTTGTGGCACACGCGTAACCTTCAACTTTTTTAATGGCATATGGGTAAAAGACTTACAGTAATATCGAGTATTGGCAAATGGCAAGTAGCTAAACAGAGTTATGCCAAAATCAACAAGTAGTAAGATAAGATTAATTCCACACGTTTCAGTGAGATACTGACAACTAATGAGACAATGATTGAACTCTTAGAGTAAAGTCAACTAACCTTTCCAATTAAGCTGCAACAGTCTAGCTTATCATATTAATGCTACATTTTCGGACTCATGTGGCTGGTGAGATGAAATTGGGGCGTACCAGCCAGAGATGTGACAGGTATTAACGTATAATGGTATTTGCTTCTCTTCGAGTGGAACGATTCAAACAAGATGGTCACCTTGTAATTTCTGTTTGGAAAATGCGTTTATGTGCTCCTGTATTTGATATAACAGTAGTAGTGCTTCATATTTTTGTCGCCAAATTGAGCACTAATTAGTAATTACTCGCTCTCTCCATCAAAAAGATTTAAATCCTATCAACGAATCTAGAAAAAGCGATGTTTAGATTTATAGTCATAAGTTAATTTATTTTTGAACGGAGAGCGTATTAAACTAAGGGTCCCATCGAATCGATTACCTAAAAATAAATTATAAGTCGTATCAGCTTATTAGTGATAAAAACTAATTTATATGTAAAACTTTTAAATATGTGTTTGTAACGTGACGGAGCTCGTGGCTCCTCACCGGGAGACCGCACAGGCCCCCCTTTGCCGGTTCGGCCGGGGGCTTAGGGTGAAATCTCAAGCTCTCTCGGTATGTGGAAAGATCGCCAGCTAGGAAGAAACGCGAGACACGGGCGATGTATACAGGTTCGGGCCGCTGGGAAGCGTAATACCCTACTCCTGTGTTTTGGTGGATTTGTGTATGCACAAGTAACAAAGTGTCAACCAGCCCCCAATCGCTCTGGGATCGGATCTGGAGAAGGCCTTGTGTCCAAAAGTCCTCTCTCTATCTAAGTGGGCAAGGTCCTCCTTTTATATCTCAAGGGGATACCACATGCCCCTCTCCCTCTCCAAACTGGACTGTTCTTCTCTTCATAAACGGACGGAGATCGGTACGGTTGCTGTCCGGGTGCCCTTCTGACGGGACGGCCCATATCTACCCCACTTCCGCCGGAAACAGGTGCGACGTGGGATTATGGCTGTCTGTTGATGACGCGACCAGTGTCAGACTGGTCACAGATCAGTCATCCTTGTCCACCACGTGTCAGCTTAGCAACGTGCATGTTTGCCCTTCTTCATGTAGCATCTTGCCTGTAATGGTTGGGATGAAGCCTGGTATAAATCTAACCAGGGCTAACGTGCCATCTCTAAGAGATTACACGCTAGCTCCGGCTTGAGACGAGTGCCTAGAGGCTTTCGTCTTGACGGGATGGGGCAAGGCGTGCGTCAGACCGCCAGTCGCCACCTAACCCGTGATCTGACCGGTCTGTGACTGGTCACAGACCGGATAAAGGAACGCGCTGCACTACGCTGCATGCAGCGTGACACGTTCGACCAGACCGCAATAAATGTGGTTAGGTGAGGCTTACCGTGTTCACCCAACCCATTCATGTGGCGCTAACTCCACAAGGGGTCGGGGCGCCTCGGCCCTCGGGGCCGGGGCAGGAGTCACCCGACCCCCCCTCGAGGAAATCAGGAGGAGGGCGGACACCTCACCCTCGGGCCCGACGTCCCCGAAGGTGCCAGGCCACGTGGGCGATTGTGTCTGCCTCAAGCCTCTGGTCACGATACTCCCGGTCCCATATCACCGACATAACGACTTAAAACCTAATGATAAAAATAAATTTTGTTAAAAATATCATAAAGTCAACTTCAAAATTAATTTTTAATTTTAACTTATTCTTTTGGCAACCGATGGGCTCTAATTTGTCACGTTTCAGTACCGATTATGATCTTTAAGAGTAAGGCACGGTCAATTTTTTTCTCTATCTCGGAGCAGGTCAGATTGTATTTTCTTTTATAGGTTCTTTCTGTATTTTTGGTTAAAAACAAAAAAATTTCAGTAGAATGATTGCTTCTGTTCTGCTAAAATACAAGCCAAGGGGGAGGGGCTGAGACAAAAATATGGAATGTTAGTAGGGTGTATCTGAAAATATCCACTTGATGCCTACTATCAATCTGGGCCGTTAGTACTTTGATCTAACGGTACGTGACCGCATTTCAAACCGCCGCTGCCGGCGCTCGTCGCCTCGCCGCGGCGTCGTCACTGTTCCGGCTCGTCGCCGCGCGCGCGCGCGGCCGCGCGGGGCTCTCCCTTGCTCTGCCACTCTACTGCCATGGGCGACCGCTTCCTCTTTTATCCCCTTGTGTCCTCCTGCATGGCCTGGCCTGGACTGGACCTGAGAGTTGCTGGTGGCGCCGCCGGCACGGCGCCTCCTACGTGTTCGACGGAATGCCCAAGCCGTTTCACCCCTGCTGGTGCTGCATCTACCTGATCCATCGTACCATTAATTAGCCCGGTCAGTGGGAAGTGGGAACGGTAAAAGAGCACCTGCGCTGTTTAAAGGTTTGGAGGTTTGGGAATGGAGCTTGCCGATGTAGCTGGTGAAGAAGAAGCTAAAAGCCAAGGTGATGGATTGTGGTCTAATTACCTAGACATCGAGCATGTGAAAACTGTATCCCCTGAGACATAAAACAGGTTCTTACTATTTATTCAGATGTTTTAGTTCGCTCATTAGTACAAAGACATTATCAGGACTAATGAGGTACTTGTCAATTGTCATCAGATGTGCCAGGGAATGCCATCTGATAGCTGGCATGGTGAAAACATGAAGCATCCGATACTTGGAAACGGTTTGTCCCTTACTTCTACTCTTTTACATGTATATGTAGCATGCTCATTCTGTTAAGAGTATTGAGGGTATTATAGACATTTCTACTTCTCTTGTACATATTTATATGCTCTTTGAGCTAAGTCAATTGCAATAGTTGAAATCCCCAATTTCTATCTTCTCTCCAAAAGTGACATGGTATCAGAGCAAGGGAGCAAACCCTAGCCGTCGATCCAAGTCCACGCCGGCACGCCGGCGGCGGCTCGCCGCCGGCAAGCCCAACTAACCCGTCCACATCCTCATTGAGTAGTAGTAAGTGCAACAGCACCGTTGTCAGCTCAGTTTCGTCCCCAATCAGCAAAGGTTCTAGCAGCAGCACCACTTCCTCGTTCTCCTGTCATCAAGTCCATCGACAGCCCATCGCGGCGGAAGTCGCGGTCATCGCCGCCGGTCGCGCGCCATCCGTGCCGCCCAGATCTGGGCCGCCGCCCGCCGCATCAAAGGCAGTCGTCATCACTGATTGTTGCTTTCTCCTCTTCAAGCGGCAGCAGCAGCGAGCCTGTCGTTCTCCAGTTCATCTCCAATGAGCAAACAAACAGGAGCAGCAATCAGCCAATCAGTGCCCCCGTCGTGGGTGCTCGTCCTCCGCCGGCCAGGCCCTCGTCGTCCATTGCGGCAAGCCGCTGCCGTCCACCCATCGAGCCGGCCAGCCGCCGATGCTCATCGTCATCATCTTCTCATCGTCCCAGGCTATTCCTGAACTTCAGATCCACATCAACCCCTCTCTCCGTCTTTGTTTTTCTGTTGCGTGTATGCTCATGGTCAAGTAGCAACAGGATAGATAGGAGCAGATTTGAGGCTCTTGGACTCTTTGGTTATGCAGCTGGGTTACAGCTAATTAGTGATTGAAGAATGGGTTCCTGCTACTGTCATTGTTCTTTTTGCAGCCACTACTATCGATAAGCCTTCAAATCAATTTCATGTCTTGGTCATCAATTTACTATATTTCATATCAAGTCCATCCAAGTCCAATACTCCAATGCATATCCTTTAATTTGTTGAATTTGCACCAGTTCATCTCTTTTGCTACTACTTAGTGTCTGCTACTATCATTGAGTCAAATTTCTCTACAATTTATCGAGTCAATCCAAATCCATTGCTTACCCTCAATTCGTCAAAGTCATGCCAATTCATCTCTTCATTGTCTTTTCTACATCACCAACTCGCTGTCAGAGTTGGCTTTAATCATCACCAGTTCCCCGTCGGAGCTGGCCTTCATTGTCACTTCATCATCTCCATGTCGGAGCTTGTCAACATGATCATCATCACTCAGTGAAGGTCCGAAGAACAGTTTGTGAAGGGCCTTCATCAACATCAATGTCTCATCATCAGTCAAAGGACCGAAGAACAGTTTGTGAAGGTCCATTGTCATCATCATCATCATCATCAACATCTCCGAATCAATGAAGAGCCGAAGAACAGTTTGTGAAGGCTCCAAGGTCCAGTTCATTGAGAAGGGGATACATCTTTTCTTCTTCATCATCCTAGAATTGGCACACTTCGACGACATCATCAAGGCTTTGGAGATAGGCTAATATTTGGATTGTGTTCTAGTGTTTAGTTTACCTTTCAAATGCAATGTTATTGCATACACATTGCATTTGAGTGGGGGTGTTAAGAGTATTGAGGGTATTATAGACATTTCTACTTCTCTTGTACATATTTATATGCTCTTTGAGCTAAGTCAATTGCAATAGTTGAAATCCCCAATTTCTATCTTCTCTCCAAAAGTGACACATTCTGTGACAACAATACATATCAAACCGTCAATTATCAAGACTCATGTCTTCTGATCTCAAATTCAATGAATGTTGAGCCATATTGAAAACAGTTGATGTTGAGGAGTGTCTTTCTTATTGGGATCTTTGCACTGGGCACTCCTGCAGGTCTTTCACATGAAGACATCACTGAAGTACCTAACACTACCAACTTCTTGAATGCTGTTGACGTAATCGAGCCCATTTGACCACCTCTTAGTACTCTATCGCCCCTCCATAACTGTAAGAGTGACTGTGTTGTTTGAGTTCTGAGTGTCATCTCTTGGTTGCTCCATTTCGATATCCCTTTGCGCAAAGTAAGCAGGTCTATTTGGGGCTGGAAGTGAATTGCTTCCATTCTCCAAAATAAGCATAACAGATGACATGAGTGGCCTATCATTTAGATTTTCCTGAACGCACAAGAGTCCAACATGGATGCATAGCATGACCTCATCTAATAGGCAACTTGCCACAATAGATGGGTCAATCATGTTTTTTGCCTTCCCTTCATTCCATAGGTTCCACGCCTGAATCCATCATATTGATAAGTTAATTATATAAGTATAACTTGCTTCTCTTCAAATCCTTCTGCAAGTAAATGAAGTGATTACAAATTCATAGAATGGAATACTTACATATATTGAAAGATTTGGGAAGTCCTCAATGAAATCAGTAGAGCTTATCCTAGAACCGCTTACGATCTCCAAAAGCAGCACACCAAAGCTATAGACATCGGACTTCATAGAAAAGATACCTCCCATAGCATATTCAGGAGCCATGTAGCCACTAGTTGGATCATATCACTTCAAAAAATTAGTCCGTGCACAGGGTCCAAACAAATGTTAATTCGCGATGGTTCGAGCATTACTCACTATGTTCCGACGACTCTCCTAGTAATTCCATTTTGCTGGTTGTCCCCAAAGATCCTTGCCATGCCAAAATCTGATATCTTTGGGTTCATTTCTGCATCCAGCAAAATGTTGCTTGCCTTGAGATCTCTATGGATTACTGTTAATCTTGAATCTTGATGGAGGTAAAGCAGGCCCCGGGCAACCCCTTTTATAATCTTGAACCGTGTGGACCAGTTCAATGATGATTTTCTTTCACTATCTGCAAATCAGCAACACCTTATATCAGCATAAATGTTTCTTTTGTACCAATTCAGCAGCTTGTGATCTGCTCCTAGAACATACTGAAAAGAGAAGCATCTAAGCTCTTATTGGCCATAAACTCATAAATCAGCAACTTCTCATCTCCTTCGATGCTGCAACCGACAAGTCGAACAAGGTTTCTGTGCTGTAATTTGGCAATTAGGAGCACCTCATTTCTGAATTCCACTACTCCTTGTTCAGAACACCTGCTAAGTCTTTTGATAGCAACTTCACGACCACCTATCACTCCCTTCAGAATTATAAGAACAACATTTTATTCTCTGATCTTGGATGGTTTTGTAAAATATAAAGAGTCGGCTTGATGGATCAGTTTTTTTTTTTCTTAAGCTAGTGCATGATTTTACCTTATATACTTTGCCAAAACCTCCTTTTCCATTCATAGCTGCGTCAGAAAAATTTTCTGTTGCAGTGGCAATCTCGTTATATTCTACAAACGGAAAATCAAGATCTTGGGCAGGGATTTCTTTCCCAAATTCATCAGAGACACTCAATACTCTCAAGGCTCGCTTCTTGTTGTTCTTCCCATCATGTTTGACGATCATTTCTTCTCTCATGAATGCAAAAGTTCAGAATATTAATGCACCGAACATATATCACCATATACACACAGATTATTTATTACTTATATGAACATATATATGTACCTTTGAACTTGGGAACACATATGAGGATGCATGTGGGTATAAGAATACTTGCCAACACTATTGGAAGTGCAAATTTCACTGCACTTCTTTTTGACCCCCTACCTGCCAAATTTTTATCAAGCTAATTTAATCTGACATATTTTGCAGTGAGAAATTGAGAAAGCACCAGTCTAAAAAAAATTGATAATGCCATATATCTGAATAGATTTATTTACCTGCACCTGCCATTCGGAGGTACAGCGTCTCGCCTAAGTCACCCCAGCTCTCGTTCACCTTCTCCATGTCGAGCAGCTCGCCGCCCCACATCAAACACCTGGTCGGATCTCTCCTCGTGCTCCTGCTCAGGTCGGCGTAGGCGTACGCCACGCAGGAGCAGTTGCGGCGGCACGCCGCCGCGCACTCGCCGGCGTTCATGTTCCCGACGAGCGCGTACCCGTCGGGCAGCTTCATGTCCGGGAACTCCGCGAACCCGTCGCCGCAGCGCGCCGCCTCCTTCCGGCGACACCCCAGCGAGAAGTCGCCGCGGCTCCAGTCGGCGCCGCTCGCCGGCTCGAACCCTTCGAGGCAGTGGCACGTCGAGACGCCGCCGCCGGCGCCGCCGCCGCCGCCGGTGCTGTTGCCGCAGTAGCCGAACGCGCCGCAGTAGCCGAAGAGGCTGCAGTCGCGGCGAGGGAACCTGGCGTTGGTGACCCACGCCGACGACACGTTGCTCCAGCTCTGCAGGTGGAGGTCGCCGGAGTAGGACATGAGGTAGTGCATCGGCGGCGCTCCGGCGGAGAGGGTGAAGGAGGCGTAGATCTCGTCGTCGGTGTAGACGACGGCGGTGTAGATCGCCGACGAGCCGCCCTTCTGGTAGTTGCTGTCCACCATGTAACCCGTCCACATCGAGCTGCGCCAGTGCACGCGCGACCCATTCCAGATCTTCGCCTGCAGCGGCCTCTCCGGGTCGACGCCGAACGAGAAGCTCCCCGGCGACGGGTCGCCGGCGCCCTTCCAGGAGACGATCCGCATGCCGGAGTGCGACCGGTAGTCGATGCCGAGCTTCATGCCGGCCATGAACACGTCGCTGGGGTGCTCGAACGTCTGCCACAGGGCGGTGTCGTCGGGCAACCGTAGCACGAGGTTGCCGGAGTTCACGAGCACCGCCACGGCACCCGACGAGTTCACGCCGCCGGCGGTGACATTAGTCCTCCAAAGAACACGGCCGGCCGCGTCGGACAAGACCAGGTTGCTGCTGTCGTCGGCCATGGCGAGCTTGGAAGAAGAAGGGTGGTCGGTGATGGGGGCGAGCTGGTCGGCGACCCACACCACGGTGAGCTTGGGGACATTGTTGTACCATATGCCAAGGTACAGTCCAGATGAGTTGGACGGCGAGAAGAAGCCCATGGCGAAGGCGCCGCCATCGGAGACGAGGGTGGCGCCAGGGGAGAGCGTCTTGCCGACGGCAAGCCGGTCATCGGAAGCAGCCAACGGCAAAGAAAGCAAGAAGAGAAAGATGGCAGTGGCAGCTTGAGTGCAAGTGCAACCTGCATATTCCATTGTGTTAGCCAGTAATAATCAGGATTAGCTTTGCAACTAGCTGGGAGATGAAGCTGCTTAGCTCCAGCTTATATAGTGTGCATGCACAAAGATGCAGGAATTTGGTGGTTGCAGTTGACTAGTTTCAGAATTCAGGCTACATTGCAGCCATCAGGCAATATATGTTTCAGAATGCAGGCTAATCCTGCATTGCAGGCAAATATGTGGCAGGTAAGATGAAATTGGTTGGCAGTAGCTGTAAACTTCACAGGTATTTTAGTATATTAAGTGCTGTAATCTAATCTGAGGAGACCTGGATTAGTAGTCTTCCTTATTTATGTTACTAGGGTCAATTACTCAACTAACATGTGCCATTAAGATAAGACTTTTTCCATTTTAGTTGTCCTGTCAGTCCTGAGATCAACTCTTAAGCCAACTTCTACATTTTTTTTTCAGGTCACAGCAAACTTCAGCTGTAATTTCGTTTTGGGGGGGGGGGGGGGGGGGGGCGATCGTTTCAAGTACTAAAACACAACGCAGCTGATGCCAACATGTGTTGACTTGGAGGGGAACTGTCACACCCCAATCCGGCACCGCCGTACAACGTCACCTGATAGGAGCGTGTCGTAGGAATAACGGCGCGAACCGCTTCCTACGAAACCGCGATCTCGGTACCAGTCCCAGGACCATAGTGCTGGTATCCATGGTGACAAATATGAATCATTGAAAATCCTTAAAATAAATAGATGACTTATTTACCTTAACTTAGGTTGCAGCTCAGAACAGCCCGAGAATGCAACCGACGACATGGACGAGGAAACACCAACAACAGCAGCAGCAGCGGAACCAACGGACTAACACCCAACACCACAGGCGATGGCTGGGAACCAGGACGAAACCCTAATCTTCACTTCACTTCAAGGCGGGGGAACTATATATATTTATATAGAGCAAGGGTGAGTACTTTCGTACTCAGCAAGTCACGGGAATTTAGGTGTTTAATGCAAGCTTGGAAGAGAGGCAAGGTTGTTTTGCAAATCCTTTGTTTGAAATCATTTTGAAAACACTAAGTGATTTATTTCTTTTTGAGTTTGGATCGAAAAGAGACTTGTGTCTCGATTCGACTTAAGAGATGCTTTTCAACAAGTCAAATGGTAATGTACCGACCTCCCGGGTCATATCATTACTTATCGGCTCCCAGAGCCATTTCACTTGATTAAGCGGCTCCCAGAGCCTTTTTCATTTTCTCGGACTCCCAGAGTCCAGCTGCCCAGCAGCAAAGCAATCCGCTTCCACTCGGGAAGCCTAGTCTATGATGCCCGCAGACATCCCGAATCACACAGATTCGTTTCTGACCACTCAGGTCATCCATCTGCCACGTAGGCTGATTCTGGTTACGATTCCAACACCACAACAACTTTTCACAAAGCACAGGCAAACAAATCTACGCAACGGGAACCACCTCACATCCACCCATGACCGTGGGCACGGCTGTTCGAACAGTTAGTTAACCTCTGCAGAGGGGTACACTTTACCCACAAGATACGAACTTATTCCGAACACCCGTCGGTATCGGAGGTTCGCAACAAAGCCTTTCCCAAGCCGACCCAGGGTTACCTCATGCCACATAGAAGGATCGAATCCTCACATAAATATAGGCCATTTTAGTTTTCACAAATCAAACTCCAACCACCTCGATCGGTAATTCAGCAAGCTTCTCTTCCTTGCTTACCAGGAACCCGGTTTGGCTCCAACAGACCCCGCTCCGGCGTTCCCAACTATTGGCATGCGAGGTTTCCCTGAACCGACTAGTTACTTAGCCAGGGTGTCCCATTCCACCTTGTGGTTGCACTTTGATTATGCTCGATGAGTTTCCCACAGGAATCGGTCCTTATATGCGAATACGGGACAGTGCCACATAGGCACAACCCCCGCATCGCGAGTTTTCATAATTCATTTTATTTTTAAACACACCGACACCACATGTCGGGTTTTCAAGGCTTCTCAAACCCATTTCCCAAATTTTCGACAATCAACGGTGTATGTGGGATATTTGGTATACGCACTCAGAGAGTACAAATACCGAAGTACCACAAGGGTGGAGCGACAAGGAATCAGGGTAGTACAACCTACAGGAATTAGTGCGACTACTGGGTAGGTCCGTCGATTTGACATGCAAACCGAGGCCAAGCAAATTAAGTGTGTGATTCTACTAATGCAAGTTGCAAACAAAATAATAATGATTTTCCAATTATAGGAGCAATTGATCAAAGGGTGACTTGCCTTGCTCAAGGTCTTCACGGAGCTTCACGAATCTTCGAGAAAACCCGCGATCGACGAAAATCCGGTAACCGCAACTATACGCAAACAATCAAAAACCTAAACAAAAGACCAAAAGAAAAATCCTATTTAGACTAGATAATGGTGCCATTAAATAGATCTCGATTTTACGGGAATACTGGAAGTGGAACGGGGTTAATCGGAATTACGGATCGGGAGATATGAATTTTGGGAGTTTAATTGGAATTTCTGGACAAGGAAATGATTTGTCGAATCTTTTTTTTTTGGAATGCAGGCAATGATTTATGAATTTTATGGAAAAGAATATTCTCAAGAATATTCTTTTATCACTCATTGACATGTGGGGCCAACATATGGTGAGAGAGAGGTGAATTGGGAGGGAACAGATATGGACTTTTGGTCACTGTGTTTGGGAAGGGAGCAAAGATGGACTTTAGCTTTTGGGTGGGGGGTACTGGGCTCGGCACGAGGGAGTATAAGTGGACTTTAGTCCATTGGACCGGGGAGCAGCGCAGCCCAACGGCTGGCGAGGCCGAGAGGGGGGGGGGGGGGCTGGCTGGCGGGGCGTCAGCTTGACCCGGTCAAGCCCACGTGGACAGCCACGTTGGATGGAGGAAAGGGAGGTGAGGCCGGGCGGCCGATCCGACGGCTGGCGGCGAGCGGCTCATACCGGCGAGCGGCGGCGAACCGGGAGGGGCGGCGTGCACCGGAAGCAAGCGGGGATCAAGGGGAGCTAATTCAACGGTGCAGATGAGGGAGAGGCGGCGCGGCGGCGGCTGGCGACGGCAGCCGTGCGGCGGCGGGATGGGTGGCACGGCGCGGGCGCGGCCGGCGAGGCGGGCGGCCGCGGCGGCGCGCCGGGGAGGTTCAAGGGGTCCTGCGGACTGCGGCGGTGAGAGTAATCGCTGGGTTTCGAGCTGACGGCGGCGCATGGCCGAGCGCGACGGCGGATGGCGACGGCGGCTATCGCCGGCGAGCAAAGAGGGGTTTCTCGCCGGAGCGACGAGGGGTCAATTCGCCGGTGCTGGAGCATCTACGCGAGGTCGCGAACTCATTCCACCGGTCGAGAGGGCACGGGCGGCGCCGAGAGAGGCCGGCGACGGCGAGTTCGTGCGCGGCACAGAGCGACTACGCGGCGTCGAGCACTCTAGCAGCCTAAGGAGGAGGAAAAACAGAGAGAGGGGCGGAGGGAGTCACCGCGACGGGGAGAGGCGGCGGGGGACGGCCGGTGGCACGAGACGCGATCACGGCGACCTCGGGTCGGGCAAGGGAAGAAGACGGCGCCCGGAGTCCCGCGTCACGCGCCCACGCACGCACCGGCTCCCCCGGTGCTCGGCGACGGACGGCGACGGCGAGAACAGCGGGAAGGCAACGATGGCACGGTGGAGGTGGAGAGTGAAGCGGGAGGGATTGTGAGGAGGGGCTCGGCTTTATAGCGGAGGCGAGGTCGGTTCGAGGCGGGAGCGAGCGGCAAAGGCGGTTCGTGGGCGACGTGGGGACGGCGACGGCGTGGATGCAAGGGACGATGGAGGCGGTGGATCGGACGGCGAAGAATCGGGTCACGAGCGCGGGAGGAGCAATATGGCGCGGTCAAGGTGGGGGCACTGGCGCGGCGGGACGTCGTCGGCGTCCTCTGCCTCCGCGCGCAAGAAGACAAGGACGGGAGAGAGAGAGGCCGGGCTTAGAAGGGAAAAAGGGAGGGACGACGGTGGAAAGGGAGGCCTGTCCCTTCCGTTTTGGGCGGCGGGCAGGCGAGGCGCGGCACGGGCGGTGCAGGCGGCGACCACGCGGGCGCGCGCGCGCGCTACGCGAGGGCGCGGCGGAATTCAAAGGCGGTGGCGAAAATCGATTCGCGGCGCGTAGGCATCGAGAGAGAGAGAGAGAGAGAGGAAGGAGAGAGCTTTCTCTCCCGAGCGGCTCGCGTGCGGCGCACGTGAGAAGGGGGAAGGCGACTGAGGGAGGAGGGCTGAGGGAGAGAAGTGGGCTGATGGGAGGAAATCCGGCCCATCCAAAACAAGAGGAGGCAAACTAGACTTTTACTGGGAAATCTGATTTGGAGAGAAATTTGATATGGAGTTTGAATTTGAATGCAAAATGGGAATTTGGATATTTTGGAGTCGGGAAGATATTTGGCAAGGTTTTCAAGAGAGGATTTGAATTTCGAATACTTAAATCGGAATAGGGACTTCGAGGAGAAGGATTTGATGGCGACGAGAGGGATCAAGGACAGATTTGAATTGAGATCCACGGCACAACTTAGACTTGCACACAAGGAACAAAAATTTTCGCAATTAGGATTTTGCCAAATTAGTTTTTAACGCCTCACGAAAAGCGGAGCGTTACAGGAACGTCTTGCAACTAGCCAAGGTATGCATAAGGGAAACTTTAAGGGCCTTTAGGTGGTCATTTCAGAGATTTGTGAGAGACTCAGAGTTGAAAGCTTTCATTTTTAGAAGATGACCTTTATATACCTGGTACAAGATATTATTGTCAAGATTAGGCTAATACAACTTACAAAAAAAAATGCATGTCAAGTATATTCCTGGCATTTTGTTAGACAACAATTCTGCAATTAAAACTGAATAGTTGCTCTATCTCCCCTCCAGAACTGTAAGAGTCATCTCATTCCCAGAGTTGAAGACATTGTCTCTTCTCTGATCTGCCCCATTTTTCCTTGGAGCAAAATATGCAGGGTGATTTGGGGTTGGCAGTGTGGTGCTTCCATTCTCCAAGATGGACACAACAGAAGACATGAGTGGCCTGTCATCAGGATTTTCCTGAACACACAAGAGCCCTACATGAATGCAAAGCAAGGCCTCATCCAGAGTGCAGCTCTCGGTGATATTCAGGTCTACCAGCTCCTTTGCCCTCCCTTCCATCCAAAGGCTCCATGCCTAACAGAAAAACGAAATTACATCTTCAGATTGCATAAGAACTCCATATACCTTAAGGATCTAAGAGCTATATAAGCTTAGAAGCAAAATACTTACATAGACTATAAGGTTAGGAAAGTCCATAATGCGATCAATATTGCTTATTTTCACACCACTGATAACCTCCAAGAGTAAGACACCGAAGCTATAGATGTCAGTCTTGACAGAAAACATTCCCTCCATTGCATATTCAGGAGCCATGTAGCCACTGTTGAGAAAATTTCACATTGAAAAGTTATGAAAGTTGAATTGAGTTAATCTGCATGTTAAGCTATGAAATTGGCACAAAGAATTACGCACTATGTTCCAACAACTCTTCTAGTATTGGCATTCTGTTGGTTGTCACCAAATATGCGTGCCATACCAAAGTCTGCTATTTTGGGCCTCATCTCCGAGTCCAGCAAAGCATTACTAGTTTTGAGATCTCTATGAATAATCGTCAACCTTGAATCATGATGTAGATAAACAAGGCCCCTAGCAACACCTTTGATTATTCTGAACCTTGCTGGCCAGTCTAGTGTTACACCTCTTTCACTCTCTGCAAAAGAACATATATGCTATGTGTGAAATGCAAATAAACATTCATTAAATTGTTCTTTGAACTTGTGATATGCTGGTTGAACATACTGAAAATGGCGACATCCAAGCTTTTATTTGGCAAGTACTCGTAAATTAACAATTTCTCATGTCCCTCAACGCAGCAACCGAGAAGTCGAACCAAATTTCGGTGTTGTAGTTTAGCAATCAGAGTGACTTCATTTCTAAACTCCACTATTCCTTGATCAGAGTCTCTACTTAGCCTTTTCACAGCAACCTCTTGACAACCTTGTAACATCCCCTTTTGAGAAATAGCAGTGTCATGTTAATGCACATAAAAAGATAATTAGATTTTTATGCTCCTTGAAGAGGTATAATATTTTATAGACTTTCTAGTGCTAATTTGTGGTAACGAGTCCTGCTCATGGACTCTAAAAATCCTTAAAATTATATCACTGGAAGTTACCTTATAAACTTTACCAAAACCGCCCTGTCCAACCATGAATGATTTGGAGAAGTTGTTTGTTGCAGCCACAATATCATCAAATTTTACAAATGGAAATTCATGGTCATGGGTTGTGCTTGCTTCTTCAAGTTCAAGGGCAGTAGCTGTCAGTACTCCCTGAACTTGTGATTTCTTGTGTTCTTTCACGCTCCTTTTCTTACCTGCCGTAAAAGTTTATGACCATTATGTTCCTCTGCTCTTGTAGTGTATGTACAGAAGCATTGAGGGGAAAAACAAGAATTCTGTTCTTACCTCTGAAGATGCAGAACCATGAAAGGGAAATGCAGGTGACAATCACTAACACTGGCACTGCAATTTTCACTGCATTTCTCTGTTTCCTTTTACCTGCACAGAGACACACTGTTCATTTCATTTTCGACCAATATTTCATTTTAAAGAATCTTGCACATGATATTCTCTCCTAATTTCGTGAAATGCATATGGATCATACTTGCATTTGGCACTCGTATACCTGAACCGTTTTTTATCATAACATGAAGTATGATGCTTTAGGCCTGTACCTGAATTTGGCATGCCTGCCACTCTAAGGTAGAGTGTTTCACGGCTGTCGCCGCCGGCACCGACGGTGCCCCAGACCTGCCCGGGACCCAACCTGCCCGTGTCGACGAGCTCGCCGTCGCCGGCCCAAACCAAGCACCTCGTCACGTCACCCCTTGACTTAGCGCTGCTGTTCAGGGTCGCGTAAGCGTACGCCACGCAGTTGCAGTCGCCGCCGCACTCCGCCGCGCACTCGTCGAGGCTCCTGTTCCCGACGTGCACGAACCTGTCAGGCACCTTCATGCCCGGCAGCGCCACGAAGTGCCCGTCGCCGCCGCATCGCAGCGCCTCCTTTCGTCGGCAGCCACGGGAGAACAGGCCGCTGTTCCACTCCTCCGCGCTCACTGGCTCGAACCCGTCCAGGCACTTGCACGTCGGGACGGCGCCCGTGGCGTCGCAGGAGCCGCCCGGGCCGCAGTGCTCATACGTGAAGCAATCCATGGCCGGCCATGTGGCGAGCATCATCCATTCGGATGCTTCCTTGTTCCAGCCAAGGAGCTGTAGCTTGCCGGAGTCGCTCAACAGGAAATGCGTGGGCGGGGCGCCGTCGGCTACGGTGAACACAATGGATAGGTCGTTGTCGGTGTCGACCAGTGCCAGGTAGACCGCCGTTCTGGCGTTGGCCTGGAACTGGCTCGACGTCACCATGTACCCCGTCCAGACGCCGGCGCGCCACGCCGGGCGCGAACCGTTCCATATGAAGAACTGGACGAACGTGTCTGAGTCGCCGCCGTAGGAGAAGCTGCCCGGCGAGGGGTCCTCGGGGCTCTTCCATGAAACCAGCCGGTCGCCGGCGAGCGTCCGGTAGCTGAGCCTCACTTTCATGCCGGGGAGCAGCGTGTCCGTCGGCTGGCTAAAGCTCTGCCACAGCACGGTGCCGTTCTGCGACCGAACGACGAGGTTGCCCGTGTTCATGAGCACGGCCGTCGACGGTGACGGCGACAACGAGGAGGAGCTCGCTACGGCGGTGAGGTTCGTGGTCCAAACAATCTGTCCGCTGGCATCGGACAAGACAAGGTCAGATGTGTTGGTCATGGCAAGAGAAGGCAACGAGGAGTTAGAGCTGCCGTTAACGATGATCGGAGTTGCCCGGTTGGCGACCCAAACCACGGTGCGCCGTGGGATGTTGTTGTACCATATGCCGAGGTGCAGCTTCGCCGGAGTTGAGTTAGATGGGGCGAAGAAGCCCAAGGCGAAGTCGCCGCCATCGGAGATGACAGCGGCGCCGGGGGAGAGTGGCTTGCCGGAGACAATCCGGTCGTCGGCGGCGCACAACGCCGGCGACAAGAGGAGGAAGGCGGCGATGCAGGTGAAAGCAGATGATGACCAATCCATCTGTCAATCTGTGGCCTGAAGGAGATAGATCACCTATGTTTCGCTCGTATATATAGCCATTCCTTAATTTCTTTAGACATGCATTAGGAGCAGTAAGAAATTGCTGAGCTGCAGCTTGGGTCGTGACATGCAAGTAAATAATGCAGATGTTTAGGATTTACAGCAGACTAGCAACAGTTTTTGAGAATTAAGAAATGCCTAGGATTGACATTCCACGAATCCATGGCAAATAGTCCTGCTTCTGGCATTTAAATAGCAAGTTCAGCTTATAAGGGTTAGGAACGGCCTGTCAGGGGAATGGAATGAAGGGTTAGTCTTTACAATATTATACATGTCACATTAACTCGTCAGTAATCTTATCTAGAGTTTGTCCACACACCGTTGATCATTCGGTCATTTGACCCAAAAGATATAGGAGCTCCTTTCTTTTACCATTGCGCGCTGAATCCTGTCGCTAAAGAAACATACGTGGAAGGTTCACCCGGAGACTAAAGGAATCTAGGAGGGGAATATTGCACGAACTATAATGAGATGTTTTGACATTAAAAAGAATGTTCAGCGGGTGATGTCAAGCAACTCTGAATGAAACATACAAACTGCGACCTGATATTCTGCGAGACTTAAGCCCTATCACATATTTACAAATGAAAAATAATTTATAAATAAAACTTTTATATAGATGTTCTTAACGATCTAAAAGCAAAGACTAAAAAATAAATTTTAATAAAAATACCTTAAATCAGCTTTAAATTTAAAATTGAAAGTATAAAGTATAAGTGAAAAGATAGTCCGATAAAGTTTTACCTGTGAAACCTGCAGCTTTGAGATAAAGCGTCTCACCACCAACTATGCCCCAAGGCACCCAATCCGGGCCAACTTTCTGTGTGTCGATCAGCTCTCCCAGCCACACCAAGCACCTCGTCGCGTCCTTCCTTGCGCTGCCGCTACCACCCAGGTTGGCATACGCGTACGCCGTGCAGGAGCAGTCACCGGCGCACTCCGCCGCGCACTCGTGGAACGTCTTGTTCCTGACGCGCACGAACTTGTCCGGCAACTGCATCCCCTGCATCTCCAAGAAGACGGCGTCGCCACCGTCGCCGCCGCAGGGCAGCTCCTCCGTTCGCCGGCATCCCCGCGAGAAACGGCCGTTGCTCCACTCCTCCTTGCTCCTCGGCTCAAACCCATCGAGGCACTCGCATGTCGGAGCCACCTCCGAATAGTAGCAGTAACCGTATGGCCCGCAGTAGCCGTAGTGTTCGCACTCGTATTTCGGCAGCTCGCCGAGCTTGCTCCACTCCGACGCGCCGTCGCCGCCGTCCCATGAGAGGACTTGGAGCTTGCCGGAGTTTGTTAGCACGTACCGCGTGCGCGGCGCCCGGTCGGAGATGCCGAAGGAGAGGTAGATCTCGTCGTCGGCGTCGACGACGGACAGGTAGATCACGGTGGTGCCGTTGACCATCAGCTGGCTGGGGATCGGGTTGCCTGTCCAAACCGGGGAGCGCCAGTACGGGCGTGACTGGTTCCAGATGAAGAGCTGGAGGAACGTGTCCGGGTCGCCGCCGAACGAGAAGCTCCCCGGCGATGGATCGCCGGGGCCGTCGTTCCAGGAGAGGAGGCGCTCGCCGACTCGCGTCCTGTAGTTGATCCCTATCTTCATGCCGGGGAGGTACGTGTCCGTCGGGTGGTCGAAGCTCTGCCACAGCGTGGCGCCGTTCGGCGACCGGACGACGAGGTTGCCGGTGTTCATCAGCACTGCAACCGCCGGAGAATTCGCCGCAATAATGGTGATGTCCGTAGTCCAAAGAACGCGGCCGTCGCCGTCGGCCAAGACGAGGCCAGAGGAGTTTGACAGGGTGAGCGACGGTGCAGAGGAAGAGCTGCCATGGCCGCCGTCCTTCACCGGAGTTCCTCGGTTGGCAACCCAGACCAAGGTGAGCGGCGAGATGTCGTTGTACCAAATGCCAAGGTAGAGATTGGACGAGGTGGAGTTGGTCGGGGAGAAGAATCCTAAGGCGAAGGCGCCGCCGTTCGAAACGACGGTGGAGCCAATGGACAGAGGTTTGCCGGGGACAAGCTGGTCATCAGCTACGCACGCCGGAAGGAGGAGGAGGAAGATGGCTGTGGTGAGGTAGTTGAAAGCTATCCAGTTCATCTCTGGTCTTCTGATACGCCGTGGACGCCGAGTTCTTCTCAGGAGTCATAACAATGTGTGTTGGTTTAACATTAACGAGAAACTTCTTGCTACTTGCTACTATTGTATGTATATTAGGTGTAATACGATGTTGTTAAGAGTAAAATATACTCTTAGAAGTTAGATCTATGCCAACCTAAAGAAAGATTGGATATAAACTACGATGGTAGCTACGACCAATCCAATAATGACCTTTTTTTATTTATAATTTTTTTTATTAAAAGTTTTACAAAAATAATTTTCCATTTTGAAAATTGACGGAAGTAGTCGCCTACCGCCCTCCGCCCTCTCAGAGGGCGGCAAAAATGACGTGGCAGACGGCCGTTCGCTCTCGGGCGACGGCCGTCAACGAAATTTGCAGGCGGCCCCCTTGCCGCCCTCCGCTAGGGCGATTTTATACTGTGCGGGGGGCCGCCTGCAAATGGGCGGCGAGAGGGGCATGGAATTTTGCAGGCGGCCCCCTTGCCGCCCTCCGCTTGGGCGATTTTGTACTGTGGGGGGGGGCCGCCTGCAAATAGGCGGCGAGGGGGCATGGAATTTTGCAGGCGGCCCCCTTGCCGCCCTGGGGGAGGGCGATTTTATACTGTGCTCTATATTTTTGTATAAATATCAATAGTTATCAAATCTTTTTATATTGAAAACTATACAAGATTAAAATCTCCAAGACTGGTAAAATACAATTTTATTATTTTTTAGGGCATATTTGGATTGTTACCGTACAAATATTTTGTTAGTGCCAAAATATAAGCAAGTTTTGGCACTACCAAATATTTGGTAAGGTAAAATTGCATTTGATCATATTTGGTTTGCTGCCAAAATGTAAAATTGTAGTGAAGAATGTTCTACATAATCTCAAATCTAGATTACGTATTACCAATGAATAGGCTTCCATTTTCGTGTGTGGTGTGCTAGTGGGAAAGAAGATATGAAGAGGTTGCCTTCAGATTGTCAATTATATAGCGTCGTTTTCACTGCAATATATGTGAACTCAATGAGATACATTATTCATTAGATGTGACAAGACGATCACGCGTGGGCGTGATTCACTTTATGTCAACAGGCAGCGCCGAAAGTTGATAGTGATAACTCGAGCTGCCGCTTTTCATGTGTGCTGTTGTGGACTGTGCGCGCTACTGGATCTGACACTACCGTGAAGCGCCGAAAGTGTGTTGTCGTGAGCATAAGTTGTTCTAGCACCATATGAATGAAAAGAACTATGTAGACGAGACAAACACAAGTAGTACTGCAGTAGTAATAGCAAAAGTAGTACTGCTTTACAAGTTTGTAAGCCAAAAGAAACGGTCACATAAGGACTGAAGAGGTAGAACACTACTGACGAGGCCTCTTACCCCTGTCCCTCCTACCCTGCGCCCTAATGTGCCCCTGGGAGTACGTGAGTCGGTCCGGGGGTACGACACGGCCAACCCGTCCTGCCTGTACAGGTGTGACCTCTGGCTGCTCCTGAGTGTGCGCTTCTGGAGCTCCTCCAAGCTGAGAGGAGCCTAGTACGTCGTGGTGGTGTGCACCGTGCAAGTCGTCGTCGTAGAACTGGCTAGTAGGACCAGTCCTACCGGCGTGAGACGAAGAGGCCCCAGTACCGAAGATCCCGGCTGCAAATCCTGCTGGACAAGGACCATCAGTTTCGTACAAGTATTTAACAGTAGTAATAAAAAGTAAAGTACCGTGTGGGCGAGGGATCGACGCTCCGTGAGAGGAAGAGCTGGCGAACGCGCCCGAAGAGGTGGCGAACGCCCCTGCGGAGCTCGCGGAAGCGCCGGTCGTGCCTGCGAACGCGCTCGAAGGCAGACGAGGTCCTGCGATGAGGAAACGTGCAGTTAAAACATGGTGACATATTCGTGCAAAAGCTGAAACAAAAATGAACTAATATCTGGTCTGAACTGTACCGTGCGAAACCGGTGCTGTAGGTCGCACTGCTCCGAAGCTAGGGGCGCTCGAAGGCAAACGAGGTCCTGCGAGGATGGAACATCAAGTTACGACGGGGTGATGTTTTCGTAGAAAAACAGAAACAAAACTTAAGAAACCTCTGGGCTGAGCAGTACCGTGCGAAACAGGTGCCGTAGGTCGAGGTCCTGCTCCGACGGTAGGCGCGCGAGGCCGGGGTTGTACCGGACCAGCTGGAGGTACGACGTCCACGGCGCTGCGACAGGAGAAGACGCGCATGACCGCACGCATCTTCTCCTGCATCCGGTCGAAGGTCACCCTCTGCTCAACGTCAGTCAAGTGCAAACCTCTGTTCAACCTCACTTGGACTGCGGTGATATCGGCACTGATATCCCGTGCGGCATCAGCCTATGCAAGATGGAAATAAAAAATTCAGTAGTTGTCCTATATTATGCAAGATAAATGAAATAATTGTAAGAAGTAATACAAATTGGACGTACCGCCACGAAGTAGTCTCGGTCACGGTGCATGGGATACGCGTCCGTGACAGCGGCAACGTGCGGCTCTGGGGCGTCTGGAGTGAAGGTCACACGCGCACGAGTGCGAGGAAGGTACCAGCGAAGGTAGTCACGGTAGTTCTCCTCCGTGTGTGGGAAGAGCTCGTTGATCACCTCCTCTGTAGCTAACACCCAGTCGTCAACGTACTGCTGTACACGTGGAGCCCAAAGTGCGCCTGCTAGCTGTCCCCGTCGAGTCAACCTGTGAAGAGAGGTAAATTATATGGCTCGATGAAGTAATTATCATAAAAATTTAAAAATGAACAATCCGAACTCACGAGTGGTCGGCAGGGAGGACGGTCGGCTGCACGTTGCCCGGAAACACCTGCCTAAGTCCGAACTGTCTCATCACACGCTGCGGGCAGTGAGGCTCAACGAAAATGTCGAACACCATCGGCAGGATGGTGAGCCAGTAAGCCTGGTCGCGTGTGCACAAGGACGAAAGTCCTAGCGGTGCTCTCGCAGCGACGGCCTCTTCTGTGCACCCTCGACATACGCGTACCAAGGAACGTGACGGGGGTCGACACGCAACCACTCGCACGACGTGCGTGGACGGAAGGTGCCGAGCTGTGCACCCTCGACTGCTGACAGGAACGAGCGGTGGTTCCTGTCAATCCCACGGTTCAACAGCGCCGGTGTGTCGTACGCCATACCTGCATCAAATAGGTTGATCAGAAACATATAAATAATTAGTTCAACATAAGTAATAAATGTTCATAAGCGAATTACTAACACATATTAAACAAGAGTACAAACAAACAAAAGTGTTTAGTCCGAACACTCATCACGATAACATTATGATACAACACCGAATAGTTCGCAATAATACTAGTACAACAATAGTCGGAGGTACTCATTACAACAACATTGAATTGAAATTACACGATAGAAGTATTTAGTCCGAACACTCATTACATCACAACAGCATTTTATTTCCTAAATTGAAAGCATTGTTACACCATGGAATCGCCTGCTGCGCGACGACGCCTTGGCCTTGCGCGCCTGCTTGTTGTTCCTTCACCAGGTGGTCGCCTACCATCACTTGCCTGTCCAGATGGACTAGCATCTGCGCCGCTTGGAACTTCTGCATTCTTCGGGCATTTCTTGTAAGTATGGCCGCGCAGATCACACTTGCTGCAGCGTAAAGTCCTCCCACCTGCTTCTGACTCATCCATATCATTTCTGATGCGTCTAGTTTGGCGTCGACCCTTTTTCACCCTTAACTTAGATGGATCTGGAATATAAAAAACTTGGGCACTCAGCGTTGTGTAAGATCCTGAGATCCCGAACCCATATATCTCCTCACTCCATGTATGAAAGATTGCTTCTTTCCTGAAATAATTTGAGACGTACACATTGGGAGATATGCCACAATCACCGGCAGCAGCAAGAACGTGTGAGCAAGGAAGGTGATGAAGCTTCGGCTTCATACAACTGCAGGTACATCCACCATCCGCCTTCAAGACACATTCCTGCACGGCTTGCTTGCGATAGATACCACGCCTGCTCCTATCAACACACATTATTTCATACCGATGCACTTGTATGCCTTGAGCAACAACTCGATGTCTCCGTGCCTTTTTGATTTTATCTTCCATGTACTTTGTCACTACGTTGCCAAACACTATGTTGTTATCGGCCATGGACGGACCAATTTTCTTGTATCGATCCCTAAAGTAGGCTTGCGTGCCGTGAAGGATGAATTCAACAATAGCAACCAATGGAAGTACCCGAACTCCTCGCATTACCCAGTTGTACACCTCTGCCAAATTGGTTGTCATTATGCCATACCGAGATCCATCGGTGTCGAACAATAGAGACCACTTCTCCTTAGGCTCATTCTCAATCCACTGAGTGAAATTTCTGATGGACGACCCTGACCTCCTTCTCATTGTTGGTGGGTCATCATGTAATGCACCAAGAGGTATGGGAGGCTCGTCACCTTCAACTAGTGGTCTGCGAGATTGCTCATCTGTTTGCTTCGTTGTCAACTCATCCAACTTGTCCCACAACTCATTAAATTTCTTCTTTTGGTTCTGTGCACAGAGCCTCTTAAAGAGCTCCATAAGATGCTTGTTCTTGAATTGCTTGTAGAAATTTGCACCCATGTGACGCATGCACCACCGACTCCGAACATCAGGCCACTTAGCTGGAAGTCCCTTCTCATCCCAACCGTTCTGCAAGTAGTCAATAGCCCGCAACATACCCGCATGACGATCATGTATAAGGCAAACGTTGGGCCTCATACGCACCACTGCAATGTGCACTCTCTCTAGGAACCAGTACCAGCTTTCAGTGTTCTCACTCTCTACAAATGCAAAAGCCATAGGTAGAACCTGGTTGTTCCCATCACACCCAATTGCTGTCAATATCTGACCTCGGTATTTACCTGTCATAAAAGTTCCATCTATGCATAGAACAGGTCGACAATGCACAAAAGCATTGATGCAAGCACCCAATGAGAAAAAGGCTCTTTGCAGCACACTCTTTGTTCGATCATCA